GTTCAAATCTCACAGGTAGGTGCCAATTTTTCTAATGGAATACGTAATTAGAAAATGTTTACGAGTGACTTCAACGACGATCGAATAACATCGAATAGTACAAGTAAAAAAAACCCTCATAAAATAATATAACCCGCATAATTATATAGACCTCAAGTCCCAAGTTGAATGACACTATTTACCTTGCGTTGTTCATGGATCCAGTGACCACTTAATGCAATTTGAAAATGCTACCTTAATATTACGACATCGCGATTATTTACATGATTTATTCATAACAGCATCCTGTTGTTAATACAAAAACAAATACGACTCATTAACAAAGTTTTGGTAACGAGACAAACTGGAAGTTTGTTTGAAAATAAATAGGACTCCCAATATTTTTCAGACATTGCGTTAACCTTTGATTATACAAAATGTTCATTATGAATTCGTAATATTTTTTTGTTTCATCCTAAAAAGCTCTAGGAACTCGTGATTGTTACTTGACAATTTGCTTTACATGAACATTACTGATGATTTATCCATTTATTTTACTAAGATTCAGTACCTAGATATATGTACATCTAGGTACATATACAAAAAAATGTATCCTGTATTGAGAGCCTTTTATTTGAACTATGGGTCCCACAGTAGTCGAAATTCGACTATAATTAATTGGAATTGTAAGTTTGTACACTATTATGATTGTATTTTATACTTCTATATTCATAAATTTCGCCAACACTACACTATAAAAAATATTACCAAAGAAAAACAATATTTAATCTATTATCAATTTGACAACAGACGTCAATTACAAAAGTTTGACAATAAATAGTGTGCATGCTTGTGTGCGTCAAATACATGGTATGTAGTGTGTGTAATGTTTTCTTTATTGATTTAATGTATCTTTTATGCATTATTTTAAAAAAATATTAGCATTGTGCACTTCTTCTCTACATTCTCTATAAGTGTGGAAAATTTCCTACTCCACCGTCCGCGCGATTTTCGTAAAAAGGGATACAAAGTTTTTGCTTCACGTATTAATATATAGACTTGGTCAAAAATTACAAAACACGATAGTTTCATTACTCGCTTGTTAGAGTAGCAATGGTTAAAGCAAATACAACAATTAGATTGCGAATGAAAATTAAATACGTTCTTCGTAATTATCCAAAAGTTAGGAAACGAAAGCGCTCTCATTGGAAAGCGAGTGTTTATGGGAGATACTGCCCGAAATTCGGAATGTTGTGGGTGTTTCATAATTAAATTAGAATCGGAAGGCGTTAAGTTAGTGTACGCCCGGAGAGTTTGTGATTTGAATCCGTAATCGGTTTTTTTTTCACAATTACACACTGTAGCTGTAACCTGATATATTCTTTAGTCGAAATTTTTCGTTACCTTTAAATATAATTAATAATTAATTAATTAATAGTGCCATAGTGCAATGCATATTAAAACCTCATCATTTGGACATATTTACAGTACCACGCATAGTGATCGTCTAGCTGTTCAAACTCCTCAAATACCCATCTCGTGATTAAATAGAAAAATAATTTACATTAGTGATTTAAATACTGTTTAGGAATTAGGATTTTTCACCTCTCAATCTATTAAAATGAACATTCATATTTTTCTCTTGAGGATCAAATCGTATTGATCTATTTACGATATAACAACAGATATCACATCTCTGGGTATATAATCTAAAACCAAGATACGTCTAACTAAAGAGATTATTATATTGTAAGTTTTCATAATTCAAAACTTAATTGTAATAATACTGAGTTATTTAACGAAAAGAATTCCAATAATGAAATTTTATTCTCTCAATCCCGCTCAGTTTTAATCCGACCCACACAATGGACAGGACTCAACACTCCCGAGCGTACAGTACATTTTTTCTCAGTTGGGCCTTAATTGAATTCGCTTTTAGCTCACTTTTAATTTATTTGCGTTCGCTTCCCCACTTTGATGTCGGCACACGCGCTCCGAGGGCTTTTTAGATAAATAACCAATTATCTCGATACGACGTAATCTACCATCCGCATTGGCATGTGATCTGGAATTCGGCACTTGTATTATAGTCGCAAAGCGGTGTAATTTTGAATCCCATTGTTAAATTAATTAAGGTAACCGTGATGTTCTTTCGAAAAGTTTCGAAGAGTGTTTACGTTCAAGTAGAAAATTAGTTGGTATCGTGATAATTTTTACTTTTTGTTCCAAATTATAAATCTTAGATAAGTGACGGCTGTTGGTTTATTTTATATTAGTTTTTGTTTTCATATCACAGAATTGAGTTTTTGACAGTTGGCCTTTGTCACGTAGAAATATATCGTCGACTTTTAGCGTAGACGCGGTTTATAGGGAGGGTGGGGGGGGGGGCTTTAGCTATGGCTTCATTTTGGCAGGGAAAATTAAATAAGTGTCAATGAATTGAGTAGAAAATTTATTGCATGTGGATCCGAGGACATGCCTACGTTTTATATATATTTGTTCTTCCTTTATTTTTTCTGGTCAATGTTCAGAAACCGAAGTCTATTAAAAGCTATTTTAATTAAATTGAATATTGTTATCGTTTGAGACCGTCGTGGCCTAAAGGATAAGACGTCTGGTGCATTCGTATGTAGCGATGCATCGGTGTTCGAATCCTGCCGCCAGGTACCAATTTTTCCAATGAAATACGTACTTAACGGTGAAGGAAAATAACATCGTGTAATAAAAATCAAACCCGCAAAATTATAATTTGCGTAATTACCGATGGTAGGACGTCTTGTGAATCTGCACGGGTAGGTACCACCACCCTGCCGGTTTTTACCGTAAAGCAGTAAGGCGTTTGAAGGGTGGGGCAGCCGTTGTACTATTAAAAGTGAGACCTTGCAACTCATGTCTCAAGGTGGGTGGCGATTTACGGTGTAGATGTCTATGGGCTCCGGTAACCACTTAAAATCAGGTAGGCCGTGAACTCGTCAACCCATCTAAACAATAAAAAATAACCTCTATTATCTTCCAGAATACATCTAATATTTATAAAATGAATGTTTATTTATTCGCTATCTACTGTCGCGTGTATTCCGAGAATGAATTAAAATATTAATGAGGATTAATTACCTACACTCCATTAAACTTGAATAAACTCATAGTTCCAGCATTCAAAACTACTTAATCGAAAATTGCGACAATCCCTGCAAATGAAATCAGTAAAATAACTTCAGCTAATTCAATTACGTTAACCGCTCATGTTAAGTATATATACAAACAAATCGATTGTCGCAGTAATGTAAATATGCGAAGATTCGCATTGGCGAGTGATCACATCGCAATCCTAATAGGCTAAGCGATTACGTCGCCAGGGTGCGCCACTAACCCAATTCACGGAAAACGATCAAGTAAACAGAAATTGGTCCGGTCGTAGCTGGTAATGCATACCAGCTGAGATTAGCCCAGTGATGGTAAACTGTATTTTAAAGTGTAATATCTGAAATTAAATGTAAATTCAGGCATGTTAATCTCTTACTGGTGGTAGGACACTCTTGTGAGTCCGCGCGGGTAGGTACCACCACCCTGCCTATTTTTGCCGTGAAGCAGTAATACGTTTCGGTTTGAAGGGTGGGGTAGCCGTTGTAACTATACTGAGACCTTAGAACTTATATCTCAAGGTGGGTGGCGCATTTACATTGTAGATGTCTATGGGCTCCAGTAACCACTTAACACCAGGTGGGCTGTGAGCTCGTCCATCCATCTAAGCCATAAAAAATATGTATTATATTTTGTAGGGTATTATGACAATTTACATAACGATAGTTCACCCGTAGAACACATTCGTAACGCGTAGCGTAACATAGTCACGTACTTTAAGTTATGTTCACCATTTTAACGTTTTTCATTATTATTATTATTTGAATTATCCAGTTATTGGAAAAGTATTCAGTAAAAATGTGGTTTCTTCCTAATCTATACATATAAATAAAACTGAAGTGCCAGTTTGCAATATTGAAATAACCGCTTTTTACTACATGCATATGAATATACCTATATATACGGTACATACACCAAAATAAAAATTTTTACAATTTTTGTCTGTCTGTTTGTCTGTTTGTTCCGGCTAATCTCTGGAACGGCTGGACCGATTTTGACGAGACTTTCACTGATAGGTAGCTGATGATATAAGAAGTAACTTAGGCTACTTCTTTAGACTAGCTTCGTCTCGCGGCTTCACCCGTGGTACGACAATAACCGCGGGTAACATCGCGAAACTCAGCTAGTAAATTATATAAATGCATCATGAAGGCGCTAGTTTAGTTTAAGTAAAATAATAAAATTTGTTTGCAATTCATAAAATAATGTTAATTATGTAGCAATTACTGATTATATCAGGAAATAATTATAGAAGTGTAGTTTAATAAGTTGTTGTTGTAAATCTTGGACGAATGATTATTTCTCACATAATTTGTTGTCGTGTTATAAAAATATTTTAACTATCAACTTTTAAATTACGTAATAAATTATTGCGCAGTTGCACGTTTACTGGTGGTAGGACATCTTATGAATCCGCACGGGAAGGTACCACCACCCCGCCTATTTCGGCAGTGAAGCAGTAATGCGTTTCGGTTTGAAGGGTGGGGCAGCCGTTGTAACTATACAGACAGAGACCTTAGAACTTATATCTTAAGGTGGGTAGGGCATTTACGTTGTAGTTGTCTATGGGTTCCAATAACGACTTAACACCAGGTGGGCTATGAGCTTGTCCACACATATAATCAGTAAAAAAAACATTCGCTATTTAGCCCAATACAAGGAAGGATTCTTTTCTTACGAAATTCAAACACTACTTACAGTGAGCAGTTCTAACAAAACGAAAAAATATATTATTTTATGCCCGCCGTTACAAGGTTACGTTGTTGAATTTTGATGAATTGTCAAATGTTACCTATTAAAATTACCTCACAGTAATCCGGAATACCAGTAGTTAGTATGTCATTGAAATAGTGAATTTCAGTAAAGTATGTGTTTCACAGCCGTGTGGAGGCCGGGAGCGCCAACGCCCCCGCCGGCTCCGAGCACCCCGCGCAGTCCCGGCGGACCGCCGCCTCCGCCGCCCCCGCCGGTTTGGACGCCGGGTAGCGCGGAACCATCTCCGCAACCCACACGGAAGACATTCAGACCAGTACATTTTGAGGAAACACCACCGAGTCGCCGGAAATTCGCAGTAAGTTTAATTACTTATTTTATTTTAAATGTGTAGGATTTTTTTTTTACTGTGCCGATAGCCTTGTGAGTCTATTTCAGCTTCACCCTAACGTGTATAGGTGAGCTCACGGGGCTCAAATCAGAGTGTTGCTAACACTGACCCTAGCAAGAGCAGTGCTTCGCAGAATCTACCACCGGAGCTGAAACGCGACCCACTGAGAAGATCCGACGAGAAACTCAGTGGGCTGTAGGACTATCTATTTAAGAATATAATATTAATAACAGAGACAAACTCTAATATCAGGTGTGGACCATTAAAATCGTTTGAAGAAGGACATAGCTCCACTGAAAGAACGATTGAGGGTACATGCGTGATGCATACATAATGAGCTTATTAATTTATCGTGAGATTTTATTTGGAACTGATTTCTCGTAGTCTACCATACTCACATACCATGCACATACCGACGTACTGTTTGGTATGGGCTTCGATTATTTGAATACCACGACATATTTGTTATGCGCTACTGTGTTACGATTTTAAATTAGAAGTAGGAAGTAAATGCATTTCGGCTACTAAAATTGTGATGAATTCACAAGTGCTTGGAAATAAGCCCAAGGGAAAATTGAAAAAGTAAGGATAAATTATGTCTATAATGATCTTGGGCCCGCGGTCCGCTCCCAACATCTGCGGATCAGTCCACATACCTCGCGCGTCGTTTTGCCACATAGGAGCCTCATAGAAGGAACTTCATAGTAATGTCCAGCAGTGGATGTTTGTGGGCTGATAAGAAGATAACATGAATATAGTCGGGGTAGTGTGATGCGATATTGGAAATAGGAAAGCCTTGATTTTCTTGCTGATCCTTCTCCATATTCAAGCTGTATTCCGAATCGTTGCTAAAGCAATGATGATTTAAAACTCCCTGTCAAGGTATATCTGCAAAAAAACCACTTTGATATAGATTTTTAATGTGAGTACGATTAAAAATATAGATGAATAGAAGAGGAAGATATATAGTGACGAATCCTGATAAAACGAAATGATAATAAAGATGACGACTTCTGGGCGTGTGTGTTGAGTACATCAATGATATTACAGATTAACGGCTGTCTGGTGTAGTGGTAAGTGACATGGTCACTACACAAGGGGGTCGCGGGTTCGAATCCCGCCAAGGGAAGATATTTGTATGAGAAATATAAATGTATTTCCAGGGTTATGGGTGTATATTAAATATACGTATGTGTATAATAAAAATATTATATTTATTTCTGTTATCTGGTACTTGTAACACAAGTTCTTTACGAACTTAGCACGGGACTAGTTAACGTGGCGTGATTGTTAGTAAATATTTATTTATTTATTTATTTATTTACAGAACACGGAACAAAACGGTTGCACCAGTGGCTCCGAGAGCGAGGGTCGACTGCGTACCTCGCAGAGTGCCCCCGCCACCGGGCTGAACACGCTGAGCGGCTCATCATCTACTAGCCGGTTACCACGAGTGCAGAACCCCACTGTCACGCTCTTGCAGAAAGCGCGAGGTAATATCCTTTTGTTTTATTTTAACTGAAGGTATGACGTTTACTCTGATCATGATATGATGCTTGAACAGAAGAAGCGATCGATGGTAGTTCGACGACTAATCTAGCCGCAAGGGTGGCGTAAAAGTATTTAAAGACTATGAGATATAGGGCAAGCTGAGGGTTTGTTTGATTGACCTAGATTCGAGCTCAAGGTACTTCTGGTGATAAAAAAGACCTCATAGATATCAACATAGACAACATGAATGTTCTCGCCGACTTCGAGTCAAGGCCGTAATCTCCATTAGATTAACAGCTGTCCTAACGTTCAGCAAATAAATAACTGTATAATAGAAATATTTAGGCTACTTTGCGGGCTCAGTGTGCTTAGTGCGAGGTTCTTAACGTTTTCGATAGCGTAAAAGTTAACCCAATTTTGTATGCAGTTGGACCAGCGCCCCTAGCGGCAAACGTACGCAAACGATCCCATTCCATAGAAAAAAATTTTTTTTTTTCGAGCCGAGGGCCGAACCTCCTACGAGGTCCCCGCGCCTAGGTGGCGCGCGGGGTATGTGAGACTCAACGATCTGCAGGTGTTGAGAATACAAATATGAGTTAACTTTTACGCTATCGAGAACGTTAAAAAACTCGTACTAAGCACACTGTTTTATAGGGTTTTACTTACTTACGCGATATTTTTCATATTAGTTCGATTCGATCATAATGGGAATCGTCTGTGAACTTCCATGCTAGGCATGTTTTCGCAACCGATTTCAATAAGCCCTTTATTTTCTAAGAGAAGGTTCCAGATAGACCGCGGGACATTTAATTTTAATCAGATCGAGAGCTATCTACCTGAATAAACTAAAAACTATAATTAAAAAGGGTTTGTGTGTTATAATTATTAACGTGATTTAACTCGGTTACAACGGTAAAATGTAATTATTTAATTTATTATTCATTTAATTCTCAGACACCTGAACGTGTCCAACGAACCTATGTCCCCTTATTTGAAAATTAATGAAACTGCCAACTTTAAAACGTACAGCTTATACTTCAAACTATATTGTTTGGTGTTCACGTTATTTTGACTTTAAAATGCAATCACGTTCATGACAAGTGACAATCGTATTAATCCACGAATCGTATCAAATGAGGATCCCAGACTTTTTTTTTCTAATATAGACTACTTTTTTTTTCTTAGATGGGTGGACGAGCTCACAGACCACCTGTTTTTTTTATTGCCCTTGTAGGCAGACGAGCATACGGCCCACCTGATGGTGAGTGGTTACCGTCGCCCATGGACTTCAGCAATGCCAGGGGCAGAGCCAAGCCGCTGCCACCGCTGTGATGTTATGTGGTTACTAGAGCCCATAGATTTCTACAACGCGCCACCCACCTTGAGATATGAGTTCTAAGGTCTCAGTATAGTTACTTTCAAAATTTCACTGGTTCCGGTAAACCCCAAGCAGATAAAATTTCTACCATATTCCTAAAACTCGATAAAAAATGTAAAGATTCGATCTAACTATACTGGAAGCCTCCCAACCCCAAAAAAAAATCCTTAATTAACGCTTAATGCTTAATTTAATTAAATCTTTACATCACTCAACTCTCATAATACTGAAGCCAATATCAATCTAATACCAGTCTGACATAAATAGGTAATTGAATAACCCAAAATTTCAAATTAAACCGCTACCGGGAACTGAACAATAGCCATCTTTCTCGCAAATGAAGCGAAATAAATAAGACGGCGAACTCTTGATTCGTAGAAATTGCGCCTTACCTTTCCGATAGAATAGGTGGTAATGTGAAAAAGATGTGCCGCAGTAACGAAGGTTGACAAGGGTCAGCTCGCGTCATTATTAAACTTTAATATTCCACGAGTGGAGTTGACAATTTTCCTGTTAAATAGACGTTGCGTCGCTCCGTAATAAAAGTTTGTCCGCATTTCATTCAACATCGGGCAGTGCAAGTCCATAATCCGCTGCGGTGTATATTTCCAAATTTTGACGCTTCATTATGCAGTACGGTATAAATGTATACATACGGTGGATTAAAACCTTTGGTTTTCGGTTGTAATTTGAAATACGTAAGCTTAAATGATAATACGAAATGCTTAGCTACAATACCTTGATGTGAGATATCGTGAATTTTCTAGATATAGTCGAGCCTTTATAAGTATTTTAATTAATTGCACAATCGAGCCTTTAAAAGTATTTTAAAAATCCGGCTATGGGGCTCGACGAGTAAATTAACCCACAGACACAGCCCACTGAGTTTCTCGCCGGATCTTCTCAGTGGGTCGCGTTTCCGATCCGGTGGTAGTTTCTGCGAAGCACGGCTCTTGCTAGGGTTCGTGTTAGCAACGTCGTCTGGTTTGAGCCCCGTGAGCTCACCTGCAAGCTCGGCGAATCTAGAATGACCCCTCGAGGTTATTAGAATAGGTAGGAAGTAATATATTTAAAAATCGTAATCAAATACATGAATACTATTTAAATGATAGGCAACCACTAATTATGATTATCATTTAATGAAACACTTCGGTAACTGCTAAGCGATTTACTAAATATGTATGTAAATGTGTCGATAGACCTGACTGAGTGTAACCCGGTAAAAAATTGTTAAAAAAAACCAGTATGATCCTGGAGAAGACTAAGCTCTCATCATTAGTAATGGCATCAATCATTTTACTATATGCTTTCACTTTCAGAAGGACAGTTGCCACGGGGTCCTGTCACACTTCAATCAGAAAGAGACAGTGCCCGATTACCTCGTGATAGGCCTTCGCCACCTAGCGGTGACCCAGGTATGCTTAACAAAATACTTTTGCTTTTATTGATTTGAAGTAATTTAACCCTAATTATAATTGCTATTTCTATATTTTCAGTCCATGCCTTAAGAAGAGAGTACGCGAGCGAGAGCGAAGCAGAAAGAAGAGATTACGAACGTATCGGCGTTCGTAAAATGTCTGATACTCGACAGAAAGTGGACGGTGTTGGACCTATAACAAAAGACGGCATGCCGATTACACTTAGATCTGTATGTAAACTATGTACATATATGTAGGATTGGTAAGAACGGAACGTATGAAAAGAGTGTGGAACGGAGCGTTAAGATGTGAGTGAGAGAAAACGGAAAGAAAGGGAGAAGAGAATGACAGAGAGAATGATGAAGAATTCGAAGATGGCGAAGACGGTTGAAAATTGAGCAAGACGTATTATAAGTGTTAATTATTATTATAGTAGAAGATTTTGGAACAGTGGAAGTTTTATTTTATGTGCTGCGATCCCTATTCTACATATAAATATGCGTAATAAATAGGTAATTCAAGGAACTACGTGCCACGGTGTTTCCAAACTGTTATGACATGTATTTCTTCAAACGAAGCTCGATAGTAGCAGACAGGGACTTAGCTGTGCTTCTGGAATTTCTGATATCCCGAAATGGGGGTAGGTAGCTACTCGACATCAAAACAATAATTTTAAAACTTCAGTTTAATATACTGACCAGTAAAGTCCGAATAAAAAAAAAGATGAGATTAAATGTTAGTTCGTTGTTACTAAGCTTGTTTTTTTAGTTTTTAAAATACGTATATATATTTTATACATTTATTTTATGTTTCGGTTATTATAGAGCGATAAGCGAGCTGCTTTCGAAAAATCATAAGACCTCGAGTTGATGAAGTTTATCACTAATTATCAATCGTTTTTAGAATGTTCACTTGAAACATTTATTTTGATTGCAGGAAGTCAAAGATCCATCGCGTTGGTATAAAAAGATGTACGACACGATTCATAAAAACAAATACGATGGTAAGCCCCTTTGATATTATTGAAATTTTATATCCGTAAAAAATTATTAACCGTTACAGTTAACTTAAATTAAAACTCATTTGTTTTTCAGACGATTACGTGACAATACGATACAAAAGTCGACGAGGTAATTAACGTTTTTTACATATCCCTAAAATCAGCCTATTTAAATTATAATCTCAATTATACAAGCATGGGCCCATTACTCAAATTGAATATAGGATTTCCTCGCGGCAGAAATTGTAAGGACGTTGTTAAACACCACTGCGGTCCTGACGTCATAACAAAATCTTCAACGATTTCTGCAAATAAAACATACAACAACAACTAAAATAGCTAAAAACGATGATTATTATTGTATCGTAAATATAATAATGATTATATTTAATGACTATTCTTAAATTTATTAAAGTAGGTACCTATTTGTGAATACTAATAGCTCATAATCATATCTCGAATTACTATGGGACCAAAAAAAGAACAATTATACTGTATTTTGAAGTCGTCGTGGCCTAAAGGATAAGACGTCCGGTGCATTCGTGTTGAGCGATGCACCGGTGTTCGAATCCCGCTGGCGGGTACCAATTTTTCTAATGAAATACGTACTCAACAAACGTTCACGACTGACTTCCGCGGTGAAGGAATACCATCGTGTAATAAAATCAAACCCGCAAAATTATAATTTGCGAAATTACTGGTGGTAGGATCTCTTGTAAGTCCGCAAGGGTAGGTACCACCGCCTTGCCGATTTCTGCCGTGAAGCAGTAATGCGTTTCGGTTTGAAGGGTGGGGCAGCCGTTGTAACTATACTTGAGACCTTAGAACTTATATCTCAGGTGGGTGGCGCATTTACGTCGTAGATGTCTATGGGCTTCAGTAACCACTTCACACCAGGTGGGCTGTGAGCTCGTCCACCCAACTAAGCAATAAAAATAATAATTAAGTAATAGCGTCGCAATCATAAATGTAACGATTTATGTACATATGTGATTTAAATTAATAATTCTCCTGTTCACATTCAGAGGCCGCAGAAAGGGTGCCAAGCAGTAAATCTCAATACGCATATTTCGACCCACGTTCAGGCTACCTGAGCGAACCTGAAGGAGGATTGAGCAGGCTCAGTGCGTTTAGTGATGCCTATGACAGTGATGTCACGACGGGCCCGAGGAGACGAACGGCATCCGTGCAGGAAGATCGCCGGATCAGTGACGTCAGTTCTTCTTATCTATCCAATAATAAGTAAGTTGTTACAAGTTTATAACTAAGGTTATAATTTACTTCGCAACATTAACTCACTGAACGTAGATAAACACGTTGTTTAATAAAAAGAAGATGTGTGGTGTCGTGGGACACCGGATAGGAACGAAGTTCCTTATTATAAAAATATTAATTTTAAGTTCTATTCGAGGTATAAAGAAAATAATTACTCGGGTATACATTTTTTATTGATTTTTTTATTGAAACAACTTTACAAAGCTATCAACTTTATTTTATTCACAATTATTTATAAAAAATATATAATAAAGAAATATATTATTTTTGTACGTTATTACAAAGTTAAGACGTACACTGTGTGCATTACTAATAAAAAACTTACGTTACGGACGTTTTTTCCCGGTTAGGGTACCCCTCCGCATCGTCCCATTAGGAACTTCGTTCCAATAACAAAAGTTTTATGTTTACATTATTTTCTTCGTCATTCGCGAGTCGAAGAGATAATTTAAAATCACTTGTACGATTTAATTTGAAAGAAAAAACATGGTTTTAGCTATATATTCAATGACCTCTGTATTATGGTTACCAAAAACACATAAACGGTACTCTGAATGCAGACTGTTTTTAACAAGAATCCTGATTCCAACTCGAAATTGAACTTGGTACAAACTGAACTTGAGTACGGTAATCAAAGCTAAACAATTACCATTAGACCAACGAAACCGTCGCATTGAGAGGTGTTACGAACAATTTATACTGAAATTTTTGCATTGACTAACTCATTTAATTACATATTTTCTTTCGATGCAATTTAGTATTATACATATGTGCCTGTTAAAGTCAATCATTAAAATCTTTAATCAAGACGCATTTTTTTTTTCAAATGTATAGTGTGCGTAATGTAAGTAAACTATTTTCACAGATACAGCACATTAGCATCGGCAAGGGCGAGCCAGGAAGTTTACAAGAACCAGCCGGGAAGGATTGAAAACTATGTGCCCGGGAAATCTTCAGTCGTTGATAAAGAAGCAAAGCAGGTAACAATTGTAATAGTTCACCGAGCATGGCATTAAAGTGGGTTATTTTATAAGTTTGCACGAATAAACTCACTCTGATGTTATTCAGTTTCGAAATATGAAGACGGTTAATCTATAAAATTATTTTCATTTAACGAATGTCTTTCAAAAGTGATTACTACGCGTGTGTCTTCCTGCAATTTTTCTTTTACAAAACGTGCAATTAAATTTTTTTTTACCATTTTATTCTTGCAAGCTGACATGCTCATAATATGTGCGAAAAACATTGGGTTTTATAAAAAGTTAATTTCAAATAACATTTTTTTTGTAAACATATTTTTAATAAATTATTCCTTTAGAAATAATAGTACTGTTTTTGTAATGGTGTTGTTCGTTTGTCGCCCTACCTTTGGCTAAACAAATAGACTAGAACGCGTCAATGTGAATGCTCTCTTAAGACATTAGATTGAGAAGTCGATTGCTTGAGTACAATATCTATCCATGGTTCAAAACGGAACAAAATATTACTTTGCAGTAGAAACGGGCAGATAGTAATAGTATTTATAGCATAAGTATGAAGGATTAGAACTGCCACAAAGAAATTGAGTCTTACATTTGTTCTGTTTACAAAAAGAAAGTTAATTTTGAAACGTACTTTTACTGCCATTGCCATCATCCATGCCTGGTATATCAACAGAACAATTTCCATTCACATTAACAACCTGGCCGTTATTTTTAAGAAGAAAAAACCAAAAGATTGTATTTTTTTTCTAGTGGTGGGACGAGGTTATGGACATTTTTGACGGGGTACGAATTTTTTATTACTACACACAATCGTGTTTCTATGTGTCGATAACAATAATTATTTTTTATAAAACTTGATTTGTTGCTCTTTGACGTATTACTTAATTAAAATGTAACTAAATTCCTAATCAATTTGTAATGTTAATGATGCGTTTGATTGTTAAGAATGCTAAACCTGTTTTTTTGCTATACTTGTTAAGTATAAATTCTATTAGAATCAGAATTTTAAAAAATAATGACTCATTTAAATTTCCTTATCAGTTACAGTATAACGTAGTATAATCGACGAATAATTAAGATCCTAAAAGAGATTATTTTATGTCTTAGTTTGATTTAAAACAATTTCAGTACTCTGACATATTTCATGTTCTCGAAATGTTTTCGAAATTTTAAATTTTCATTTGAAATCTTTGTTTTGAATAATAATTTAAAATCGGTTTCTGGAATGTTTTTGCTGACTATTGGACTAACTGGCGTATGTTCTCATGTGGGCGCGTGGTGACGGCACTAACAGTGGCTAGACGAGAACTCCCCTCTGCCTCCTTACACAACATTGCTCGCTCGCGCCATTCAAAAAAGTGTAAGGTCCTTAACTTTACTATATTGACGTTCTAATTTTGCTCCAAACTTTGATTAAGATATCGACTATCGCTTCTAAATAAGAAATAGAGATGTTTGTCGGATTTATGTCATTGCTATTTCATATCGGCAAGCAAATTTTCAAATTTTAATCAATGTCCCTCAAGCGTTAGATTCTAGTTGTCAATCATTTTTCATAAAACCCAAACAACAGATTATTAGAGACACAGATAGAAAGAAACCGACCTACTGATACTGTTGAAGTCCAGCTATTGAACGCTCACTAAGCCGAAAAACCAACAACTACAAAACTTGTGCAAAGTATTATGTACCTACATAGTAATAACTAAATTAATACAAGGGAGTAAACATGTTTCATCAGACTTTTGAACATAAGGAAATTGGAACAACATAAAACATTGACACTCCAATGTGATTATAACTAATTTTATGCAAATTTACCCTTACCAATTTCCATTTTTTTTTGTTTCGTACCAAATTTTGATAATTACGGGCGTGATAAAAAAGAAGTAAATACAATTATATAAAATTATGCAATTATATATAAATTTACATCCTTTACAGTTACTTAGCACAGACCGAAACGTTTTGAATTAACTTTCTTGATTTACTTCCAAAATAATCTGGATTGGACTAAGAATGCCACGTAAAAATATTCTTGGAGTTTTTTTTTTGTATGTTTATTATCACTTTTTTATTCAACGATGAGTACCATAATGGTTTAGGTTTGAAAAACAAAAATTATATAAGCAAAAATAGGACGTCAATATAGTTTACGTCCAGCATTGTGTTGTGTTATATTGTTTCCGCTTGCATGTTGGTGAAAACGTTACTGTTTTATTATTATATTTATGTTGTGTGTTTCTTCGCTAAATGTCATGTAATTTTATTTGTATTTCTTACTTTCTTCATTCTTTTATTCACATAAAAAAATCTGACTCACGAAATATAATAACTACGTATTCGTGACCAAGCGGTGTGATGGCTGTCCTCAATTAAAAGGTCGAGACTGGACGAGTACTATGTTTCAGATTTTCTGTAAATCATAAATTGTATTGACACAGCAAGACAGAGGTATCACCTGCGTACTCACGGTGTTCTGTTAATGATACAAGGTTTAATTTCGTAAATTATGTAAGTTACTGATGTTCAAATAATCTAGACTTATTTTTATTAAATTTTTGCTAAAAAGAGGGGTTTGGGAAAGTAAAATTATTTGTTGTTGTTTTTTTTTCTCTGTCTTATTTTTCTTTTTTTTGTTTCTTCTCTTTTTTCTTTTTTTTTTGTTTCTTCTTTTTTCTTTCTTTGTTAGTTCTTTATTTTAATTATTTTAAGCTCTGCACTGCACGCGTTCTGAGCAAAGTTCATCCTTGTATGTCGAACCACTGTGCTCGGCGTGCTTGCGGTTCGTCAGGAGTAAATTACCCCCCTCAACGTTTTCTGAACATTGTGTGTTCGACATCGACTTAACTGTGCTCCTGGCATTGCTGATCTCCACGAGTAACGGTAACTGCTTACGATCGAGTTTTATGCTCATTGTTGTATGTCATGGCAAAAAAGACGCCGAAAGTGCAAGTTACGTAAATACGAAATTCAACCTTGTATGTATTATTTGATATTGGAATTCCTAAAAATTGCTTTTCAGCCACTCTTTTATGTATTAAAGTGGGAAAATAATACCCCTTAAATGCATATATTTCTTGAGTTGATATTTATTTTGGTGTTGCGTATTGTAATACGTATATATGAAACTTTCAAAACTCCAGAGAATTTCATATGTTTTACTTCAAAGTTTTAATTGAAACTGTCCATTAATATAAATCTTAAATTAATTTTAATTAGACAGGGGCTTGGCTGTGTCTTGTGGATTACTGAAGTTCACGAGTGATGGTCACATCAACGGCAATAAAAATAAATATAAAAAATATAAAAAAGAAATTCTACGTTCGTATTTGGGCAATTAGTGACTTTATTCAACATTAATAATTCACAATCTATTTTAAAACGTAATTGAAATAAAATGTAACTACACGAAAAGCATGTTTTTTTTTTTAGTTATTCTGCAGAGTAAACAGTAGAGATCGCTAACCAGCATGATTTTATTCGTATTGTATAAATGATATTAAATGTTATCGCATCATATAAGAACGCTTCGTTTTCCTTCAGCAAAATATATCCAGCACTACCTCGTTGCCCCAACCTTCGCCAAAAGAGAAGAAGGATATTACTGCCGCAATTCTGTCGAAATCCAACATGGCAAAGTGAGTTTTAATTTAAGTAAATACTTAAGGTTATTAGGATCACTAATAGTCGGTCCGAAGCTTTTATTTTAATGGGTGAAACAGCTCACAGTCCAGTAGACCATAAGTGATACGTAAGTGGTACCGGTGTGAATGACCGGGACGAATGACTGAATTATCGCAGAATCGGGCAGGTTGTGGTACCTACCCGGACAAAATTAGAATGCAATAAAATTAGAAGTCGTCGTGGCCTAAAGGATAAGACCTCCGTTGCATTCGTATCTAGCGATGCAACGGTGTTCGCCTCCCGCAGGCGGGTACCAGTTTTTCTAATGAAATACGTACTTAACAAATGTTCACGATTGACTTCCAAGGTGAAGTAGCAAGTAGCAGTAGCAATAGCATCGTGTAATCAAACGTAAAAATCAAACCCGCAAAATTACAATTTGCGTAATTACTGGTGGTAGGGCCTCTTGTGAGGCCGCACGGGTATGAACCACCGGCTTGCCTATTTCCGCCGTAAAGCAGTAATGCGTTTCGGTTTGAAGGGTGGGACAGCCGTTGTAACTATACTTGAGACCTTAGAACTTATATCTCAAGGTGGGTGAAGCATTTACATTGTAGATGTCTATGGGCTCCAGTAACCACTTAACACCGTCCATCCATCTAAACAATAAAAAAAAATGCAAAAGTAAAAGTAAAATTTTGTTTAACTAACCTTACGTATGCAAGCTTTAATAATTTGAACATTTCACATATCATCTACAATATCGAATCCCCGGTATAAAGTTCTTCAATAAACATCCGAATAAAAATTGGCTCGTCGTCAACAAAGTAAGGAAAATAGTATATTTAAAAGATCTTAACTTCAAAGTCGAACGTTTAGTTATCACTACATAGTATAAGTATAAAACAAAGTCGCTTTCTCTGTCCCTATATCTGTCGCTATGTATGCTTAAATCTTTAAAACTACGCAACGGATTTTGATGCGGCTTTTTTTAATAGATATTGAATTTGATTTGAATTGATTGAAGAGGAAGGTTTATATGTATAATAACATCCATTAAATAGTGGAGAAATCAATAATAAATTACAGTTTCCGAAGCGAAGCGAGGGCGGGTCGCTAATAGAAATATAAAACATACAAAGACATGAACAATACACGTGTATTTTTAAAGAAAATTAAACTATGTTCTCTCTTGTATAGAGCTCTGAAGGAGTCGGGCTATGAATCTGATTCTACTCTTATATTCCGCCGTCGCGAGGAAACGGACGCTCCACTCTCTCCAGCGGAAAGGAGGGCCGCGTATCGTGACCTGCAGGCCGGCGGGGAGCCACCCCTACGCGGATTCCGATCTCCTGCCCCGCCACGTCAAGGTAAGCATAGCCTAGACAAAGGTCCCGTTTCACTTTTATTTTTAATACAGTGTGATAAACGAGAAGTATAACCCTTGTCAGAAGTAAAGACACGACATCTTTATCTCTTGAACTTGAACGATTGTGAAACAGGTCCTTAATGTATACATTGAAATTTAAATCAGGTGGTAGATATAATACAAAATATGCTGGTAATTTTTTTTTAAATCGTCATGATCTTTACGGAATTAGTTTTAATAAAAGTTTTAGTTCGATAAAATTATTTCAATAACCGTTAGCTTTATGGTTAACACTGTTGCCTATAATAATTTTTCGGCAGAGCTTCCTCTCAATTTTTCGTTATTTCCTATTTGTAAAATGAAAATCTAAAACTAGCATCCTCGATATAACGAATGATTGTGAGTAATGCCATAATGTTATATCTGCTGAATAAAGCAATAAAATTATCAATAAGTTTCTTTTTTTTTGCAAAATCTTACCTAATTATAACCCCTTTTGTTTTAAACCGTTCATTGTGATTATGATACTTTGACACTACTTGTAACATTATATAGAACTTAATGAACGGTTTGATACATATCAAAGAAATGCGCTTTAAAATGGTTGAAGATTCATAATAACCCGCATGGTATTTCTAATTTTGGCAATCGGTGTCGGATATTAATAACATCCGACTATAGCCTACGTTGGCTAATCGGTTGCGTTGTAAATGGGGCTCTGTAAAGTCCCCTAGCAAATTTGAGTCTGGGAAGGTCAATCTAGTCAAGGTTATTACTGCGCAATGCGTTAGGCATGGATTACATGCGCGTGCTATTGTCGGACGTCGCATCTCAAGGCCGTGTCAATGTGACAATAACAACACAGTTCGATCGAACACGCTATTGTAGTTTACACTGACGTACACGCAGGGTGAGTATAAACTCAACAAGTTCTATGCATGTTACTATTTATCTCAGTAACTCGGTTCTGGGTCTACAGCTGGCTGTGTGTAAGGTACAGTACTGCATGAAAACTAGTTGACTCCAAAATTAAACAAGCACCTATATGCCTTTGAAGGCACGTATCTACATTTTAATATGAGTTATCAGCACATTTGTAGGCACATTAGAAACAACAAAACTGCTTTTGAAGCTATCGTACACGTTTTATGGACACAAGAATCACGTTTTAATTAATTAATTTGCAAGAAAAGACTTACTGCTGAACGAAGTTCAATTTTCACAGACGAAACGGAAATTGAATACATACCTATTTCTCCAACGTTGACGAAGATAAGAGTTCACAAGAAAACGCCACAAATACATGAAGTAGTTTGTTATCCTGTGACATCCATTCAAACTGATTTTCAAACCAAATATAAAAAAGGTGCGACGTCGTTACTGAACTTCAATATCGTTAGCGACATAGCAGATGATCCACCAGCACCACCACGAAGAATTTCATCCAAAAACAGCAGAACACTTAAATTCATAACGTCAAACAGACCTTCATCAATGTCACCGAAGAGAGCCTCAACAATTCCAATGAAATCAAATGTTGATTTTTTAAAAGACAAAATAAGTCATAAGCTGACGAGACAAAATACTCAAATAATTTCTCCGAATGTGAGTAAAACCACTGATCAAAAGACTTATAAAACACGATTGATGTCCACGTCAGCACCACCTTCTATAAATAGAAATCATGTTCCTGCTTGTTCATCGAAATCAGTTAAAAATGTATCTGATAAAAAAACATTATGCACAAGCAGTTTTGGTTCTTCGCGAAGAATTTTAGTCCCCACAGAATATTCAAATGCAGCGTACGCTAGATACAGCCAGCCTCAACGATCTATTATAATTGAAGGCGGGGCTGGAAGAAAAACACCTATATCGAACGTTTTAGACAAAATGACTTCATTAGACAGATTGTGGAGTGCCGAAAAACGCAATGAAAAAATTGACGTACATAAAGTCAGCAAATCCGTAGCAAAGAATAGTAGCACAATTAATACAAATAGAAATTATACACAGCGATCAATTCCTGGAAATAATTCAAAATCTCCTACAAGTGTTACTCACAAAAGCAGAGACATGATTCGTACAGCAGAAAAAGTCCAAAGATTAAAACTTTCAAGCCAAAATACTAAATCGACTCCTTGCTTAGCTGTTAGAAGTGACGCAAAATTTTTGAAACCTAGTTCTTTACAAACATCACAAAAAATATCTAAGTCATCAACTAATATTCCACAAAGTTCTAAAAAGCAAACTCAAGTGAGAACCGCCGTTGTAACAAATTTAAAAAAGAAAAAGTCACTTGAAAGTATTGTAGTGAGGCCCAAAATTGTGCCTTGCCATGAGACTTGCAACAAAAAGTCAAGGGATTTAAGTAAAATTAATAAAAAGAACTCTAAATTAAAAACGTTTAAAAAAACAAATACATCAGGGACTGAGTCGGATAATGGAAATCAATTTGGAGATAACTTGAATAACGTGTCAAACATGAGTTCTGTAGAATATTTAAACAACAAACAACTCATTGCAAAGGAAATAAAACAATCACATGATGCGGTTACTTCCCACTCATTTTTTCAGCATCTCTTTTTAGGAAGATCGCATGCTAAAAGTTTGTCTCAAAGTTTGCTTGAACCAAATACTACAGTGAGACAAAAAGCGAAAATGTTTCAAACCTTACCTATTGAAAACGATACACCAAAATCCTTAAATTCATATTTAATTCACAGAAAGCCGGTTTCACTATCTCGTTTCAAAGTATGGGATAGATATCCAAGTCCAAAACGCCCTGAAAGCCCACGATCTATATCATGGCCCGGACGATTGTACAATGATGTACGAAAATGCGATAGTCTGAATATTAATGAAAATTTTGGTTCGACTTCTTCTTTAGCAACCGTTCGAAGCAAAAGTGAACCACCCATCAACAAAATATTCTTTTCACAAACGTCTCGCCCAAAATCACCTAAAGTAGTATTTTATAAAAAAAATAAGACTGAACAATCATCTAACAGATCATCAACTTCGCCAAATAGATTATTTTTTTCCCAAGCCATTAGACCCATTTCACCTAAATTCATCCCTCCTAATAAAAGTACACAAACAATGTCGAATGGTTTTTTATCGAATTCAGTACATACGGAAACTGAATTAAGCAGTGGCCCTGTAAAGTTTGGAGAAATCGGAACAATAGTCTCAGATAAATGTCCTTCTACAATTTTCTTTTCTCAAACATCTAGACCGGTATCTCCAAAAATTCAACGGAAAGCGGATCCATCATTTAGTCATAGTAGAAGTCACTCTACATCACCTATTTCTTTGCGGTCCCCATCTTACCGTCGAATCCATAGCGTTCGATCACAAATCAATAAAAATAGTTCTGACTTATCTAACAGCTTAATACGAACAAGAAGTGCTGGTGATGCCGATAAAAATAAATTCCAAGAAAAAATTTACTTCAGAACAAAAAGCGATAACATCCGTCATGTTGATGATCCAGATTATGATGAGTACCTTCGAGATGTTGAAAATACTAAGGCTAGATCTGAACGTTTTAGAGAACTGAATAGATATTACACATATTTAGAAAGAGTCGCAGAATTAGAGAAAACAACTTCAACTAGTGATTTACGTCACAGGAAAAGAGATGAAGAAATTATTGATTTCGATCGGTGGAAAAAAATTCGGGCAATTGAGAGGGCTGAAGAAGAATTAAATAATTTATATCATAAATTAAAAATTGCTCAATCCGAAAAAGATTTCTTATTTTATCCCAGAGATTTAAAAGACTATCGCTGGAACTATGATCGTGAAAGGGGTTTACGAGTTAAAGAAAGATCTGTAGAAGATCTAAAAGACCATTTTCAACATATTAGCAATACTGATTCTCTAGATTTAGATCAGGTTGTTTCTAAAGATACATACAAACCGTTATGGCGCGGAAGTAGCGTAGCTGAAACTGCTTTTTATATAAACAAAAAAAGTGACAGTGATAAAAAAGATAGATCCACTGTTAAACCCGTTATTGCTTTAAAAAATGACTGCTCATTCGCCGAGCTTCGTAAGAAAATTGGACTAGGTAATCGTTTATGGAGTAGTTTATCAATGGACCAAGTAAATGCTTTAAAAAATCAGCTTAATGCCATATACAGTAAAGAATTGGAGTCAAAAATGAACAGGGACAATGAATCAAAATACACTATTGATGTAAATAGTACCTATAGAACAGAAAATCAAGATCTGCGCGTCAGGCGCAATTCTTTGATTACACCAAATAATATTCCCGAAGAACAAAACCCAACGAAACTAATGAAATCGGATTCCTTAGCAGCAATTCCATGTCCAGTTACATCAGTCAAGGAATTGAAAAATAACGTAAATAAAATACAGATGAATTTAAGTGAAAATGAGAAGAAAAAGATTTCTCAAACATTAAGTAAAGAATTGTTGGATAGAATACATAAATTTGAAATCGAAATGCCTGTTGCAGTTAAACAAGAAACTGAGTTGAAATTATCAAACCAAACCGTTACTTTAAATAATGATGATATTTTAAACGACGGTAAAGAAATAAGCAAATTTAACTATCAGCCAAAAGAAAACGAAACTGAAACTGTTGATAGAAAAGACAAAAAAGAAGTTCAGAACACATCTGCAAGTGAAACAGAAACAGCTAGTTCAGATAATTCGAGTAAAACAGTCATATACCGTGGACCCAGTAAAGAAGTTTTAAAAAAAGTACAATATTTTGAGTCTGTTAAGAATATTTCCAATAAACCTAATACTGTATTTCATGCTCGAGAAGGTTCCGATGAAAAACTTCAATTAGACAGCGATGTTTCTCAAATGGTTCAAGAGCCGTCATCACAAAAACATAAAATTGTTCAGTCACGTTCTTGTTCAAATATTAAAGAATTCTTTGGCGAAACAGAGCAAAATAATTTTTTATCCTTACCTATGAAACCTGAAATGAATTCACGAACAACATCACCACATTCAGTATTAGACTTCACGGACCGGCATACGCCTGACACGCTATTTTCTAGTGATGAGACGATATGGCGTAGTCGAAGCCCTTCGCCCGACCCGGAACGATATTGGCGCGCATACCTCAATCTGGCACGCGCGGGTGAAGTACGTCGTCTCGCTAGACGTTTCGACTCACCCTCCATAACCGGTTCTGTGTTGCGTAGACATCGCAGTGATCCTGAAATTGCGCGGAATGTTCTCAATAAAAGTTGGCCTTCTTTTGAGAGGATCTCTACTCGGAAACATATGTCTAGGGCCATTCTCCCGGTGGCTCGTGTTCCTCTACGAACAGCGAATCGATTTATGCCTCACATTGATATTATATCAAAATTAGCAGCATTACGAAGACGTACTGCTCCCAGATCGAGATCAGCTGAGGAAGCCTTAGAATGTCGACCAGGAGAAGTAAACCGAATTCGGCGCAGATTCGAAGCAATGTCTCTTTTGGGACAACTTTATGCTTCAGCGCCTGATGTAAGTGAATTGCATGACATTGCTCCGTACCTGGCGGGCACATGGATAGCACATCGTTTTCCTAAGCCTAGCGACAACAACAGGTCCATAAAAGATCCGTATAGTTTAGTTCATGGATGCACAACCCCAATAAAAAAAGATGTCAAATTAGTAGCTCACACAGATTCGATTAAACTGAGCTCAATTTTAAAACATGATACACTACCGGTAAAAGAATTTGATCCATCACTACATCGTCCTGTTAGCCGATACGAACCACCAAGAGCGCCTCCTCGCCCTCCACCAGCTTCGTGGCCTCAACGGTTTTCAGCCTACGGGAGTCAACCTCGTCATTCTGTTACATTTCAAGGTTAACTTCAATTTAAATTATTTTAAAATCATCTGTTTCATTTTGGAGCAACTTTTACGAAAGCTTTCCTTGTTAAAGATTTATTGATTATCGTTAAGGTGTGTTACGTTTACGTTGCGTGCTTACCTAACATTGCATGTCTCAAAATCGTCAACGTAAATACTTGGGATCGCAACCTATATTCTTGGTCGATTGATTACTTTAATTTCATAAAAATAGAATTATTATTATTACCTAATTAATCATTTAGACAAATCTGATATTTAAAATATTGGATAAAGAATTTAAAAATAACATATTTATATAGTTGAGCATAATACGACCACCCTCCTGTATACATAGTAATGTCTTGAGGATAGGAGATAAATCTTTAACATCCACCGTTTAGTTACTTTTATTACTTTTATTTTCATTATGCTTTGGTAGAAACAGACTCAGCGCCCGAGCCACCGCGGAGAACACAACATGGGAGCTATTCAGATGCAGGCAAGTATCGAATAATTTCAACTATAAAAAATGATAACTAGTTTTAATTTAAACTTCATATAGACTCAACAATAATTAACCCATGAAAATAAAAGAAAAAAAAAACTGACCTAGTTTTAGTTGTTAAATAACATTTCATTCTCCGTAACGTTATAACGTGTACGAACAAACTTGTAAGATTTAAATGAATTACCTACCACTACTATTTGTGCGAATAAAAACCAACAATAGCCTTTGTTCAAGATATTCAGTTACCACTGGCCGCAGACAAATTTATTAAATAAATTCAAGCCGTTGCCTACGACGTACGTACGCTTAAAACAAGGAAGATAAATAACTTTTAAAAATAATATGGAGGTGTATTAAAGTTAAAAACAATCCTTATTTATTTGGAATCATTATCTTTGTTCGTATCTTATAATAATGTACTATCCGTCCGCGATTTACGTCATTCACCTTGATTGTGTGGCTAAAACTTGTCGGTCCAGTATTTTTTCCGAATGTAAACAGTTCGGCCAGCTTTTTGTTCATGTGCAGAAGGATTTGTTCTGAATAAGTAGTTCAATGGTTGACCGTGCCAAATTGTTTTATTTTACGTGTCTAATGAATATCATATTGAAAATATTTCTTAAAATATATTGAAAGTTTATCAATCATTGTTGGTTGATATCACAGCGTTATCTACTTTATCATACCTTTAGTAAAATATCATTTAGATACTGCGTTAAGTGTCAGTGACATGATTTTGTGTTGAAGTAAAATGAGTGCTGCGAACGAAATAAATAAAAACCGTGGTAGAACTGGTTCATACAGTGACGTTACCTATGAAGACGACGGATTTTTTAGTGATGTTCCCGGTTCAGGATCTTTATCAAGATCCCTTTTAGCTTTAAACGTGTACGTCAAAAATAATTTACTTTTCAATGAAGATGGTAGCAATGAAATAGAAGACGTCGCATATTTTTCAAAAGAAAGCAGCCCTAACAAATCAATCGTAAAATATGATGTGGACAGCTCAAGCAATGGTGAACAAAATTCTAGAATTTCGCAGGAAACTAGAGGCCAAATTAAATCAACGTCTGTTTTTTCTTCTAAGGTTTTAAGCGAACCTGTAAAACATGAATATAATATAAATACGCAAACTGACGACTACAAAAGTATACGATTACAAGATTTTCAAATAGCACCTGATTTAAATTGTAACTCTGATCACGACCCTGAAGAGAATTCCATATCAAACTCAACGACAGTAACTGAAAATGACCCCGAAACAGACAAACGACATTCTCGTACGGTAACTAATACTGTAGTACGTATCGAATATAGCGATATTCGTCAAAACGGCGCATCTTCAAATAATTCCTTTGTTATATCACCTCGGGAATGCAATGGCGGGATGCTGTCTAATGTTGTAACAAAAGCGATAACATTAATAACACATAACGGTGATGAAAACGTAGAAAATAAACATAACGATGCTCGCGGAGATTACAACAGCATAAAACCGCTAGAGAACGATGACTGTTTATCCTTTGATAAAGGTAATGACAGAATTTCTACGAATCTAGATTATAATTACGTTAATGATTTAAATAAGGAAAAGCAAAAAAATAAATCGTTTGAATATGAAGAATATGACACAGAAAAACAAAATTCTCATGAAGATGCACAGATGTTATTTAAATCAAAATCCTATGATAACTTGGAATTTCAAAAAGAAGAAGAAACAATTACAACGGTAGTTCAACGTCACAAGCCATTTAGCTTGAAGAAGCAAGATAATCGCCATACGCTACATGAATTTTCAGAATGGGGAAACAGAACAACTACATATCCTGACGTCTACGCTCCATTACCATATAGTGAGTATGATTAAAAAGAAAGTATTGCCTTCAATTCTTACTCTCTAAGCTGAGAAACAGCAGTGTCCGTTAAAGAACAGTTTGTCAGTAAATGTTACAATTAAAAACAAAAGTTTTACCTTCAATGTTTACTCTCTAAACTGAAAAACAGCAGTGTCCGTTAAACAACAGTTTGTCAGTAAATATTACAATTAAAAACAAAAGTTTTACTTTCAATTCTTATTCTCTAAACTGAGAAACAGCAGTGCAACAGTTTATTTAACGGACATTGGTGCTTTATAAGCACTGATTTATAATATAGATAACCGCGAAATTTTAAAACTACTGGTGTTTACAGTACTGTGGATGGAGATAACGGATTTTTTTTTTATGAAAAATACAAAACGTAGTGAGCGATGACTGTTCATGCCGAGTAATAAAAAAAACTTTTATTACTTTAATATTATTGGTGGTAGGACCTCTTGTGAGTCCGCACAGGTAGTTACCACCACCATACCTATTTCTGCAGTGAAGCAGTAATGCGTTTCGGTTTAAAGGGTGGGAGCCGTTGTAATTATACTGATACCTTAGAACTCATATCTCAAGGTGGGTGGCGGCATATACGTTGCATTCGTCTATGGGCTCTGATAACCACTCAACACCAGGTGGACTGAGAACTCGTCCACAAAGATAAGAAAAAAAAAATTACATTACATGCACAGAGGATGGCTACGTACAGAATTTTACTAATACGTCATAAAAAATGTTTTATCTGTGAGCGCAAGTTACTATTCCAAATGTCGACAACTTAACAAGCACGTGCGTTTGAGGGAAAGTGATGGCTCGTTGGCGGGAGATGTAGGCTTTCGAACCGATATGATCCGAGTCGAGTGCATCCGTTAGAAGTCGTTGACGACAGTCGCGTCGACTGGCTGACAGATCGATCGCGTTGTGCTTTACCATTATGGGAATATTGAAACAGATAAAGAGAATAACCAATCAAGGTTCGTAGGTTGTCATTATCTCGATGAAATAAGTTATAAGTTATGTTTACTTTTCTTTCTTTTATTAATATAATAAATCAAATCGAATCTGTGTAGGTAGTGCTTGACTAATTCTCATACTAATAATTCCACTCGTTTTTTTTATATTCGAGTAAAACCGTAAAAATAATATAAATTTGGCTGGTCTTAATAAAAACATGTCTTCGTCACATAGAGCTTTGAACACTTAAAGGGTCGCAGGTAATTAGAAAAAATCAAACTTGCCCTCGGCTAGAAAGAACCATAATGCGGATGCATAATTATGTTTGAATTCCCAGTGACCTAAAGGACAAGCCTTTATTGATAACATTGTATTCGTAGCTAGCGATGCAAGTATACCAGACTTAAAATCCAGTTTTTCACCAAAGAAATGATAATATGTCAAATCAAATCAAATCAAAATCAAAAATTTTTTTATTCAACATAAATGAAAGTACATACTTGTTGAACGTCAAAAAGAACTACCGCCAATTTTTTTTTTATTGCATATATGGGTGGACGAGCTCACAGCCCACCTGGTGTTAAGTGGTTCAATTCATTCAATTAACAAAAACTAGCCTCCGTCCTGAGAAGAACTGGCAAGAAACTCAGCGGGCATGTCTTTTTTCTTCTTTTTTTTAATATTAGATTATTTTTTTAATATTAATTTTTACAATGAGTATTATAACGTAACAATTATTGCAATATTTAAATGCCCGGAGCAAGCAACTCATTCCCACTTTGTGCAATCTTCTAGATAATCATTGACTTTATAGTAAGCATGTACCTTTAGAATCTAGAAATAGATATATGCTCACGAGTGACTTCACGATGAAAGAACATCGTATTTAATATGAAAACAAAATTAATTTTCGCAACTAATAGGGAGGGTGTATTACAAGCTCGCGAGCATAGGTACATAGGCCCTGCTTGTAATATACAATACAATACAATAAACGGGTACACATATGATAATAATGCTTCCGGGCTTAAAGGGTGAACCAGTCGGTATCTATTATAATTGGGACATCGATTTCATGCCTCAAATTGGGCCTTAGCGCAAGCTCGTCTTTCTATGAAGTGCATTAAAAAGAAACTAGTGATCCCTCTGTAATCGAAATTCGACTATAATTAATTGAAATTATAAGTTTGAACATTATTACGGTTCTATTGTCAAAGACTATTTATTATACTTCTATAGCGTACTCACAGATTTCGCCAAGACTACACCCTATAGACAAATGATGTTACAGACAAACAATATTAATATATTCTCAATTTGACCACAAAGTTTCAACAATGACAAAAGTTTGACAATAAACACTGAGTATATGTGTTGACTCAAATACATGATAGTGTGTGTAATGTTTTCTTTATTGATTTAATGTATCTTTTATGCATTATTTTAAAAAAATATTAGCATTGTGCACTTCTTCTCTATATTCTCTATAAGTGTGGAAAATTTCATACTCTTCCGTCCGCGCAATTTTCATAAAAAGGGATACAAAGTTTTTGCTTCACGTATTAATATATAGATGTACTATGTACTATAACTATGTATATACGATGTCTTATAATACGTTTTTAGGCTGAGTAGCAACGAACCCTTCAGTACATTGAGTAATGAATTGAATTGAATTTAAAAATATTAGCTTCGATAAATTACGCCATGCCTAAGTGACACGTTGTGAAATAGCCGTTGAGGCTGTGAAGAAATCTAAGTATCGAAGTGTCTTGCTTAATTACCGTAATTCGAGACTTGATCGTGGAGTTTAAGTAACAAAGTTATTTGATTTTAACAATTTGGCAATCCACTGACATCCTGTATAGTTCACGTTGTATCTGTTTGATCTACGTACACTGTTTTACTTTGACTAAGCTCATTTTTATGTTTTAAATCCTATGATTTTTTAAAAGGCGTGCCATTGCCCGTTCTACACAAGGATTTTATCTTTTGGTTATCAGTAATACATAGCTCGAAAATGACTCAGTTTTTTATTTATTCATTTCACTGTGGCAACACAGTTGTTGTTTTTATATTTCTTCTGGTGCAGACATCAACTACAAGACTCTACTAGTTCTTACCACATGATGAACAAAATCAAATAATATTCAAGTTCCCATAGATCCATTTATATGTCTGTCATTACCCTAGTACGGCCCACTGAGCGTGTTAAATACATGCTCAGAATACATAGTGTGAGAAAGTTGACTTTTTGTACGCTGTATTTTAAGAGAATTATTTACGTAGTCACGTGCATTCATTTGTAATCACATTCCTTAAGAAGATAATAAAATTTTACGGAAGACAATGACTTCTTCCATCTTGTGCACTGTATTGCATTGTTAAGTCCATTAATGAAAGTAATGATTTGCATACGATTAGATATAATTAATTAGAAAAAATAGCTTTCCCGCTATCGATGCCAAAAAACAACTCTGTTTTCTTATTTTAATTTATGTTATTTAATTTTCATATTATGTAATTTGAATAAATTGTTACATTCATTAAAATAATGTTTAATACTTCGATTCATGTAAATTTGTAATATTTCAATTTTAATATTATCGTGTTATTTTATAAAACCGCTTTCTGATGTATGTATGGGTTAGCAGTTATCGTATAATCAAGCTGTGCCCAAAAAAAAAAAGTCATGGTGTTACGGCAACAGCTGCGTTGCCATGGTACTTTCACTTTTATGGAAATAAATGCCAATAACAGCCAAATGTTGATTCGACACTATTAAACGACTAATATCTACATTTTCTTCTACGCATTGGATTAAAATAAGCTACCAAGAGCCCCAGGTCATTCAACTTTATGTTATAATATGATAAAATATATTTTTGGTCCTAATAAATATTCATCATAATATGTATTAAATAATTTCAACTGTGTTTTATGCATAGTAGAATTCGTAAGTTGCCTGTCATATTGTTTGCTACGAATATTAAAATTTGTTTACTCAATCTTTTTCTGTTTATTTATCATTTATTTTTAAGTTCCCATAAAGAAAATAATTTTACTATGTTCGTTTTAGAACAAGAAAGTTATTACGCAATAGCTTTCTTCGAAGAATAAGATATCTATTATTTTCGAGTATTTCGCACAGTACACTTTTCTCAATAGTTTTTTTTTTTTAAACAGAGTCTCCCCGGCGTTATGTGGAAAGCGATGTGAACATCCACTATCGGTGTCCAGTGCGACACGACCCCTTACCTCTCGTACCCGAGAGAGAACTTGCGAGGCAGCAGGCAGAACACATGAAGAGGCTGTATCGAGAGCAGAAACGGAATAAATATCTGCAGGTGCGTACTGATAATCATGTCTCAGTTTTTACTTAATTAAGCATTAATATTAATTACTATAGATCGGATTTTCTTGGCTTTTCACGGGTCGTAGACACAATAAAAACAGCTTTTACGGTTTAATCTCGAATTTAATATTTATATTTTATTGTTTCCGAAGTGTACAATACTTTATAGTTTTCTTGTTCACGGACAACCAAAAACTATTATTCGTTGCCATTTGCACATTCTGATTATATATTATGTGTTAGAATATTGTAGAGTATGGCAAAATAATATTCGGTAATTAGCAAAAGTACAAACTCTGAACTATATTACAGACTACTTCAATCAAATACTTAATGTATTATTTTGTTAGATTGTAGTACAGTAAACTATAGTTTAATACACTTCATGTTCATTATATTTTATAACAAACTTAATTTACCGGAATAATATTTAGTACAATATTCACGATGCTCACCCACGTATTTGAAAACAAACACTCCGAAATATGTACTTTTTCTGGAAAAGTGTCATCCTTTCGCGGTAACATTCATTTATACATTATTGAAATACGAGACGTTTTATTTTTGCATCTATCAAAATATGCAACCGAAACTATTATTATAAGTTCACTGTTATTACAAATTATAAAGACATCAGCATCAAATACATCAAATCTTAATCGAATGAACTGGTGATGATGATTTAAAAATAAAAATACATTTTACGGTAACTAATATTATTGTGAAGCAGTGTGAAGGTGTAATATGCCAAAAAAATTTCTCATTTGTACTGCTTTGTAAGTATTAAAACCGAACACAAAGAGAACTTATTCACGACGCTATCGAAAATAGATTACCAATTATCGTGTCACTTCAACGAAGGCTCGTCGATACGGATAAAACGGTAAATTACAAAAGCAGTTCGAGCACAATTTACCCACGCGAATGCAGCTTAATCGATATACCTATCGCAAAAAATACGAGTACTTAAGTACCTACTGCTTTATTTCAGCAATGAAAATAACTCAAGCATTTTTTTTTTTTATTGCTTAGGTGCGTGAACGAGCTCACAGCCCACCTGATGTTAAGTGGTTACTGGAGCCCATAGACATCTACAACGTAAATGCGCCACCAACCTTGAGATATAAGTTGTAAGGTCTCAGTATAGTTACAACGGCTGCCCCACCCTTCAAACCAAAACGCATTACTGCTTCACGGCAGAAATAGGCAGGGCGGTGGTACCCACCCGCGCGGACTCACAACAGGTCCTACCACCAGTAAAAAAGTCATATGTCATAGTTATGCTGTGATTAATTTGGCAAAGATATATTTTTTTTTAATTTCGCCAGTGAACGTAATGTTACAGTTATGTACGACACATTTAGGCGCTTTAAATGTTTGCTAAATAAGGATAGCGTTAAAGAAATAAATATATGACGGAAATTTAATATGGCCGCTGGTTGTGGTTTTGTTTGCAGCGTCGAAGTTGTACACATTTGTTTAGCACCTATTCATTTCTATTCGAGTTTCATAACAGACGTGCTTCTCTCGTTAAACAAACAATATTCAGTAAGTACTTCTACATACTTTAAATATAAATTGCAGTTGATGCACTTTTTAGGGTGATGAATGATGATTCATTCATCAGATTAAAAATATTCATAGTTTAAGCTTACTTAAACTAATATATTACCTATTATAATATTTTACCTATACCTATTTAACCTATACCTTAGTATAGCAAAATAAATAGTTTTATAAAATAACTAACTTTTGGGATCCATTTTTTAACTTTAGTCACTTATATTACCATTTCTTCACTTTTACTACTTTTTGAACTTACTATTTAATTGAAAATATTTTTTAGTTATTCTATAACTATTGAAACGCGAGCGAAACCATAGATAGACCTAGTATCAAAATATATATTGTGGCTGCTATAGACAGATATACTGTACCACTAAGTAGACTATATGGGTCACATTATGGTAAGTAGTCACTGTCGCTCATAGACATCAGCAATTCCAAAAGCGCAGCCAAACTGCTGTAGAAATAAATCTCATGCCCGTGCCATTCCTAAATTAGCACATAGGCACATGCTATTCTCGTCTCCGGATATGCGCTTCAAGACATACGTATGTGTGTACATACCCAGCAAGCTGTTTGTACTGACAGGAACTTACCGATTTCACTATTACAACAACTCGTATGGGAAAAGCCGCTTAATTCAATGAGCTATAAGCCCTTTGAGTGAAATTTATCGGTACTACTTCAAAAGGCGTTCCACTTTTTGCTATCACTCTTACTTGTTCGCCGTGATTTCGTCATTGCAATTTCACTTTTAATTCATGCGAAGCCGGTTTTTAATGGCAATATTTTTATTATTTAAATATAAAGAACCTTTACCGTACATGGAAAGGCAGACTGAAATGTTCATGCTACCATGACACACGTTAGAAATCGAGAGCATAACGTGCATTGTTAAGAATCATTCACAAGCTAAGTATTCAACCAAATTCAGTTATATAATACATGTACTGAAACGAATCTCCGGTATCGAAATCTCCCGTCTAGGAACAATTACAACTGATAATATTAACAGATAGCTGGTTTTGGCCACAATGAATGAGCAGCGCACTAGGTTATCTAAGTTACGATAATTTAAGCATTCCATTAACGTGACCGGTGTTTGTTGCCTCATAAAAATCCGGTATAAACGACCTTGCTCCTCGTGGATACTAACAGAAATCCGTTGGCCAAATAACCATATCAATGAGAGCGTGCTTTATCGTTAATACTGTTTTGATGGAGTTTCAACCTTATTTTAAAGGCTTTAAAGATGCTATAAATGAATGAAACATGAATGAATATTAGTCGGTACATATTATAATATGCACGGAGTCGACGTGTAGTTGTCGATTTACGGTGTAAGTAAGCGTGCGTGAGAGTTGGACGCGGAAACCGCGTTATTGTAGCTTTCAAGATTAAGCAAAATTTAAATTATTAAAATGCTGGACAGATTGGTATGTGACTTTTAAATATTAAAATATAAAATAAAACTATTGTTGTTGAAAATGCTGAAGTCGTGGAATATTAGTTTTTACTGTATGTATTCTTGAAATAGGCTCTTCAATTATAGTATTAAGTGAATTTTTTCTCACCCTATAGGTAGCTGTAACTAAAGCCCAATTGTCGTGTATCTGACATCCGATAATAATAACGCATAGAATACAAAGCAAAGTCTATTTTTAAAAACAAAATCCGATTAATCTTCAGATTGAAAATGCTATTAAAATTTTACAGGAAAGAGAAATCCAACCGTCTGATATAGATGCATTTGATGCATCAATTAAGGTGATGAGTGAGCGAAGATGTGACTGACAATTAACTGTTTTACTTGAATTCATTCATTATTTACTACTCGTGCCAAATAACATACCAGCTCTATCATATAAGCTACCTGACATACATTAATACAGGTTTTTTTTCTGCTCAGAAAACAACTTTATTTTCTGAGTGGAAAAAATAATAATTTTATTTGTAGCTTTGTATAGTGGCTACAGTTCTTTGGGGGTTTTATTTCGCTTAGTTTTTGTCACCAGTAAAAAAAAACTATTGCAATCATACATATTGTGCATGTTTTAAGTTTCGTGGTTTGATATCGACAGGAGCTGCAAGATATGCAAAACAGGCGTCACCAAGACAACTTCACGCCTTCACAGAAGACCGTAGTCCCTCTGAACAGATACGACGATGCCGACAAAGTTCTTGCAAAAGCCCTATACACTTTCAACGGTCAGACTTCTCGAGAACTCAGTTTTAGAAAAGGAGATATAATATTTGTGCGGAGGCAGATTGACGCGAATTGGTACGAAGGTGAAATTCATGGAAGAATTGGTCTGTTCCCGTATAATTATGTAGAGGTGAGTCTCGTCATGATTCTTTTAACATTTACTAATCAGTGATACTATTTATCAGTGATATTATTATAAATTATTTGAAAAATATTATAATTTACAGATACAGAAGGGTGATACAATCCAAGTTATTAAGAAGCCGTCAATCATCGAGGGCCGTGCCAGGGCGAAGTTTGATTTCATAGCACAGACCAATCTCGAACTGCCATTGAAGAAAGGAGAAGTTGTGACTTTGACCAGACGTATTGACCAGAACTGGTGGGAAGGCCGCAACGGCTTAAAAACGGGAATCTTCCCGGATAGCTACGTTACAATTCTACAGGAACCCAGCCAGAGCAAACCTGGTTAGTATGAAATCTATTTTATTCTTCTTGAATGTTCTTGTTTATCTATATATTAATACGGGAAGCAAAAACTTTGTACTCATTTTTACGAAAATTGCGCGGACGAAGGAGTATGAAATTTCCCACACTTACAGTGAATATAGAGAAGGAGCGCAGAAAGCTATTTTTTTTTTTAAATTATGCATTAGCAATACATTAAATTACGCATACTACCATATATTTAACACACACACACATACACTCTTTGTTTATTGTCAAACTTTTGTTATTGCTTAAAGTCAAATTGAGAATAGGTTATGTTTATCTTTAATATTATTTGTCTATAGTGTGGTCCCGGTGAAATCTGTGAATAAAGAAGTCTAATAATCTTTGATAATAGAACCTTAATTATGTTCAAAATTATAATTTCAATTAATTATAGTCGAATCTCAACTACTGCGGGACCATTCGTTTTTATTAAAGGATGAGTTCAATGTTTTCATTCTATTGACATAATGACTGTCCATTGACATAACGCTACGCAGGATTCTTTCACGACATAAATAGTCAGGAATATCGTATTTACCTTTTTAAGTCATAGAAGAAGTCGTTGGACAACACAACAAAGAAAAAACTTACTTTAGTTAAGTAAGTGGCTAGATAAAATACTTCAATGATTAAACATTTAAAAATTCGGTTACAGATCCGAGGCCAATCTTAAACACCGATAAGCCAGCGGCGTCACCGGCCGCTCACGGTCTTCTCAACGGTTCGGATAAAAGAAGTATGGGTTCTCATAGCTACACGCCACAGCAGAACAATCCGGCGCTCGCTAACGCACCACCTTCCACTCAGCCACTTCCTGGTATGATTTTATCAAATTAAACTTTCTATAAAACATCTAAAGTGCAATATAAGTAGAATTGGAGTCGTCGTCGCCTAAAGGATAAGACGTTCGGTGCATTCGTATCTTGCGATGCACCGGTGCTCGAATCCCGCAGGCGGGTACTAACTTTTCTAATGAGATACGTTCTTAACAAATGTTCACGATTGAATTCCACGGTGAACGAATAACGTCGTGTAATAAAAATCAAAACCGCAAAATTATAATATTATAATTTGCGTAATTACTGGTGGTAGAACCTCTTGTGAGTCCGCACGGGTAGGTACCATCACCCCGCCTATTTCTGCCGTGAAGCAGTAATGCGTTTCGGCGTTGTAACTATACTGAGACCTTAGAACTCATATTTCAAGGTGGGTGGCGACATTTACGTTGTAGATGTCTATGGGCTCCGGTAACCACTTAACAAGCAATAAAAAAAAGAAATCGCAACACGTCGCAAATAATCATTGTACTGATAAATTTACTTTTATAGGTTATGTGGCGAAACCAGCCCAAGCGACACTGACGCCTTCCGAACGTGGCTACGGTCCTCCAACAGGCTCGGGGGTAGATCTTAATAACACCGAACCCCTGTACGTCGATACTAATGCTGAAGCCATACCGTAAGTGTTCTAGAAAATTCCATAAAAAAACCTTAGTTTAAAAAAATTTTATTTTTAGGATTCCATAAGGCGTGAAACATACTTAAAACTACTTTTGCAGCTCAATTTTCGCAGTTTATTATCCATTTAAATATTACCGATGTTCCGTATGAAACGTGTTTATTCAAAAATCGTTTTAAATTTGGTATAAACAACTAGTCAATCCAGATTACGCTTCATCGTGACTATCGTTAAATAAATTATGTAATACGTTCATTGACTGAAATTACATCACGTATCACACGTGGATGTTGCAAACAGGAAATCTTTCTCAATTAATATAATAAAAAAACACGTTAAAGTTTACATTGCGAACAAATAAGCCCATGAATTTCTATTTTTTAATCAGATAATCAAACGTCACGCTCCGCTGTCACTAACACTGATTATACGAGAACTTTCGATTTTTTTTAAATATCCGTGCGCTGTCTACCGTGCCTTGATGCTAATATGACAGAAATCTTCTCTGAATGTCCAAAAATAGTTGTATCAAATTACTTCACAATCGGTTGCTGTCTTAGGAGAGCATAGAGGACAAACAGTCATCATATATCCATAACTAAAGCGTCTACGGCTTGGACGATAGGGAGCGTAATTTAGCAATAACGAGAGAGAGAGAGAGAGAGAGAGAGAGAGTGTTCTTTATTGTACACCAAAAAAGAAATAAACAGTGCGATACATTAAACACAAAAAAGTACAATTGGCGGTCTTATCGCCAAGAGCGATCTCTTCCAGACAACCATCAGGTGGACAAGAATCATTGGGTATCAATAATGGTATAGAATAATACTAGAAAATCATTTCGTTAGAAAGGTGGGCGAAAAATAAAAGTTGTATTGGATTTCTTCGTCAGATATCGTGCGATGTACAAATACCGGCCTCAAAATCCTGACGAGCTCGAACTGAACGAGGGTGATACGGTGTACGTACTGGAGAAATGCGACGACGGCTGGTACGTCGGCTCGAGCCAGAGAACCGGCCGCTTCGGTACCTTCCCAGGTAAAATTTGCAAAAGAATTAACTGTGAAATTCCAAAATTAAACTGACTGACCGGTTTTTTAAGACAGCACCTGAAGTAAAGCGGTTATAGGTGGTACTTGGATACCGTCACCTACTTGAGACAAGGTCGATGTCTTACAGAGCATTTGAATTTAAATATCCATCGAAATAAACGAAAAATTGTGAACGTACGTCACAGTAACTCCAATTTATTTCAGCCAATTTAAAACACTATATATGTAGACACATAATAATATGTTAGTGTGTGTGTATGTCGACATTGGCATATCTTAAGTCTCGATAACTCGCATCATACCACTAATAGATTCATCGGCATTTAATTCGTTTCGTAAGTATAGAAACTTTTTGGCGGGAACGCGAGGAGTGAAGTTGTGTGATTTGTTTTATTTTGTCTAGTGTTTCTTCCTGTTTAAATGTGTAATAACGGTGGTTTATTAACTGTTTAATATCTGTGAAAGTGCACAAAAAAATTAAAAACCTCGGCACATAAATGACCACCATTTTACTAAGATTATATTTCATCCCATATCATCTAATCACATTTCATTTAATTTCATCCCAGTTGATTAATGTCTCAAATTAATCATCTTCATTTAATTTCCCTCCATATTATCATTTTTCATATAAATAAGAATATAAATTAAAATAAGACATGACCTTAAAGGTCTTAGTTACCAGGTCATAAAATCCCTTAAAAAAGAAAAAAGTTTCGTAAGTAAAGCATTGTGATCGGCAGGCAACTACGTGGAGCGTATCTGATAGCGCGAGACGTCGCTGTTCCGTCGGCTGCGGCGCGCTGCACTGTGCGGCCGGCGGCGTCGCTGAACTGACGCACTAACACGTGCCACGGTACAACACGACACAACCTCCATACCATTATACAGGGTGTAACTACACCGTTCCCGAAATCGAAACGAGAATATATTTTTTATTGCAGTGTGTGTATGGTGTTAAGTGGTTACCGGAGCCCATAGACATCTACAACGTAAATGCCGCTACCCACCTTGAGATAAGAGTTCTAAGGTCTCAGTACAGTTACAACGGCTACCCCATCCTACAAACCGAAACGCATTACTGCTTCACAGCAGAAATAGGCGGGGTGGCGGTACCTACCCGTACGGACTCACAAGAGGTCCTACCACCATTAAAAAATCTGTCTTTTATATATTATATATAACCTTACTAACTTGACTCAAACTAAACTATGTTGTAATCATATTATATTTCGCAAAGGCGAAGGCGGCTACCCCGTGTTCATCGTGATCGTAGATTTCGCGCATAAATCTTTTTTGTTATTGTTACATTGCGTGCGATGCTTAAAAGCCTTAAAACAAATACATTTTTAATGTTGCCGTGAACTATTCTTTTAATTTACTTCGTTTACAGTAACGGTTTCAATACACCCTGTATACTGTTAGTACTAGTGCAGCCCGAAGCCTATTAATATTTTATGAAACGATATTTACAATGTAAATGACCTTAAAAATCAAAATTGTACGGTCAGCTGCAAAATTGAATGGATACCTTGAGTTCTACAATCGAGTGAATATTTCAATCAAGTTAATAAAAGTACACACTAGATGGCGCTACTGATTGTATTCACTAATATGCGTATTATTGATTGACAAACCGGCTTAATTCTAATTTAACTTTTTAAATATTTAAAGCCTTATATATCGCCATATATATGGCTCTCGTCAAAATACTTTATTATATATAGCATAAATATCTATACACGATTACAATAAAATAAATACACTGAAATATAGTAAGTAATACACTATCAATGACAAATGGCGTTAATTCCTTTACACTTTTACCGTACTATATCCATATCCATACATTTTTGCAGCCCCTAAAAACATAATCACGAAACCATACAAAATGTACTGCCAAATACCAAATCAAATAACTTCGGAGCTTGAGCTTTGTAATAAAATTGTTGGCTGTTGTATTCGAGGCGTAAAAAAAATACGGCTTCAATTCATATTCGACAGACAATGAAATTCAATTAATTAATAGGAAAATGATATTGACATTAGAGGCATCATATTGAGGTAAACTTTTAACGAAAATCGCATTAAACGGATTCTAGTGTCTTACAAAAACAATGGTTCCCTTGGCGTTTCGCCCTCTGAACTATAGTCCCGTTATAAACATTACAATTTTTAGATCAATTACTTGACAATATTATCCTACAACATTACAGTCAATTACAATTTGAACAGTTCAGTGTTTAAGTCGTAAAAGTGTTTATCCAACCTCTTGCGTCTAATGTGGAGATTAATCATATCCTAAATATGTTATCCGTATCCGTTTACGTAGTAGGTACCTAGTAGATTGCCTCGATATTACCAGAAAGATACCAAAATATTGCCATGACTTTAAGTAATTTTTGTACAAAATATAGCATGAATATTTCTAGAAGAAATAAGTTCTTAAACTTGATTTGTATAGATCCGTTTTATAAGGACAAAAAAAATATGGCAACATCGTGGCATCTAATTTTTTTAGAGGGCTTACTGTAATAGTAAATATTTTGTTCTTTATAAACAAAATAAGTTCAAAATTTAAAGATGAAAACGTCAGTGTAAGCAATCCAAAGTTGTGCTGAGTTCCAAAGAATATGTCTAAAATGTTGTAAAATTGTATAAATTTTTTATTAAAAAAATACTTATTTACTTATAATTTAGCGTAGTTATTTATTTAAAACATACAATTGACCATAATGAGCTCTTCATTTAAAAGTGAAATTTTAAAAGAATGTAGCTCTGCACATGAATCATTAATGAGAATGACTAACAAAAAAAAATATTATATCGGCAAAAGTCAAACTTTGAGTGATAACTTGTAGTTTGGCGATAACAAAGTTTAGACATTTTGTGGGCGTTGATGAAAGGCTTCACATAACATTAATTTAGTGTAATAACTCATTGACAAGTATGAAGTATTAGTTACCGTGTTAATGGTGTAGTTACTTTACTCAGGCCGTCTTTAACCAATTTAAGGCACTGGGCATTTCGGGATAATAGGCCCCTATGACTGTTGTTTAACGAATGGTGATTAAACTACCACGGTCTACACCAGATGACTTTCCGGTGTACTCTCTCATTTTATAAAATGATCTAATGGAGGGCCTCCAAATATATCAGGGCTCTAGGTACCGGCTCGGAGTGACTAATGGGAAAAAGGGGCCTGATAATACTCAAGTTACACATTGACTAGTACATTAGGGCGAGTTTTTGGCAACGTTTGACAATACATTATGATTAACTAGGTGATACATTATTTAATTGAAATTTAAAGCATATTGTAAGGAATGAATTAATCAACCGATTATATGGTATGTAATTTTTGTAATAATTATCAAAAAAATAATAATCTTCATCATTCATAAATTCTAGTCAATGAATTTTGTGCTACTTTTGTTGTTTTCGTTGTCGACTCCTTTGCTGAAATTCTTGAAATGTTTTATCCCTAAAGATTAGTTATAAGAACCGTTTATATGTAGTTTTAAGTAGATCGAATCCTGATATCGCATACAGCACTCGCCCTACGTGAAATGCTTGTTATTTTTCATAATGCATTACTAGTGTATTTTATTTTTAACCTATTATTGTATTGTTGTATTTACTTTTGTTAAATTATTTTTTAAAGCACAAAAATTTTATTTGTTGTTGACACCTTGAAGTACGATGTAACATTAACTGCTACTGTTCAAAATCACACCTAATAAAATAATCTTTCTATTTAAACCAGTGTTTTATTTCATTACTTTTTTTTTAATAGGCCAAATAAGCATGGAAAATATAAATTAGTTTACAGAGAAAAGTTGAATTATTAAAAGATCAGACTGACAGAATTTTTAAACGTAACGGATCAGATCTCATCCCTTCTCAAACACGAGCAAGCTACATCTACTATGTAATAGCATTTGTAATATCAAATATCAATTGCAATCTCTGTAAAATGGCATTCGAATTATCAAAATTTAATTTTAAATACATTTTAAACGGGTAACCCATTTATATTCAATACCTATTACTAACATAAATTATTACTGACTTACTTAATGGCATATCTTTTAAAAAGGAGGTTGTTTCCGAAATCATTTTTTATTCGTATTTTTTATTTAATTGAAGTCAAAGCAAAAACCAAGCAAAGCCAAATGATATTTGACGCGACCGATAGTTGGTCTGGCGCCGTGCTTTTTAGTAAGTATAAGAGAAGTTTAAATTATTCTAAAAAAACAGGTAGTTTCTATGCGCTAGAAGTGAAATATTCGACTAAATCCTATCGATGTACACGCTACTCATCATAGTGTCCCTTTCTTGAGCGCAATTTCTGTTGCATTAAGTTTTAAAATCACAACATTGCTAAATAAGCTGTTTACAAATGGCTTCCATAATTCTGGAGTAATATCACTAAAACGAACTGTTGTTAAAGTAAAAAAATATACATTCAACTAAGACGTCTTTAAATCTGGGTAATGGCGTCCAGCTGGAGAAGCTCTGGTAATCGTTTAAAAACAGCAGGTATGTGAGCTGATCTGAGAAAATTGAAAAATTCTCAGCCTTTTCGCTTAGAATTCGATTCAAAAATATTACTTGATCGTTATATTTTTAGTATCACAACTTAAGGTAAGCCGTGGAAAACAACGAAAAATACTGGGCATGATGTTTGTCTCGTGTTTATTATCTTCCCTCCAAAGCCAATAACATACCAACATACCAAATAACATACCAATAAGAAATTAAAATTCTCAATGTTGTTTACATTCAATAGACTTGTGATAAAAAAAAGATAAATAATCTCAGTTCAAAATGTGTTGGTTTGTTTTTATTGAAAAACTTAAAATATGACAACATTGCAATCTCGTCGCTAAGCAACGCGTTTTGTAAACAATTAAAAAAAGACATTTACGCCGCTAGTTCATATAAAATATTTATATTATGTGTATTTGTTATCTATGTCTTAAATTAAATGTCTACAACTAAAATTAAACAATATTTTGAATAGGAGAAATATCTGTATGGCCTTCTCAAAAGATTGATCCTGTTTCATACAGACGTAAAATGAAAAGCTTGAAATCACTATTCAAGATCATTGTAAATCTAAAATATATTAAATAAATTCGTGATTCGGTGATCTTAAAAAAGTACATAATACCATGGCTGAAATGGACTGGCGGAAAATATTGACTTATACTCAGAAAGAACTCCAGAATGCCGATAAAGACTCTATTTGCGAAGGCTTATCCTGGATGGATATCGATGATATCGACATCAGTTTTTCGGATTTAAAAATCCTATTTCGACTAACACAGGATGTGCTGAAGTATAAATGTGAACAGGTAAGTCATTTCATAAATACTAAAATCGAACTTATTGATTAATCTTCAACAAAATGACAAGTTCAGACTTAAACAAAGTTAACATTAATTCTATAGTTATTTCTAATCTATTTATGTTTTCTTTGTCCGAAACTGTTTAAAATATAATTTAACTATTCATGCGAGACCTTTTTCGTGTTGATGATACTAAGACATACCGACGCCTTCACGGAAGTGTCAATAAGCATGCTAACTCCAAAATAATTAAAAACAACACGTACACACAAAACGATCAAAGTTCATTATTTTTCTAAGTGGATAATATACAGGCCTATAGTTAATAATATTTTTCAACCAAAATTCGATAGTCGAGTCTTTGACAAAACCTAAAAAAATTGATGTTTAATAGAAATTAAAATTGGCATCGACCGATCTATTTATGGCCAAGCGTTCAACTAGAACCTAAATATTGTTGTGCAGTAATTTAGGTCACCAGCCAACCAAAACGTTGAACATATTTCGAAAAAAACAACGGACAAGCATATTTTCATCATCTATTTTTTATTCTTTAACAATCTTCAGGTCAAAGATATTCTTGGTGAACAAGCAACAACTAAACGAAAAAAAGGGAAAATTAAAAAATATTACCAAGGTTAGTATAAGTCTTCCCTACTGACGTGGCGGTTGTTGCACACACACGGGCACTACCACAATATTGCTTAGTTCTGTTGCGAAGCCATTATGTATTCCGGTTTAAAAGGTGGGATCTAGAAAGTTCTAAATCATGTCTCAAAATGCATGATGGTATTCACGTTTTGATGTACAATATATATTCTCCAAACTTAAGCCTTGATAAAACTTAAGCTTAAGTGGTGTAAATTGGAACCTAGATAATAAAAAAATACTATTGAAATGCAATTATTATTATTATAAATCTATAATAGAACAATGGGGTTAATAAACATTTTATATATTTTAAAATATAAAATACTGAAGGCTTGTATATTTATTTTACATATTTATAATATTTAAATTTATTGACTGAATAAATGAAGAAATATGTACACGTATTCATTACATTATAATTTATAATACATGTCATTGTGTTGTCATCTACTGTTATGAACTTTTATTAATATTGTTACGCCAGAAAGGGTAACGCGATCTATCATCGAATAGTCGAACGAATATCGAAGGATCTAGTAGCACCTAGAACGCTCGAGAAGTACAACGCCATCTATTGTCAGATAGCGGAAACACAATACTCGAAATGTGTGGAATATTCTCGATAATTCTAGGGATGTGGTATCGGCTATAAAAGCGTTGCAGAGATGGCATGCAGTCAATCAGTAATCGGAACTACTGGAAGCGAATTGAGAATTTTAAAGTGTTTGTTTGTTTTAAATTTAAGTGTTCTAAGTGTTTAATACAGTTTTAACTTTGTAATTCGGTAGAATTTTATTTATCCCGAACCCCAGCGCGTAACAATATGCTACAAAAAGTTATATCATCTTGAAAAAATTTGCTATGATTTCGGTAACATAATTTAAGTTATTGAATTTTTTTATATATATTTTTCATACTGTCATCATCAGCCTATAGCAGTCCACGGCTGGACAAAGAGGCCTTTCCAATTGCTCGCCACTGAGCACGATCCTTGGCGTCTCTCATCCAGTTCTTGCCAGCCACCCTGCACAAATCAATTTAATGCTGTGTTAATTATTAATTCAATGTATTTAATAAATTAACTATTGCCAAATTTTGATACATTTATGCAATATTTAATGAATTGCACAAAAGGATGTTTATTTATATACTTGAGCTGACTCTGGAAGCGACGTGACAATTTGCTACATTAAAGTTTCATATTATAGTATTTATAGTACTATATTGTATAATATTTAAAAAGAAAAAAATAATTGATAATATTCCATTTCACTACCTATCAAAATTTCATAGCATTGGCCTAAATTGAAAGCGATTCTTAGAAAATTAAATTCTAATGAACTCCGAAACGTAATTTTAGATTCGCCAACGAAAACTAACAATAAAGACTTACAAACTATAAATAATCAAGAAGAACTCATCAAAACAAACAGAGAAATTTTAGAGAAACTTCAAAAGAAAATAAAAGATTTAGAATCACTTAAAAATAGCAAAGAACTTGAACAGAAAAATGTAGTAAATGATAATGAATCAAGCGTTTGTACATTGTCCGAAATGAATACAGCCATGCAACTGGAGAATGAGATTGCTATAAAAAATAAACACATTAAAAAACTTCTAGCTGACGTTAAGGTGAGGACGAAGCAATTGATAAGTAATCAAATGAGCTTAAGATGTCTTTGTCTGTTTTTTTCTTTTTTTTGTTCCGGTCCTATTTTATGTGCTGAACAGCCGTTATACCGTTAAATTAAGTCTTCAACTTCATTTCTGGATGTGCGCATTACAACTATAGGGTCTGGTAATCAATTAACACCAGCTGTGTGCCGTGAGCCAATCTAGTGCAAAAAATATATTCGCCTAGAAATATATTTTGGGGCGATTGATGTTTAATTTTTCCGCTTTACTTGTAGGTCTTAGAAGAAGACAATCTTACATTCAAAGGAAAAGTTTCCATTTTGAAAGATAAATTAATCGAAGCTACACAAATTATAGATAATTTGACCGAACAATTACTTTCGATGAAGAATGAGACTGCGCGTTTAAAAGGTATTTTCGAATCAAGTCTTGCTACGTTTAATTGAGTCATTAAAAATTACTTTAATCGAAGTACCTAAAAGTATGAAATTTTTTTTATTGCCCTTGTAGGCAGACGAGCATACGGTCCACCTGATGGTGAGTGGTTACCGTCGCCCATGGACTTCAGCAATGCCAGGGGCAGAGCCAAGCCGATGCCTACCGAATTCGGTTAACTATGTATAAGTTTTCTCTGGATATCAGACTTACACTAATTTCTTTTACTATTATATTTTAGAAATATTGGGAAAATCAGAGCAAATAAAATCGCAACAGTCAGCTGAAATTGAAGTGCTGAAACAAAATTCTGAACGAGATGTTTATTCGCATAAGTGCACTATTCCGGAAGAAATTAAATTAAAAATTAAGCATTGGAAGGTACTATCATCGTCAGCACAATAACCAATCTTTCACAATAGGGAGAGGCATAAGTGATGTAATTCTCGGAAAATGTATTCATTACGAAATTTTATAATCTTATTGATCAAGTGGTCATTCAATTATTACATCGTAAAACCCAGGCTTGAGTTCTGAACTGAGACAGTATCTTAGTGAAATATATCGTTATTAAAGCTATTTGGAATCTACATTTACTTGTGTATGTTTTCGGCACTAAAAGCACTGGAGAGAATACTAGCCTGGTACCAAAACAGACGTAAAAGTAATAAATAATAAATAATTCCATTTAAAAAGTCCATTTGGCTTTCAAATTTCACTTTATCGGAATATTATCTTGGACACTGATCACTTAAGCTATGATTCATATTCTAAGCTATGAGTCGATTACCTATAAAACAAACGTGGTAAATTGAAATTGCATTTAAATTAACGTTGAATATATTTGACTCTATGTTTGTTCTTCAAGGATATGGCTCGTTCCAAAAAGATCGAATTAGATATGATAGCTCTCGAAAACGTGAAACTAAAAGAACAACTTTCTAAAACCTATCAGCTGCCCCCAACACACGATGTAAGTAACATGAAAAAAATTTATATTCCAAGTTATAACCTCTTTCACTATTTACAACTGCATAACATTCTAATAATTTTAGGAAGGCAGATCTTCTCGTGAATTTGAAATAAAAATAAAAGAGCTACAAGAAAAATTGCATGAAGCTACAAATGAAATCGAACGTTCTGCCATAATAATTAATACACTAAAGGCAGAAATACGTCAATTAAAAACTGTTATAGAAGAAACACCCGATCCAGTTTCTGAAGTGAGAAATGAAAGTGACGACGGGAAGCAAAGAGCAATCATAAGACGATTGAGGAAAAAAAACATAGATTTAATAGCTTCTCTCCATGGGGCAGATGAGGTTCTTATCGCACGTGAAAAGGAGGTAAATTGTAAATAATATAGTAAATACAATTCCACAGGAAATCAACGCGAACCCCATAGGGTTGTAAATTTGAGTACCATAGTACTCAAAATTACTTTAAGCTAAACATCTCATTCGCTCTAGTAATTAATAAATATTTTTTACAGTTATCAGAAGTTACCGCGCAATTACAGTTAATTCAATCTGAAGAAGGTGTAAGTGTCTTGATCGAAGGATTGAAAAATAAAAAGAATCAGCTTAAAATTAAAGACGAAGGTATCAAAAGTCTAGTTCAAGAGGTTAATGTTTTACATCAATTGGTGACTGATCTGCAGTTAGAAAATGAAACTCTAAGGTCTGTGTCATCTTAGTTCATAATTTAGATCTATATTTTATTCATGAATCAGCTGGAAGGTACTATATTTTTATAATTTTAATTTTATTACATATATATAATAAATACTTTTTTTTGTAATTCAGACAAAAATATAACATTCCTTTTGATGAAAGAGTTTGTACAAAAGGCATTCTAAAAAAATACCGAGATATGGAGCTACTCAATGCTAAAATGAAAAACGAACTAGAACACGTGGAAAACAAAATAATCGATTTGGAACTAAACGAACGATGTATGTCTTCAAAAATTACAAAACTAAAAAAAATATTAACTTCGCAAGGGTATAATGTTGATGTCGCCTATTTGAACGCTGAAGATGATGAATATAATGAGGAAATTTTAAGTGGTGCAAAAGAATCTTTGGCGTAAGTGTAAACAAGATCAAATATTATGTGTATATTAAAAATTACGAGGTAAGCTAATTTAAAAAAAAAACAATTATAGGATTGATCAATCTATAAATTTAGTACAGCATGTGAAGAGTAACAATGAAACTGAAAATATACAGGCAATAATCGACGAAAACGAAGGATTAAGAAAAGCACTTCAAGAGCTCTTAGATTTTTTAAAAGACAACAGTAAGGGCTACTTTAATATGATCAATACATATGTTTTGGCCATTGAAAGTGTACGATCATCAGCATTCTTTTACTTAGGTTCCACTTCCTCGGGAGTATTGGCATTACAGTGTCCAAGTCTTGAGTCAATTTTACAAAAAATGGGAATCAGACACGCAGCCGGCTGGTTTTCACCACACATGTCTACTTTTATGGAATTAGAAGCGGCACGTGGAGGAAAAGAAGCATTGCTTTTAGCGCTTCACGAAGCCAGGTATACAATACTTGCACGTATATTGAAGGTTTTGTACAATTATTAGTTTTATAAAGTTTCTCTGTGTAGTATTGAAAAATGTGATTGGATGTTGCATCGAACTATAAGTAAATATTACATAAACTTAACAGTATTAGCTTACTTTTTATTATTTATTTGTAGACATGTATACAACCCTTTTAATGAGGAGTGGTGATTGCCACTCGTAGACTTCATAAATTCGAGAGATACAATACTACGAAACCATTGCTTACTTCTGACGATACTCCTAAAATATCGTTCGAAGAAGGATATGTCACAGTTACATTATTAATTTGTATGTAAAATGACAACCATAACAATATTTTTTTTTTAATTGTGCTTACGTCTAGGAAAGAAACATTCAATTTAATGAAGAACTTATCTCATCAATCAAAAATAAATGAAGATCTTCAAAAAAAAGTTAACGAATTAGAGTCTCAGAGTGTACAAAATTTTGATCTCGAAGATAACTTGTTCGAATTTGGTTCATGGGTAACAGAGAAAGAAATCAATTCTGTTGACTTTTATGACAAAGAACAATTACAAGACAGTGTGCACATTAAAAGTCAATTGATGTATGAAAATACATTGAAAAAGGTACTAAAACATTTCCATGATCAGTTTAAAGTTCTATACGACAAAATGAATTCACTAGCCATAGAACATATAGATAAAAACAATCATTGGTTAATTCAAGAAGAACGGTACAAAGCCGAAATTGAAAATTTAAAGATTCGTTTACAGCAAAATGAAGATGAAGACTTTAGTAATGCATCACCTGGTCTTTTACCTACATCGAATACTTCTATGCTTGAAAGAAGATGTTCATATTTAGAAGATTCTTACAAAGACATTAGGAACATAAACGAAAACTTAAGAAATGAAAATATAGAATGTAAAAGAGAAAAAATGTTAGTGGTCTCAGAAAACGAAATTAAAACGCAGAAGCTATTGCTACTTATTTGTGAAATTACTGATAAGCTGCGTTCTTCAATAGCCCTTGACTTGTTTTGGGACCAAAACAGACTTCTCAACGAAGTCACATTAAAATGTAGAAAAATTGCTGAAAATACTTTTAAAGATAAAAATAAAACCATGGACATGTTAAAGTGTCTTGAAGAAAATAAATTGGAAATTATTAATTACGTTCAAAAACAACTGTGTGAAAATGGTTAGTAGACAATAAAGCGCTATACCTCCTAAGGTAAAATAGTATAAGTAGTGTAAGTGGACATGGCATAGCATTTTGTCTGACTTTGCGTATTATAGAAATCATTACAAACATATGTGATCATATTCGAAATTGTACGATAAAAATAAACGAAAAATACTAGTATGGTAAAGTACCTATATGTTCGCGTCATTTATGATTTCAGAAAACTAAACCATGTTTTACACCAACCCAAATAACACTCACTTACCTTCTGAGGAATATTTGAATATATTTAATTCAATATCCTGCAGAAACCTACTTCTCATTCATAATTACGAGAGCGATTGTCTTTTATTCGTTCTATCAACGCATTTTATAGGTCTAATTAACGTTAATGCTTATCTGTCATAAAAACAAATTTTGTGCATTCGTGTCTCGTGTGTTCGTATTGGTATGATAGCTGTGTAAATGTTAGCTGTGTGAATGTACTTTGAATAATAAGTTTAATGCTGCTAAAACGATTGCGGTCCTGCGCACACTTTACTTTAAATTATTAATCAAATTCTCCTTTCGCAGGCTGCTGGATAAGATTTTTTATCTATTATTTTTAACTGCTTCATATTTTTCTGTGTATAAAATAAACAAAAAAAAATTAAATCGTTTTATATTAGACTAATAATTGTCTGTATTTGTATATTTTATAGTAGGCGATGCCGATAGACGTCAAATACTTAATGAAGTGGAACAATTAGCAATAGAAAAACAATTGCGACAATCAATAACAGAATTAGAAAAGAGAGAAAAAGAAATCAATTTGTTGGAATCCAAATATATGGAACTAAATCAACTGCAAGCAGGCCTTATGTAAGTAACGTAAATAAGTATTAAGGTTTGCATTTTTAAACTATAATCAAGTAGTACCAGCTGTAAAATTTTTCAGCGATGATTCTTTACGCTCGGTAAATACAGAAGAAATTAATTTTATGAAATCCCAGATTTCTAATCTTTCTGCGGAACGGAAAATACTCAAAGAACAATATCAATCCACTAAAGATCAATTAGAGGTTACAATATTGCAGGTAATTATAGTTAGCATGCCTTCGTTTACTATTTGTATCATATAAATATCTTGTAATAATAATAACGTACGTGCTTAGTTGCAAGAATTCCAACAGCGTCAAATGTGCAAAGAAATCGAAGTAAATATTCTAAGGCATCAAATACTAGATTTACAATCAACTGGAAATAATAAAGCAGTCGTTGCAAGGTAAGTCATTTAATTTTACAGCTTAATCTTATATAGATGTTAATCTAAATTAATTTGTTGGATGGATTACAGGCTGAGTAGTGAATTATTAGTGACACATTTACAAGCTTCAGAGTATAATAGAAAAATTCAAGAGTTGACCACAGCTCTGAATAAGGAAAAGGAAATGAGAGCAGATATCGAAGATATTTTGTCTACCAGGCAAAAAGTTTTTGACCTTTATACACGTAGATACGACTCAAGATTCAAGTACTTTTTGCTTCACTTATAATATTGTCTGTACTATATTTTGATAAATTATATACTAAAATTTAAAATTTCAGACATATTCACACGGTATTGAATGTTATGCGGCTCCAATACCAAGGAAGTTTGCCTTTGACGTCAATAGAAAATTTTGTCTTCAAATTGGAAGATCTTTCTCGTAAAAATCATGCAATTAATCAACAATTAACTGAAGTTGACGAGCTCCGGACCAGCTTAGTGACAAAACATGCTGTATTCGATCAAATACTCGACGTTTCTAAAGATAAATGCTTACTTCAAGAAGATGACTGTCCACACAAACTAAAAAGTTTTATTATGGTGAGACATAGAATTAAAAAAAAAAATTTATATATATTATAAAATATATTTTACTGTAGGCGTAGGTAGGGGTGTGGTGACGGTCTCGCCGCTTGGCGGACCCGTCGGCCGGCCTCCGAACCGTCGAGGCGGTCCGCCCGGTTCTCGCGGACTGGGTGGGCCGCGACCGCGGATGCCTCACCTTCCGGCTAACGCAGATGCTTACCGGCCATGGTTGTTTCGGCCGGTACTTGCACAAGATAGCCGGAAGGGAACCGACGGCGCAGTGCCACCACTGCGCGGACCGCGACNAAAAAAAAAAAAAAAAAAAAAAGGGGTGTGGTGACCCCATCGCCCACGGATAAAACAACCATTATGAGATAGTTGTTCCATCCGCGCAAGCAACCAGCGCTAGCTGAAGGCGTAAGGCACCGTGCCGAGCAGCCGCATGGCCTGGGGCGCTAAGTCTAGGTCATGAACGGTCCCTATTTTCAACTCCTCTGGGGTAGACCGGTGATATAAAATAAAAGAGTGGACTGTAATAATACGATAGGTGTAATGTTTGGTCAATTTATAAAAATACTAAAACAAGTGTCGGGGGTGGCGTTACTGCACGAAGTGTAGAATCGCGATCCCGCACCGCTGTTCTTCTCCTGGCGCCCGCGCCGCGCGATCGTCGATGTCCGTGCATCGACAGTCCCCTTGGAGTGACTGGCGACCCTCCACTGTATTCTAGCTATCTACAGATATGGGGCTCTGTCTGCAGCAACCGTAAGATTCCACATAGAAGCCCAACGATCATCAACACCACTATCACTAATCAAAGATCTGACCCGCTAAAACCACCCCAGTGGGTCGAAACCCCGCCATCATCACCACCGGGAGGCTTGGTGCCTGCAGAGTCTACAAGGATTAGCAACGGCATCCACACCCGGTGGAGGGCGGCGCATGCGATGGACGCGTGAACAAAACTCCAATGTGATGCGCGCCCACTTTGGAGTTGTGGCGGGAGAAATAGGCGGCACAAGGCGTTGAGAGCGAGAGACGAATGCAATTTTACTGTATTACATAATATAATAATAAGTTTTTACTCACTGTTCCTAATAAATCTTTAAATATTATTATTTAAGGATGCAACGCATGCCCGAGAGATGGATAATATGAAGAAGAAAATTAAAATATCTGAACAAGTACGTGAAGAACTTTTAAGTCAATGTACTAACTTAGAAAAGACTTTGGCATATATTAATCAAGGTTATGAAAAATACACCTCTGTTGAGTTGAAGCACAAGCTGAAGGAAGTACAAAATGATGAAGCCATAAATTTAGAGGATCTGGTATCAGACGAGGAGCCAGATTCCAGAAGTAAGAAACTAGTACCATCACGAATCCTAATCATACCTAAAATAATTAAATAAGGCCTAAAAAAATCATACCTAAAATAATATGGCTTAATTTATTAATTTAACAATTTCCACCGTCCAATTCTCGTTCCGTTCTGTTAGTTCTCGTGTGTACGGATAATTGTACAAATATTTTAAAGTAAACTTAAAACTAATCCAAAAAATAAAGATTAACCAAAAAACTCAAAGCATAGTATAGTATAGTGTTTTGTCCAGTAGAATTAAACCTTTTTAAAACATTTCATAAATATTTTTTCAAGGTAGTCGAATAGCTAAATCTCAAATACTTAAACCTACAACACATACCAAAGCAACTGTAACTGATATTAATAACGAACACCGTCAAGAAAATTTATTTGGTTCCCCGGCGAAATTACCATTGACACAACTCAAGCCAAAGGTAGCCAATATTTTTGTACAAACAGACCAGATGACACTATGCAAAAGTGAAAAAAACATTCAAACCGAAGAAGACGCTCTCATTATTGACATGAAATATTCTATTGAAAGTGCTAGAAATGATATAAAAATTAAAATGCGAGAACTTGATGAAGCTCTCTTGGTAGCTAAGAAACGTACGGAAGAAATGTTGATAATGGAATCAGAAAAAATAGATATACAATCGAAAATAAAAAATCTTCATCATACAATTAAGGAAAAGGATAATTTCAATAATCAGTTACAAAAAACTTTGTCTGAATTAAGAAAACAAGTAGAAGTTTCTCAGAATTTACAAATTGAAGAAATAGATAAGATTAAGCATTTAGAAAATGAAGAGACTAAAAAACTGTTATCAGCCTTGAAAGAATTAGAAAACGACAAAAATAAAATAATTGAGGAATACAAACAGCTACTATATAACGAAAGAGAAGAATACACAAAAGCTATGAAGGAATTGCAAGTGAAATTATTTGAATTACAAACCAAGCTAGACAGGTACATACATATTAAAGGAATAAAGCTTTCTTTGAAGTAGCTTGACTTTTAACTTCAAGTATAAAACTTCAATTGCAAAAATATAAAATAAAACGCATTAAAGCTTTGAATGAAAAGATAATTAACTCGTGAAGTCGTCGTGATTTAAAGAATGAGGCGCACGGTGTGCTGGCATCGAGCAATTGTACTATGTCGGTGTGTAATTCCCACCGGCAGGTACCAATTTTTCTAATAAAATACGTACTTAACCCCTGTTTACGAATGAGGAAGGGTAACATCTTTTGTATGTAATAAAAATCGAACTCCCAAGAACTGTATTTGTGTCATGACTATAAAACTGATATTTTTTTATTTATTTTTAACAATCACGCCACGTTAACTGGTCCCGTGATAAGTTCGTAAAGAACTTGTGTTACAGGTACCAGATAACGGATATAAATGTAAGATTTTTATTATACACATACATATATTTAATATACATCCATAACCCTGGAAAAGACATTTATATTTATCATACAAATATCTTCCCTTGGCGGGATTCGAACGCGCGACCCCCTTGTGTAGTGACCATGTCACTTACCACTACACCAGACGGCCGTTATATGACCTCAAGCTTGGTGGTAGAACCTCTTGTGAGTCCGCACGGGTAGATACCACCGCCCTGCCTATTTTCTGCCGTGAAACAGTAATGCGTTTCGGTTTGAAGGGTGGGGCAGCCGTTGTAACTATAATGAGACCTCTCATATCTCAAGGTAGGTGGCGGCATTTACGTTGTAGATGTCTATGGGCTCCAGTAACCACTTAAAACCAGGTGGGCTGTGAGCTCGTCCATATATCTACGCAAAAAAAAGCCTACAGGATACACCGGCCAATGACCGTTTTACACGAGGTAGACCGCGAGCTCTTACTGCGTCGTACCTGTCTACGCAAAAAAAATGCAAGAGCATGTTAATAACATTCTCCTGATACTAGCGGTGATGATTCGGTCAATCAATCATTGTTAACAGCCGGTGAGATAACGTTTACTTACATAATACAAATTAACTCATTAGATACATAATTTTGAACAGAAAAGGAAGCGACTCCGGCGCCACGAACACTGAAACCCTGAAAGAATTCATCAATAAATATACTATGAAAATTGCGCTATTAGAAGATGAGTGCTTTAGACTAAAAAGGGAACTTGAAGAATGCAAAGCTGATAAGTTAGTTGCGAATTTTGCTTCAAAGGTTTGATATAATTAGTTTGACGTTAAGTGAGTAAATATGTTTACTTTGTGTGAATATTTCAGGACAATATACCAAAATGAGATTGAGCGCTGGAAAGATTTGGCTTCCGAGAGACTGATAAAAATGGAACAGCTGAACTCTCAACTCGAAGAAAGACATTCTCAAGAGGTAAACGTAATTTTAATATTATTTTTAAATACTTATACTATCATTGGTACCGATTTAATTTTGAACATTATTCAGGTAGAGTCATATAAAGCTGAAAATCAACATTGGCTATCGCAATTAAACGATACACAAAAGGAGCATAATGAACTCCGATCTCGTCTAACGGAGCAAAAGGCTTTATACCTAAAACAGTTGGCGGATAAAGATGCACACATTGAAAACCTACGTACCGTCGTCCACGGCTTAAAGGTGAACTGAACTAGTGTATTCATTTTAATTTGTTTCTGCTCAATGTTTTTCTTAATATGTGCTTACTTAAAAGTCATATTTTAGTTTTATTATACACAATTGAAATATGATTTTAAAAACTTTCACTTTTTTCCATTGACTGGCATTGTAGTGAATAGAGGGGATACGTTGAATTGAATAAAAATATTATGTAGTTATTTCCACTAAACTAGTGTTTACCCAATGGTCGAAATTCGGGCAAAACCTCAACTTTTTTACATTACTTTCATATTTTTTCAAGGTGGAAAAAAGTTTTTCCAAAAAAATTAAATATGTGCTTAAAAAATAAAATATTGTTCATCAAACAGAGAAGATAAAGAGAATGTACTGCAGTCGTTTACCTAATTTTATCTATATACCATTTTACATATCAATAATAACTAATGAAACATTAACACCTATTTATTATTCATTCAGACGCAGATTATGAACATGCAAACCATGCTGGCAGTCAACGATCCAAGTTTCGATTTATCTGCAATTGTGGAAATTGAAGAAACTAGTGATGTTATGTCTCAAACCGGTTCGGATCGATTGGAAATCAAATTTGATTCAACAACAGATATACATGAAGAAATGGTTAAAATACCCGGTTCTTCGACTACTATTTGGTATTTTTTAAATAATTAACTATAGAGAAAAAACCTTGAAGATACTTTGTACCAGAAAGTATTTGTTTTCTATAATTTACGAACTAAATTTTTAAATAAACTTTTATATCAAAAATATATTGAGATTATATTATAATATACATTTTACAACTACCTTATTCATAGTTCCATCTATAAATATATCCTAACTAGTTTATATTTACACGACTATTGTGATAATGAATTATGAATATGATGACTAAAAATTTACTGACGTTTTCAGGCAGGAAACAATTATTGAACGCTTACGTCGCGAGAAGCAACTTGCAGGGAAACAGAATGCTATATTACGTCGCCAAATCAAAGCCCTTGCTGCTAGGGAAAGACGGGCACGCCTTGATGCCCAAAATTTGAAAAATCAAGTTTTCAGAATGTAACTTTCTAGTTGTTTTATTTCTTGAAAAAAAACTGTCACTGAGCTTTTAATCTTATGTAAACAGCTTTAGTTAGATTCCGATTTATTGTAAATATATTGTTTATTTTAAATCAATTTTAATCCAAAATTTCTATAAGTAGCGCACTTGACATTCATTGGAGATTGGAGTCCATAAATACGACTATATACATTTCAGCACCCATCTAATAAATGGAATCAAAATTATCAACCTTCAAAACGGAAGGCACAACTGAGCAGGACGATCCAACTTTGTACTGTATTCCGATTATTTTAAAGTAACATTTCCTCGCTCACGTAACAATTCCCTGTATTGACAGTGATTAATTGATTTGCAGTAGCACATCTGGTAATAAAGTTGCAACGGCAGAAACCGCAGCACTACATAACAAGATAGGTTCGCTACAAGCGCAGTTGACAAGCGCTAGGCGCGACACTCAAACCAACGTTGCTTTGTGGGATAAATGGAAGAGGTATTCAGAATGTTTCACGGTAAACTAATATTCGATGAAAAAATAGTAGTAACCTCTACTTTGAAAACTTTCAATTCAATGATAAATGAAGCTTTAAAAGTCTTGACAAAAAATTTGCATGTGATTCTGAATAAAAATACTCATTTCTTTGTCCCAGGGCACAACAATTATCGGAACGCTGGCAAGCGAAATACGAAGAAAAATGTCAAGAAATAAAAAAGATCGAATCAAATTTAGCTCTAACTAAGTCTGCTGTTGTGAGACTAGAAAAAGAGAAACGTGTGCTGTTCGCTCGACTAAATGAATTAAAATGTAATTGACATCTATATCAGTTTGAACAGCCAAGTAAAGCTATTCGTAGGCAAAATTGTAATTTATCTGCATGGTTTTGTAAAGAAATTTTATCATTTTAACTTGTTTTTAAAGAGATAATAAACAAATTACATAGTTTCATATAAAATTTGTGAAATAACTACGTACCCGATCCTGTAGACCGAATGGTAAACAGTCGACGTCGCCCAAAACACGTCATTACGGATCCTCCCGATCCATTACCAGTGCTTTTAGGTACCACAAGCACCGGTCACCGTCCTCGTCGAACCGTCGTCGACGGGTTCGACGAGCGAATTAACCCACAGACACAGCCCACTAAGTTTCTCGCCGGATTTTCTCACTGGGTCGCGTTTCCGATCCGGTGGTAGATTCTGCATAGCACTGCTCTTGTTAGGGCCAGTGTTAGCATCACTCCGGTTTGAGCCCCGTGAGCTCACCTACTTAGTTAAGGTTACGCTGAAATAGCCTCTCAAGGCTATCAGCTTAAGTAGGAAAAAAAAATGAAATAATTAAAAAATTTCAGATAACACTGATTTAGCTGTAGAAAAACAAGAAGACGAACCATTAGAAAAAAGTCATAAAAATATGGCAGATAATTGTACTTCTTATACGCACGGTGTCTCGAATGTTCCTTTGTTATCTATGCAGTCTCTGATGGATAGGATCCAGGCTCAGCAAAGAAGGATTGCCGCTTTAGAGCTTTCTGAAAAAGTATGTAACTAAGTTATTATTCTTTTTTGAAATATTTGTGTATTAAACCTAGACCTTAGACCTAGACCTTTAACCTAACTTAGAACTGAAAATATTGTACTTTTGTAAAATTGTTCGGAGTACAATATTATTTTTCTATGTAAGTATCGTTATAGTTAGTCCGGAATATAAGGGCATAAAGCAAGTTATTTCTAGCGGCTCATAGCTTAACTCAATTCATAGTCATAACTAAATGTTTTACAGATAAATATTATAGGTAATAAACTATAGCAATTTTACACATTTAAGATGTACAGAAATTGCGATATTTCTTCCAAATCGGAGCATATTCTACTACTACTTAAAAAAATATTAAAGGAACAAAAATTAACAATGTAAACAAAAGCCGATTCCAAATAGATTGGGATAAGGCGGAAAAAGTCACGAAGAAGATTTTAAAAGGAATCTCTTTAATTCGGCACACGCAGATATTATCACGGAAATATCTTTGAGCGCACATACAAGGAATACCTAATGTTATTCTCACTTTTCAGTCTTCTTTCGAAAGAATATTGTAATTTAAAAAAATATATAAATTAAATCACAGAGCACTTTTTTTTAAATACCTGAATAATGTTTTATGTTTGTAGGGCAACGAGCATCTTGTTTCCGAGTATGAGAAAGCTTTAGCCGAGATTACCTCGCTGAAGGGCCAAGTACTAAAACTGGAGTCAACTTTATTGGAATCACAAATAAAAATTCCACTAAAGACTTGTAATGATGAGAAACCAGAACTGGAATACTGGAAAAGGTGGGTTGTATTAAATATTTAAAATGTACGTATTAAAAATCAGTCAGTTGAAGTTAGTTTTGACCAAACTCGGCTAAATAGATCTTTTATAAATGTATCTACTGAAATCAGAATGTAGTCTTTTCTTTATTCAAAATAACAGTATCATGTTTTTTTTTTTTTTTTTTATTGCCCTTGTAGGCAGACGAGCATACGGCCCACCTGATGGTGAGTGGTTACCGTCGCCCATGGACTTCAGCAATGCCAGGGGCAGAGCCAACTACCTGCTGCCTACCGTTAGCTAAGCCGCTACCTACCGTTATCCAAGCCCATGCCTACCGCTGTATAACTTTAATATCCTTAGACGTGTTTAAGAATATACTTCTAAATTGTCGTGTTTACGTGCTCTGGCAATCGCTTAAAACAGAACGGATCTTGATTACTTTGTCGTATTATCGATGACAGCAATAATACCACAATTCGGTATTTTAACAAATCTTTATTATTTTTAGCTACTGCGAAATGCTAAAAGAAGAGAACGTTCAACTTAATTTACGGATCAATTCGTTGGAGACGATTCCAACAACTGGTCACCAACACAGAATTGCTGATCTTGAACAAACTGTACTAACACTCAGAGGTATGGAATTCATAGAATATATCGTATTAGCATAGAATTTAACTAGGTCTATAGACGAATAATAATGATTTAATTGATCCTTTAAAATAAACACTAATATCTTTCTGGTATACCAGAACAAGGTAAAAGAAACAAAATGAAAATAGCCTATCTGGTCACGCATAATGTGGGCTCCTTTTTTCCTAACTATGCTGATAGCCTGTATCATATATATATTGGCTCTATCAGCGTTATCTTAGCGTGTATGTGAGCTCTCAGAGCTGAAATTGGAGGTACGCGGGGACCCCGAGTTGCTGCAACCACTTCCGTTCTGCCGTTTAGTTTATTTGAGCAATATACTCACATATTTTCCTTCGTAACTCTACTTCACAATGTCTAGGCAACAATAATCAAGTAATTCTTAATTCACTTTTACAACTTATGGTTGTATGCAAATGTATCGATCATACATATTATGTATCCGTTCCAGTATGAAGGATTGGACACTCCTATAACAATGCATTTGAGATTTGAGTTTTCTGTTGAGTTGAAATGTTCTGAGAGTTCTGTTGAGATGTCTCAAACTACGACACTACGTAACCGCATCCAGATTGTCTATTAGCTCCGTTAACGGCTTATCGTCACGCTAGTCTTGAGCTCATAATAAAAAGAGCAGGTCTAATCCTGGTAACATAACTCGTCTCCAAATTATTCGTAATTAAAATCATTATCAGCTATCCGTAAATGTAAAGTATTCGAAACGTCGGAAAAGACAAAATAGATAAACGCAGGCTTAAAGCGTAAAAGTAGTTTTAGTTATTATGTTTAAGATTCGTGAAAACCGAAAAAAAAATATTAAAATTTTCTATTGTAGTCTAGAACGAATTAATGATCACGGTTAATGATCATGTTATAAGTACGTTTAGTTTATCTGGTGACTAATAAAAAAAAAACGTCGCTACACAAAATACAAATGCAGGTAAATTATTTTGGATTTCCGCATTTTACGAAACAGGTCTTGTTGGTAAGCTGCAAGCGGAGCAGAAAACCGCTGGAGCTGTGAAACGTACAGAATCACGACCAAGTAGCGGGAAAAGTGCTTCAGAAAAGGTTGGAAAATATCAAACATTTTTGAAATTTTTTTTTTTTTTGTATTGACTTAATTTGTTGCCGTAAAAATCAAAATGTATGGGTATTGCTAAAGATAAAGAAGATAGAATTACTGGTGGTAAGACCTCTTGAGAGTCCGCGCGTGTAGGTACCACCACCCTGCCTATTTCTGCCGTAAAGCAGTAATGTGTTTCGGTTTGAAGGGTGGGGCAGCCGTTGTAACTATACTTGAGACCTTACAACTTATATCTCAAGGTGGGTGGCGCATTTACGTTGTAGATGGCTATGGGCTCCAGTAACCACTTAACACCAGGTGGGCTGTGAGCTCGTCCTCCCAACTAAGCAATAAAAAAAAAGTTATATATTGAAACCCAAAGCTTCTTCAGAAATTTGAAGAAACTACCTGACAATTCAAATACTTAAACAGCAAATCCTAACAATATTTGGTAGGGTTTTTACTGTCTACAAAGGCATACGGCACGTCTGATCGTAAACCACCAGAACCACCAGACATTAGGAATACCAGAGGAGCAAGCTAAGTGGCGTCTATCGCAACGGCTTTGGCACTATTTTAAGAGATTGTATTAGAGTGCTCATAGGAAATTTATTTTGCAGAATCGTACTCAACTAGAATCATATCGCGTTGAAATCGCAAACCTAAAACGCAGTATACAAGACAAGGATTTACTGTTGGAACGATCTAAAGAAATGCTCAAAATAGCCGCTGAGCGTGAAGACGAACTTTTGAGAGAGGTAGGTTTTGAAATCAAAAATAAGTTAGATAGCCAACACCGGTAATGTTCCACTGCTTATCGTTAATACATTCATTGAATAATTAATTCATCCATTACTTCAAAATATATATAAACTCAACGAAACTTGTTCGTAGATACCACGCTAGAAAATTAAAATTTGTACGTAGGTCTAGAAATCCTATATACCACCATAAGAAGCAATTATAGCTACAGTTTTAATTCAATCCGATTAAACGACCCGGGAATATTTAAAAAAGTTTATTCGAATATATTAGAAATTGACTAAGTCTACATTATTTAAAGTTTTATACCGAATACTATCAGACAATAAAAAAAAATACAGGCCTAGAAATGGATTCCTTAATTCATTTTTATTGGAGATCTATTAAAAAATAATCAACACCAATAATCGTATGACATAATGCTAAAAAAAATTATAACGTACAGACACGAGCAAAATTATTATTTGTTTGTAGTTGCCAATGTCATGCTTCATCGGCCAATTAGTAATAAAAAATTACACTTGTTATCCGAAACTAGACTCCACTCATATTTATTACGGATAATAAAGAATCTTGAGCATCATTTTTGGATTATGCTTAATAATTTATATAACAATATCAAGTAATCAAGATTTTCCTGTTTCTGTTGATTTTTGAGTTACCAAAAAAATCCCATATATAGGGTCATTGTACAGATTTGTGAATATAGAATAGAATATATCTATCTCAAATATGATTAAATTTATTTGCTAGCCACATAATTTTCCTATAATATCGACCGATAAATGTCTGCGCTTGATTAACGTACAAGCCAACATTACAGAATTATTTAAAATTAAACATTTGATTTTTATTAATTCGAAAGTAGGCCTGCCAGTGTAGTCTCGAAAGTTACTTGAAATTCGAACACCACTGAACACCTAGAAACTTAAAACCTGAAGAACCATGAGATGGTTTGCCCACCGAGAAAAAAGAAAGGACCGACTTACATTGATCGGAAATCTAGTACTACCTTAGAATTTATCGCCCGCAATCCCTTAAAAGTCCTCAAAAATGAGATACATAACATAAATGAATTTATTATTATTTATACGGCAGTCTTATATTATAATAAAATATTATAATTTCGGCGATATTATAATAAAAAAACCGTCTTTGAAGTTTGCAGTATGTTGAATATAGGAGGACGGTATTAGTATTATTATGATACTATAGAGTTATGTCAATTCATTGAGGAAATAAAACAACCAAATTTAGGTTCTCGGAAAATTTGGAATAATATTATATTGTTAATAAACTATTGTTTTGTGTATTAGTAAATGTATTTTAGTGTAATATTGTACTTAATTTATCATTTTTGTTTTTTTTTTTTCAGAACCTGTTATTACGTCGTCGTATTGATGACCTTATTGCTCCGAAAGAAGGATTCTTATCAGCCTAAATGTAACTATCTTAAAACCTTTCATTGATGATGATAACAACTGCTGAAATTGGTGCCTGAGTCCTATCTAACCCTTTAGATTTACTATTGAAAAGTTTAGCATTGTATTAATCTACCTATGTTAAGTGACCTACTTACTATGTCAATCAATATACCCCGAAATATGTACCTACTTTATATATATAATCTAGTATTTTATAATTGCATATCTACTTTTTTTTAAAGATTTTACGCGGCCAGACATAGACAAACACGAGCCGCGAGAGTACATACCTTTGCCACTAAATAATCTGATTTTTAAAGAATAGCGGCTTAGCCTTTGTGTGTGTGTTGCCTGTTGGCAAGTAAATATTGCAACATTAAAGTATTCACTATCTGGTAACTTTTTTTAGATAAAATTCGGTGTTCTTTTCCAAAACTTAGGTAATGACATGATGATTTCTTTTTCTCGACATTCCGAGATTCATACAAATCGTAGAAAATGATTGCTTGAATAATTAATTAAATTTGTTTTGCGACCTAAAGAGAGAAAGCTAATGTGCATTACGTTTGCGATCGAAGCGTTGCATACTAATTCATTTTTGTTGTTTTTGTTTTTCTGTTATCACTCTCAGATATGTTTCACTTGCAAAAGTTTAAAAAGATTTGTGATTAGAATGTAAATGAGTTTACAGTATTATTATTTTTTTGTTTAACAAGAACTTTGAGTTTTATAGATATATTTTTTTATGATTCCATGATCTAGTGATAATTAGAAAAAAACGTGTCGATACTATTGATTATAACAGTACAAACTTTGCAAATTACGTTTCTTATAGATTTTTCCATAAGATATGTAGATACATAACGAGGTCAATGTCCTGTTTGTGTAACGTTTGATTTTACGACAAAGTAGGTTATTGACTTTCACATAAAATAGAAATACTCAGTTTTAAATGATTGTCTCTAGTTTAAGAAAATGTTTTGACTTAATTCGCGAACTCGTTTATTCATATACGGGCCTTATAATTTGTTTGTTTGAAGTATTATATAATAGTTTAAATATTAAGTGCATATTTTAATGTAACTTGTACTTTAAAATAGGTACCAAAAAAAAATATTACTTATATTATAGTCTATTATAAATTGAATGGATCGCGTACTGTGTGTGAAATAACGTTTTAAAGTACAACATGTTACGGGTGTGTATTTTTATCATTCCTTAATACGTCGCAGTAAAATATAATACAAAATACACGCATGATCAGATTAACTGATTTAAACAGCTTTTTTGCGTAATCGAATGCGTTAAGGAAATAGTTAAATACAATAGTTTGTAAGATGGTAAATAAAATAAATCGAAATATTTTGGATTGTTTTATTTTAAGTACATACATATTACGTTTCAAAAAATAAATAACGTCATCTAACATTTGAACAATACATGCTATATGTAACTAGTTAAAAAATAGTATCTTTCTAATACATTAATAGTCGATCGAATGAGCTTCTGAAATAAATAGGTAGGTTTTTACCAAAATAAATCATTACAAAGAAAAGATAGGACGTATTTAAAACAGATGCAAACATAACATACATCAATAACAATATAATTTAACGAATCACGAAAACAATCTAAAAGTGTCACCAAATAATCAAATTACTTAAAACACCCAACAAACATAAGGATATAAATAATAATATGTACTATAAAAATATATATAAAAGAACAAATGTAACCGAAACCCTAATATACTCATTACCTCCCTTATATGTATGTATAATGGTGATTCGAAGTTCGTATTTGGGTCTTAAAGAAATTATGAAAGAGTCACCAATTTCGAATGTAGTCTGAATACGTAAATCGAATTTATTTTGAAACAAAACATTACAAAATAATTTGTTTTGATAATTCATATTTTAATCACTAGCATAGACATTACAAACAACCTTTGTAAATATAATAATGCAATTAATATATGTTTATTGTCATACTTTAAGTCAAAACAAACATTTAATAAAACTAGAGGTCCCTCAGTAGTCGAAGTTCGACTATAATTAATTGGAATTGTAAGTTTATACACTATTAAGATTGTATTTTATAACTTCTATAATCACAAATTTCGCTAAGGCTACTCTATAAAAAAATATTAATAAAGACAAACAATATTTAATCTATTCTCAATTTGACCACAGACGTCAACAACAAAAGTTTGACAATAAATAGTATGCATGTGTGTGTACGTCAAATATATGGTATGTAGTGTATGTAATATTTTCTTTATTGATTTAATGTATCTTTTATGCATTATTTTAAAAAAATGTTAGCATTGTGCACTTCTTCTCTATATTCTCTAGAAGTGTGGAAAATTTCATACTCCTCCGTCCGCGCAATATTCGTAAAAAGGGATACAAAGTTTTTGCTTCACGTATTAATTTAATAAAATGGCAGAACGGACAACTGTGGCGTAGACATGTAAATTTTTATATTAAATAATTTAATTTAAACATATTACTTGTAGTAGTTAACTGTATCCACTTTCACCTAAAGCGAATTAATAACATTATCTGCTTAAAGTACTGAGGGAGATTTATTTAATAAATCAGACACAAGATTAAGCACATGGCCCCCCCTATTTTAACACAAAACCTCGTTCCATATGATAGCATAATTAATTCAAATTTACGACACCATAACGAGACGAGTGTTGTTTATACATATTGTGTCACAAACTTAGCATCTATATATTATATCTATATCAAATTTTAATGTAGATTCATTGCACTATGTCACTCAATTATAAAAAGGTTAATTTAATGTTCATTGACGAGGGGACAGCCTTCAAAATATGTAAGTCAATGTACTTGAAACCAAAGAGCTGATATAAATTAATACTAATTCATAATAAAGCCGTTTCGCCGCTTATCAATTTTAAAAATTAATTATGTTGACATGATTCCTTCAATAATGCGCACTGGAAAAAAAGACAATTATTTAAAACTTCCGAATGTTACCCAAAAAAACGGATAACGTCACAAAGCATATTCAACACAATTGTAATCGAAAAATTTAAATAGTTTTAAATTAACAATTAATACGCACATCAATTAAATTCAATAATTAAACCCTTTTAAACAAACATAAGCATTTCCCAATTCGGTCCACAAATTACTGAAAAATCGACGAATTCGACGAACGCTTAGAGAAATCGACGACGAACGCTTTGAGAAATCGACGACAGTAGAATTAATTAGCCATATATTTTTTTAATTAGTTTAAAACAACCCTTGCGATAACCGTGTCAAATTTAATATATATATATAAAGTAATATATACATTTTAAATCAACGTATAGAATATTAAAATAAAAGAAACGAAGCCATTCGAATCAATACAGCAAGCAGTGCAATTCTACAAAGATAATACATAAAATAAACATACTAGAAATGATCGAACCCTCTCATGCTTTCAATGACAATGCGAAACAAACCACCACCCAACTAAAAGCAATGATTAAAACTAATAATATTATAATAATAAAATAAACTATGAATAAACTACTATAAATAAAACAGTCTCATTCAACTAATATGTACATACATATGTACATGATTAATACAATGCAATCTTAGACTTACATTTAGTACCTACTTTATTTACATAAGTTTTCACCAACCGTAGATAAAACATGAACATAATCAAGAATTATTCATATAAACACATTAAGCAAATACTTTTAATCCTACAAAGAGCTTGTTAAAGTGAACACATTATTAAGTACATTCGAAGATATAAAATATTCTAGATACATTCATTTTATACGTATAATATTTATAATACACACATTTAGGATAGATACTTTCCGCTTTGGTAAGTGGTGTTTTCAAATACAGTCTAATGTCACATATTCAATAAATTTGTAAGTTTATGAAATGTACATAAAATAATTATATAGCCGTCATAATATGATGATTTCAATCATAGCAAATGCAACACCGTTAGTAAAATTCAAATATCAAACTTCATAATAACACTCTTTATCGTGCGGGAAAAAACCAAAACAATGAAACAAATCTAGCCCACTAATAGCATGCGATCGAAATTAAAACTTTGTAGTTTCCACCTGTACGGGAGGCTTGTCACCATATTTCTTTCTAAGTAGCTTGGCAAGGGGCGGAGTGAAGAGCGCAGGGTCAGGGTTGGGTTTTCCGTCGCGTTCCCATGGTTGTTGCTGACGCCACACTAAAGATATCGCTGTCCCAACAGCTAACACCCAGACGAATCCAATCTGTTCGTTAGACGTACAATATCACATAATAATTTACAATAGATACTTTTTTTTTCTACCTAAGCTGAGAGCCTTGAGAGGCTATATCAGCGTAGCCTTAACTAGTAGGTGAGCTCACGGGCAGCGTTGTCAACTCTACCAACTTTTCGGTAGATCTACCAACTTTTAGTGTCGTAAATCAAACCTACCAATTGAACACTATCAAAATGAGTGAAAGTGAAAGTGAAAACGAAGAAAATTCTCCTCCTCGAAAATTAAAAAAGATGCATTACAATCAAAAATATTCTCAACTATGGGGAAAAGAAGAATATTAGCGGCCTGTAATTCTGTTTTATCATTGGATTTCCAATAAAAATAGTTCAATCGAAAAGTAAATTAGGGATGCCAGATTCTTATTGGAGGATCTCTAAAAGACTTGAAAAGTATAGGTGGTAGATCTACCAACTTTTCATAGTAGGGTTTGTTGGAAACTACCAACTTTTAGAACCCTATCTCCCACCTTGACGAATTTCGAGTTGGCAACGCTGCTCACGGGGCTCAAACCTGACGACGTTGCTAACACGAACCCTAGCAAGAGCCGTGCTTCGCAGAATCTACCTCCGGATCGGAAACGCGACCCACTGAGAAGATCCGGCGAGAAACTCAGTGGGCTGTGTCTGAGGGTTAATTTATTCGTCGAGCACTTCGTCACAAGCGAAGGGTTCGACGAAGATGATGACCGGAATCGATACTTATGTATCGCTATAGACAACAGTTTGCTTATGACTGTTTGGCACATACTCGTATGTAAGTCGTTTCATTCCGAGCACATTCACATTATCGCCGCCTCTAATTTTACGTTTCAAAAAGATTTGCCACACGCTCTCTCGGTATTGTTTATCGACACGTACATAAAATCACAAAACAAAACGTAAAACAAGGAATAATAATACGAGGAATTAGGGTATTTAGTTTAAGCGACATTTTTACAACTTTACAGAAAAAAACATTTAAAATTTGAAGAAACTATCATAACAAAAAACTTCTTTATCTATTTGGATGGAGTGATATTCAATTAAATACATCGAACTGATGATGCTAATACCAAATAAAACGCACCTTTAGTTACAAAGATAAATGGTAGACACAGTAGACGGTAACCACTCACCATCCGTTGGGCCATGCGCTTGTCTGCTTACAAGAGCAATTAAAAAAAAATCGCTTATTAGACGAAATATCGCTTAAAACAAATAGCCCTTCACCCCTCAAATACGTCTTTCACGTCTTGTCTCAGTTTCGCGCGCGAATAAGAAGTCTTCTATCTTTTTCGATTTTTCTACATTTAAATCCGCAGTGAAAACGCGACAACGCGTATATTTTAAAATATTGAAAGGATTCATTATAATCCACACCTAAGTTCACGCGGCATCGTGATGATAATATGTAAAACGTCACTTGCGTGAAGTCTGCAACGGTTTTATCAACTTCAAGTGTTCTTGATAAAACAAATAACGAGTTAAGATGCGGATCAAGATAAGATCTTAGCTAAGAGTTATTTGAAGATATTATTACATCTGAATAATCGGCCGACACCGATTCAAACTGAATAGGTGGCTAAACATAAAAAAAACACGTGTGGCACTCGGGGACTGCCGCGATAAAGCTATTGCATAGCACTTTATATCAACTTATGCAATTATAATTAGACAATAATAATTTAATATTAAAACAATAATAAAATAAGACCACGCTACATTTATAAACGTTAACAAAAGCAAAACATTAACTGTCCCCTTCACACTCATAAGCTAGACCGCGCGAGAGAGAGATGGGCAGACTTTTCATGATGCGCATGCAGTGCGACGTCACGCCGCACGCTTATTCACAAGCGCAACGCGTGAATGTTGAAAGCGAGCTACATGGTAGGCGGAGTGGGGATGTTAGGTTTAATTTTCGTTACGGAATTTCTTGATTCGGTCACCGCGCTCAAAGCCCGCGATAAAAGCTATGCAATAGCTCAAAAAAAAACAAAAAAAAAAAACAATACTAGTAAATTAAAATGAGAAGAATGCTGTCATAGCGAATTATATTTTAATTTGTTCCGATCAAAATTTTGCGATTGACAACTAGCGCGCTCGTCACAAAATATATCAGACTTTTAGTTCTTTAAAAAAACTGGTTAATTCCACTCACCGGACTGGTCCACATGTACGATATTCTGTACGGGTAAAAGTAGTCACTGAAGTTCGTCGACACGGCCGGTAGTGGATTGGTGACATTAAAACCGCATCCGTCTATGCTTAGCGGCAGTTTCACAGGCGTCGGTCGCGGTCCGCCGAAACTCATCCATAGAGTAAGCGCCATGCCAGTTAATAGAGCGACGAATGCGCCCTACACAACAAAGCTCAAAGTATCGAAACCATTCGCATTTTACTGGTAGAAGTCCGCACAGGTAGGTACCACCAGCCTGCCTTCTTTCTGCCGTGAAGCAGTTATACTTTTCGGCTTGAAACGGCAGCCGTTGTACTGTAAAAACTGAGACCTTAGAACTCGAGTCTCAAGGTATGTGGTGGCATTTACATTGTAGATGTCTATGGGCTCCGGTAACCACTTAACACCAGATGGGCCGTGAGCTCTTTCACCCGTGGAAACTGACGACTATTATGCGCGCGACTCGCCAACATTAAATATAGAAATATTCAAAATTAGTTCTTATAATTTAGCACTGATTTAATGGTATCTTCCATCCCAATATATTTCATTAAGTTACTATAAAAATATTATTTTAATATATTTTTTTCTTAAATGTGTGTTATCCTTAACGTTTTAACGTTCGTTTCTAATTTCCATGTAGTTTTCCTCGTTGTGACTTCATAACGCAGTATTCTTCCTTACGTTAATTGTAAATGCATTTTCCTTATTTACATTTATATTTTGGAGATAATAATCACTTTTTTTTTTCATTTTATTGCTTAGATGTGTGGACGAGCTCACAGCCCACCTGGTGTTAAGTGGTTACTGGAGCCCATAGACATCTACAACGTAAATGCGCCACACACCTTGAGATATAGTTCTAAGGTCTCAGTATAGTCACAACGGCTGTCCCACCCTTCAAACCGAAACGCATTACTGCTTCACGGCAGAAATAGGCGGGGCGGTGGTACCTACCCGTGCGGACTCACAAGAGGTCCTTCCACCAGTAAGGTAACCACTTCATATTTTAATTGTTTGTTTGAATATTTTACTATTTTTCTTTGTATAAAAGCGCTTCTCAGAGATAGTCTGTCAGATATTAATTATCATTCAAATAGTTCAAACCAGTTCAAACCTATTGTCATATTGTAAATTCTATTTTGAATATTTTAATATTCAGTGATGTAATATTCGTAAATTGTCTTTTCTTTTTTAAAACAATACGATCGCTCATCATATAACACACTTCAAAATCGATATAAATCTTCTGATAAAGATATTTATGAATTAAGTAACCTTCGATATGACAATGGTTATATTATGATGAATATCACAGTAAGCTTGCATATGTCCCCCCACCCTGTCTCCCAACTATACCTGCTATTATTTTTTTTCCTACCTAAGCTGGTAGCCTGGAGTGGCTATTCCAGCGTAGCCGTGGCTAGTAGGTGAGCTCACGGGGCTCAAACCTGACGACGATGCTAACACGAACCCTAGCAAGAGCTGTGCTTCGCAGAATCTACCACCGGATCGGAAACGCGACCCACTGAGAAGATCTGGCGAGAAACTCAGTGGGCTGTGTCTGAGAGTTAATTCACTCGTCGAGCCCTTCGTCGCAAGCTACGGGTTCGACGAGAACGGTGACCGGTGCTTGAAGTACCTAAAAGCACCGTTAGTGGATCGGGAGGAAATATACCTGCTACGAATTGTAGTTTGTTTGAATGTTCTCTTGCATAATAAACACACATACAAGACAAAAAATACAAACCAAAAATGATATTGCCGTTATTCAAACAAACGAATCTGCTATGTCGAAACACGTTTGTAACATAATAAGCGGTATTCACACTAAGATAGATATGGGTATCGGTAGCGAATTAACACCGAGTAAATCATGAGCTCATCCGCATCGACAAAAAAATGGTCACATAGCTGTTGACAAAAAATATGTGTTTTGGGTTATATCGTGGATACATGAATATACTCACCCTCTCATTAGCAAAAGTAGTAAACATGCCTAAAGTAAAAACTCCGAACAATGGGCCCCCAACAGCTCCAAAGATAGTCAAAGCTGCTTGCAATACCCCTCCTAAATGTTCAGCCAAGAAAGCAAGGCCGAGGAATAGAAATCCATAAGTACAGGCTGCTAGCTTTGTCATCCAGGGTATATAGGATGAAGGTATTAAGAACCATCTGAAAACAAAAATACATTCATTTCACATGGTAGGCAGCGGCTTGGCTCTGCCCCTGGAATTGCTGACGTCCATGGGCGACGGTAGCCACTCATCATCAGGTGATGCTCGTCGGCCTATAAGGGCAATAAATAATATATAAAAAAAACATTAAATTACATTTTAAATTTCTTAATATGTTTTTAAAAAGGTCCGGTATAATTTTGGCTGTGTAGTGTCTGTCTAGAATAGCACCGCCTCATCTTATCTGGTGGGTGTAGTAAAAGGCAATTAGAGGTTTCATCCGAGACTGGCCAACGGAATTCGCAGTGTATTTTACTGAAGGCAAGGCATATTGACAGCTCGCACGGTCTACCCACCTGCCTATCTCCGGAACCTATAGAGATATTTGTTAATGTCCATAGGCCCCAGTAACCACTAACCACAAGGTCGCCAACAATCAAATCAAAACAAAAACAATCTAAGCAATATAATTAAAACTGCTTTCAAAATTCAATCTTGCGTTTTTTATTGTCAGTATGTACACAGATCTACCCGTGATCACGGAAAGTGTGAAGTATTCGAAAATAATATTATAATGGCAATAAAGAACGCAAAATTAAGCCTCAAAATTTGTCTCAATTAAGTCTGAAACTAGCGAAAACCGAAGAAAATTCTAGAATCCAAACACTTTACAATGGAAACATAGTTACAATATTGAAATCTAACCTGTTGACGTAATCAGTTAGAGTAACTGCGGCCAGTGCATTACAAGCCGCTGATATCGTGGAGAGGGAAGCACTGAATATACCAGCGATGAATAGTCCTAGAAGACCGGGAGCTGACTTCATCATTTGTACCACGTAGTAAGGCATCAGTTGGTCAATCTGTATTGGTGATCGACTTTTTTAATTGCATAATGTTCGAGCCCTTCAAACTACCAGTACTCGACATATACATATGGAAAGGAAAGTTCGAGAAGAAAAACAAGGGAACGTATTAAAAAATCGAAATAGCTGTGTGCTTTATTTGATTAGGCCTTTACAGTCAAATCATAATAACTATGCAACTGATTCTTAATTCAAGGCTTCCACTTTTCCAACATAGGTAGGTATGTATCGCTACACAAAACCTACGAAATTTATCTTTTAATCACAATTAGAGCTATAGACCAGGCATAGATTGCTCTGCACTGATTCAATCATGGATGACGGCCGTATTTCTAGATCTTCTAAATAGCAACAGAATAGAATATTGTCACGTCAAATCCTCCTCGACTTCATATAACTCGGCAAATATTTAATATAATAATATAATTTATAATTTTTAATATAATTTATATAATTTCACTGGTGGTAGGACCTCTTGTGAGTCCGCACGGGTAGGTACCATCATCCTGCCTATTTCCGCCGTGAAGCAGTAATGCGTTTCGGTTCGAAGGGTGGGGTAGCCTTTGTAACTATACTGAGACCTTAGAACTTATATCTCGAGGTGGGTGGCGCATTTACGTTGTAGATGTCTATGGGCTCCAGTAACCACTTAACACCAGGTGGGCTGTGAGCTCGTCCATTCATCTAAGCAATAAAAAAAATTAAAAAATGTTATTTGAACATTCATTCATCCTATGAATTGATTTTCCTGGAAGCGACAACGGGCGACAGATACGATCTTTGAATTTATTCTGTTAAACAACAATAAAGTTATTCAATTATTTAATCTTTTTAACGTAGAAACGTTTGTTTAAACGAATATTGTGGGGTTGTCAATGTCAGCCATGGGCTTGGCTGTATCCCTGGTATTGCTGACGTTCATAAGCGACAGTAACCATTCACCATCAGTTAGGTCGTATGCTTGTCTACCTACTTTTTATTCCCCTATGCTAATAGACTTGAGAGGCTACATCAGCGTTACCCTAGCCTGTAGGTGAGCTCTCGGGGCTCAAACCGAAGGTGTTGCCAACACTGGCCCTAACAAGAGCAGTGCTTCGTAGAATCTACCACCGGATAGGAATTGCGACCAACTAAGAAGATCCGGCCAGAAACTCAGTGGGCTAGTCTGCCTACAAGGTCAATATAAAAGCATTGATGAGAAGAGTAATAATTACGATAGTTTTCACTTCACCTTAGCGGAACATTGACTTTGCTTAATTTAATACTAAAATAATTAGTAACTGTCAAAATATATTAATTATAAATAAAGACAAAGCGTTACGCAATTTTGAGAGACATGCTCTCAGTATAATAAGAATCGATAAACATTTTTTAATTAATAAATACTTATATCAAATTACCGTAGTCGACATTCGCAGTAGCTATTAAAATATGAACATTTATTTCCTTGTTTGCGATTAAACGTTATAACTTACAGCAGTAATTCCGTGATAAGTCAACGGATCACAGTCTTTGTAGACGGCATAGATGCCTAATCCACTGATGCATGTAATGATACTGAGAGCAGACATCACGGGCAAATTCCACCAGAGGCACTGCTGGGATCGGTCCAACGTGCTCACTGTTAACAGACGTTGTACCTGTGCAATTAAAAACTTTCTTTTATTGGCCACTTTATCAGAGCTGTTGATCTTTGGCACAACTCTACAAACCAGCTGATGACTCGCACGTACATGGAATATGTAGTTCCAATAGCATTAAAACGCATGACGACTTATTTTTTAATGCATAGATCAGGGATTCCCAAACTGTTTTGGGCAAAAGACCCTTTTGTAAAACGAACCTTAGACTTCTATAACAAAATTACTTTAAAAGTCCTTCCTATCTCTAGTTTTTTTCTTATTGACACAATTACCAATTTACAAACTTTGAGGTTGATTAGCTTATCGCGTATTTAATCGGTTCGACCCTTTTGGGCATCACTGGCTTAGATGAAAAAAAACAAAATCATGGCCCACCTGGTGTGAAGTGGTTACCAAATTCCATAGATATCACACTGTTAAGCCGCCACTGAAAGGCATGAGATCAGTCTCAATATTATAGAATAACGGCTGGCCGTGAACACCGGTACGTCTTACGTAGACAAGTTTTTTTTTTAATGTGTAAATTACTGTGTATTTACCCGTATCTACCTATTTATTTATATTGCAGTTGTGCATTTATGTGCACCAGTTATAACGCTCTCAATCAATTCAAAGTCAGTGTTCGACATTTCTATCCGCACGTATATTTTGTTAAGAACAACTCAACATGTGCACATTAATTCAACTTCTTTTTGAGAAATGGTAAACTCTTTCGTTGTACACTAGAGATATTGCTATATCTCAGTCATAAGAATTATTTGTGTATTAAAAAAAATGCTACCATGGAACATCAGAATTAAGCAAATTACAATTAGTAAGCAGCGGTTTGGCTGTATCCCTGGCATGGCTGACGTCCATGACTAACGATAAACATCCACCATTAGTTGGCCATATAGTCGTCTGGCTATGAAAAAAAATACATGTGCTGTAATAATTCACGTTCTATTTTTTCAGAAACGAAAAAAACTGCTTTGTCAAATTAAATTTTTCCTGTTTTAGAATACTATTTGTATTCGTTGTAATGTAAGTTATATTAACATGAAACTTCATATCTATTGTGTCAATGAGTAAATCTAAAATACGTCACTTCAAAGATCGATCAACAATAGATGAAATCTGATTTCCATTTATAGAATAGTTGACATTTTAACAGACATACGAGTAAGTACAGTGAATTCTTAAAGATAAAATAAGATTAAATTACCTGAGTATGATTGACAGCATACAGTGATAAGTAAGTTATCATTCCTCCAATAATGAGTGACCACCAGGTGTGCCTCTGGGTAGGATCTACACTGAAACTGCACACCAACTATCAGAAATTTCTTTTTTTATCTTAACAATTAATTAATTCAAAAAAATAAATCGAACTCATTAATATTTTAAATTCAAATTATGGAACGTGTTATATAAATGTCACAATTGAAAAACTTATCAGGAGAAATTGTTTTTTTATTCAATACCGTTTTGTGCCAATACCGCTTACTTACTTGGAAAAGTCTAATCGTCCACCTTCCCGGGCACGAACAAATATTTGTCCGAAACCACCGACTTGGACTGCGCTAAATACCACCACACTCAACACAGCGGCAAACATCAGCAAAGACTGCAGTAAATCAGTAAATAATACGGCCTTCATCCCTCCTAAAGTCGAGTAAAACGTACAAGCTAAGCCTACAACTAGTATCGATATTATCCTGTCTAAACCAGTCACAGATTCTAATACAATAGCTGGAGCATAAAGCACTATGCCATTGTACAATAACATTTGTAAAGTGTACGTCAGAGACGCCAGCATACGTATTTGAGACCCAAATCTCAGTTCTAAGTACTCATAGGTACTTGTTTTTTGAAGGCCAAAGAACACGGGTAGATATAATCTACTAGCTATCGGAGTTGCTAAGAAGTAGGCTATATTTATGATAACGAATTGCATGCCGAAATAGTAGTTTTCTGCCGACACTCCGAGAAGAGTGATCGCCGACATGAATGAGGCCATCAATGAAACCGCGACCGGTAATATCGACATGTTTCTATCAGCTAAGAGGTATTCCTGGAAAAATAAAATTTATAACTTCAGAATATTATGTAAATTAAACGCTCAACATTCCGTATGTGGTACTTAGCATATTGTTACCTCGTTTGTTTTCTGTTTTCCTCCACTAAATCGGAAATAGACTCCAATGGCCACAGAAGCGATCATAGTCGCTACCATTATAAGGTAGTCACATATTCCAAATACTGATAACGCCATGGCCTTCCTAAAATATGAACAAAATTTGTTGACATCAAACTAGTATATTGAATTACTAGCGGACCCGACAGACATTTTCCTGTACACACGTCTTAAATGTTAAATCAAACTTTTTTAACAATAATAATTAAAAAGTTATTTTAATGGACGAATTGTGAATCTAAACCATTCTCGAATCCACTTGAAAAAAAATGATCGAAATTGTTGCCGGAGAAGGGCTCATGCACAGAAGAATTATGTATACAAAGACAAGATGTATACAAAGACAATTAACGTCAATTAATTACAACGGTAAAACAAATAGTACATATTTATTACATTCAAAGTTTACAGATGAAAGTGTTACGAAACCTAAACCATTTCACAGTCGAAACCAACAACGTTATTCCACCAATAAGCAAAACAAACGTTTGTACGTAATTTTCACGCTACCATATTAGAAATTAATTGATTTTCATTGAATTTTTTATTTGCGTGATTTGATGTCACGTGGCGTTACCAACGGTGTCACTATCGCATAGAGGAAAACAATAGTTGGTGAAAAGATTTCATAATGAAAAGACTTTCGTCACTGGTGGCTTGGTAGAGTAACATAATAAATAATATAACATTAAAACCCAAATGCGTTTAAAAACTACGATTAAACGTCAGTTATGTGCTACAAGAAAAGCACTTCCAAAACCTAAACGCTAACAGTAATTACGGTGTGATACTGTGTACAAAATCATCGTTCACTTAGTTCACCGTTCAAACGCTCGCCGCCTTTATGGACCTCGCAAAATTACGCCGGCTTCTACTTTTGAAGTCGTCATGGCCTAAAGGATAAGACGTCCGGTGCATTCGTGTTGAAGCGATGCACCGGTGTTCGAATCCCGCAGACGGGTACTAATTTTTCTAATGAAATACGTACTCAACAAATGTTCACGTTGACTTCCGGTGAAGGAATAACATCGTCTAATAAAAATCAAACCCGCAAAATTATAATTTGCGTAATTACTGGTGGTAGGACCTCTTGTGAGTCCGCGCGGGTGGGTACCACCACCCCGCCTATTTCTGCCGTGAAGCAGTAATGCGTTTCGGTTTGAAGGGTGGGGCAGCCGTTGTAACTATACTTGAGACTTTAGAACTTAGGTATATCTCAAGGTGGGTGGCGCATTTACGTTCTAGATGTCTATGGGCTCCAGTAACCACTTAACACCAGGTGGGCTGTGAGCTCGTCCACCCATCTAAGCAATTAAAAAAAAACTTTGAGACTAATTATCAATTCTAATGCACCTACAGCAACTGATGCCTGATTCTAGGCAGAAACGATAGAAAGTTATTACTGCCCTTGCAAACTCACAAACACCCTATTTCCAATAAAAAATCCTTCAGTGCGTCCTACCACCAGCGGAGGTAAAACTAGTACTTGTCATTTTGATAATCGCAAATTATAAAAACATATAATGTAAAACCAATGATGCTGGTAAATCGCACATATAAATCGAGAGCTATCATAAAGGTATATCACTATCAATACGATTGCAATAATTAAAAATACCACAACGTAGACTGCAGTTGAATTTACAGTGTCAAGTTTTATCTTTTGGATCTTAATAAAACGATTCATGTGACATGACTCGCATGCGTTACGTATACAAACACAGAATTTCTGTCTTAAAATATTTAATTAGTATCTGTTTAAGATATTTTTATAAGCACATTGCTTGACGAACATTCGCAATCAAAATATTATGTAACATATGAAATATGTATATTCCTACTCGATACATGCGAGTGAGTCGTGTTAATGCCACTGCAATTGAAAGCTTCAACCTTAATGGAAAGCATTCCGGTGGTTATGGAGTGCGATGAACATATAACATCAGGCGGGTATAGTCCCCGGCACATAACTTGGCAAGAATCGTCAGATGCGCAGAAGTCGTTTTTTAGGTCTCTTTGGTTGTCAAGCGGGACGCGGGGAAAGACGTAGCACCGTTCCGAGCGCGCGATTGGTGAGTCAGTCGACCCTCCCCTCCCGCACCGCGTCCACGTTCCGTTCGCTCCTGATTACACAATACACATGCGCCTACTAAATTGTAGGAACCCTTTGTTTATATTGAGTTTTTGTTACGAGTTGTTATTATTTTTTTAAATTTAGTTTTTGTTACGAGTGTTATTCTTTTAAATTTGTTTGCAATGCCAGGACCAAATACCAATGACCATATAGTCGATTCAATCACTGAGCGTTTTATTATTTACGCCAGTGGCGACAGCGACTCTTCGTTATGTTAACGATGAGGAGCCAACTCCTTCCACCAGCTCAGGTGCTACCATAAATTTAATCCAAGGAATAGCACTATTAGAAAATGATAGTGACGATGGCGATACATAATTTTTAATATGAAGTATTTTTTTTTAAATAAACTTCTTAACTTTTAATTGTATTTTATTTATAACACCTAATACACTTCACGAATTCCTCTCTTTTCTTTAACTTTCTTCTAAAACACAGGCTTAAAAATAAATTATGACAAATAAGTCGTCGTGGCCTAAAGGATAAGACGTCCGGTGCATTCGTATCTAGCGATGCACCGGTGTCAATGTTCAGTCAATGTTCACGTTGACTTCCACGGTGAAGGAATAACATCGTGTAATAAAAATCAAACCCGCAAAATTATAATTTGCGTAATTACTGGTGGTAGGACCTCTTGTGAGTTCGCACGGGTAGGTACCACCGCCCCGCTTATTTCTGCCGTGAAGCAGTAATGCGTTTCGGTTTGAAGGGTGGGGCAGCCGTTGTGACTATACTGAGACCTTAGAACTTATATCTCGAGGTGTGTGGCGCATTTACGTTGTACATGTCTATGGGTTCCAGTAACCACTTAACACCAGGTGGGCTGTGAGCTCGTCCACATATCAAGGCAATAAAAAAAAAAAAAAAAAAAATTAAATTAAATTATATGCGGGCAATAAAAGTGACCATTTTTTTGTTGCAATGTGCACTATGCGCGACATTACCCCCACTACACTAAAACCATGCCAACTTACGTGCCGCTTACTATATAGGCTCGTATTCCGTTTCTTTGGTTAAATTCTAGTCAAATTTGAAGACACGTTCCGTTGCAACAATAAATAATATTTATAATTATAATACATGTATTAAAGGTACAATAATACAATAATAAGCATAATATAATGTTCCATTTACTGCAGTAATTCCAACCGCACCCATTTAAATGTGCCGCCAAAATTTTGTTATTGAACTCGTAATCCAAAAGATTCAACAAAATGTTGCAATTTTCTTGAATTTTTCAAAAACGTTAAAGTAGAATAAATTAATTAAATTCATAAATCCTACGAAGAACTACATCAGTCGACTGTGTATTTTTGACGTGACGTCTTATATTCGATGGAGCCGGCTGCACGCACGGAAAAACATGACTCATGCGGCGTTACCTCGCTCTGAGTCGTTCCATTTAAGGCTTGAAGTGCAAGCGAGAGCGCGCAACGAGCGACAAAGAGGCACAATCGGCCCGCGTTCGGCAGCGTTCGACATCTGTCTCTCTCCTACTTGAGTGAGCGATGAAGCGATGCATCCGCGTGGTCAGCTGCTATACAATAATACATTTACATGTTTTCGTCAAGTATGAAGTTCAGTGAAAAGTCATTCACTTTTAGTGTCAATTGTCCATACAAAATACCTATCAAACAAATAAAATTAAAATTTTCTTTTGAAAATTGAAACCATTCCATCAGTATTTTCTTATGACGTTGTCAAGTTCAACTATCGTCAGTAAACCGACTTTACAGACAACCGATTTTTTTTTCTTCAAAATAATGTAAATTAATTTAAATTAAACTTTTATGGAACTTGACACTTTAGCACTTACCGTATTTATACTCTGTTAACAACTAAATCACAACACACTACAATCTATGTTACACTTCAACTAATGTTATAGTTTTATCGCTTTTTTTCTCATATTATTTTATAAGCCTCAATCTTATACCATTAAATGTAAGTAAACTAAAGATTTACATAATCTTGGTAACCCTAAATGAATACCCAAAAATTGTCCTTTTCACTATTGCAAAAAACTTCACAGCACAACTCATCCAACTGGACAAGTTTCGCCAGTCAACGCCGACTAATTAATGACTGATCACTGAAGATTCATAGAAGAGGTCATTGAGCAAAAAAATGCCATTCGATATTTTTCTTTGCACGAAACTAACTGTTAAGAGGTTATGTTTCGTTCGTTGCCAACGTTCACTCGCTGTTGGATCAAGAACGCTTGATAGTAGGTATAGTAGAAATTTGGTAACAAATGGATTTCAAGCGCTTAAAGCGCTGCTCAAAACGTCTACTTTTTATAATTTTATCTGCAGAAATTATGCTGCTATATATGTTCATTGAAATGGAATAAAACTCATAAATGTTCTGAGTTTATGTACACAGCAATCTTATCAGTAATAACGATTTTTTCCAGACGGTGAAAATTAAAAAATGGGAAAAACAATAAAAGACATTGCTGTGTAACAATTTAATTGATTAGATGACAACTAATTCGATGAATATTTAAAAAAAATAGAAAAAATATGTACAAATTTTTCAGTTTTAAATTTTTATCTGAACCCATTTTTAATACAAAAAAAATATTTCATTTATTCAAATGCAAAAAACGTTTTATATAAGTAAACATCTACTAGTATAATAGTACCACAAACCACGCTGATTGATTGTGAAATGGTATCACAATTTTGAAAGGTGATATTAAGGATCATACAGGGATCACAAAAAATATCCGCTTAGTTACCTACAACGATTTGTTTTCACAACAAACCACGTTTTGAAAATTCCAACAATATAGGTGAAATCTATTACTTAAGCTAATGCATGACAATTAATTGTTGACTATATAGGTATCTATCTACTATTATAATTCTAAGGGCGGATTCGACCAAACTTAAATTTAAACTCGAGTAACTATACGAGGAATAACCTATTCCATGATTTTAATCTCGAGTAAATTCATAGTCGTTTTTCCACGTATACTTGCGCTAGGAATAACAATACGCGAATAGCAGAGTGAATGGTGAACAAAAATAAAATCCGGCAAATAAATGTTGTTGTTCAACGGCATAGTGTAAGAGCATACAAATCGTCAACTCGATTTTGCCGTATTTTAGTGTGAAAAAGTAGCTGTTGTGTAAGATATCCAGCTGTCAAACGTATTATTTTTATTTCTTGTTTGTTTGAGGGAATTGTCAAGTTTTGTCGTGTGGTTTTATCTTTTTTCGTTTAAACGTTGCATTCAGACTATTAATAATCATTTAGTGCATTGCGTTGACTTGAAATTAAAACAGAATAAATATTTATGAAATGACAGAAATCAGATGTTGGACTGACAGACGCCATTACTTTATTCTAGGAATAGCTCCGTTATTCCGTGCGAAACGGCGGTATAGTAACAATTCCCGAATAGGCCCACTATTCTTAGAATTGTAGTTGGTAAAACGTAAAATTGATTTACTCTCGATTAACTGACGAGTTATTCTAAGAATAAGATTTACTCTTGTTTGGTCGAATCGACCCTAAATACTTTTAAAATTGCTAATCTTGACTGAAATTCAATAATTACATTTGCATAAAATCTAAAAGCGCTTGAATTGCTGCAGCGCAGCTGGATTACAAAATCCGTACGTCAGCGAGGACAGTCGCTAGCGTTAAAATTTTGCCACCAACAGCAAAAATTCGTTTCGAAGTCTTTAACTATATTGTACCTATTATAACATAATTATAATCAAAACTACACATTCCTGTGCAAAATTTTGCTAATATTTTTCAAATTAATTGAAAACTGCTCCTCAGTATGTTTTAGATTACTTGTGGCGACATCTAGTAAGTTATACGAAAACGTTCTACATGAAAATATGGTGAAGATGTACAACATATAACTTATTAAGCTTGGTACAGTTTGTACATGCAAGGAAATTAATTAGATGTTTTATAGTAGAGAGGCTTATTACGAATAAACGTATGAAGCTCGTCACAGAAGTAACTATAAAGTTAGGATATTAAAAAAAAAGATAAGTAATTAAAGTTTTGTCTTTAATACTTACATATTTAATTAAATTACACTACATTACTAATTACATAATTTATAAACAACCAATAGGTTCATTAATGATGTATAATATTTATTTTAGTAGGGTATATTTTTATTATTTCGGTATAAAACATTATTTATACCGATCAATTTCATAAATTTTATCAATTAGATAAATAATTGACGCAAAAAAGTAGGTAGGAAAATAGTAACCAAAAAAAATTTAAAGAATGCTTACAAAATAATGGTATAAAATGCAAAACAATATCAACAGTATTCGTAATTCATTCATTGCATAGCTTATTAAACGATCTTTATTGAACAATAAAGCCCAATAAGCATCGTTGATTGATTCATTGAGTTCTGTTCTGTTATGTCTCTTATAACATATATACCTTTAAAATGTAGAACAAAAAAGTGAGATTTCTTATTGCTTGGACATGTGAACGAGTTCAGGCCTCTTCTGGTGTTAAAAGGTTACAGAAAATGCGATGCCGTTACCAATTTAAGACACGAACTAAAGGTTTTAATATGATTACAAACATGTAGTTTTCGATACCAAGGTTTTATTAACCTTTCCTTGCCGTTTTAGAAAGGAATAAAAAAAGCTGTGTTAGTGTTACTAGACAGCTATTATGAATTTATTTCATCATAGGAATATTGTATCAATATTTTAGCATTATCGGTTCTTTAATGAGTCCCAAGTCACGATCTTACCGTGTTTTGTAGATAGATCACCTTAAAATGAGATGGAAAACTCAAATCTATCGTAATATCGACTATTCTATCCTTTCAAGAGAAAAACTACAAACTTTCTTTACAACAAAAAAAGTCCGAACCATTGGATTCGAGGTCATACTAGTACCCAGTAATCCGAGTATTTTCCTGGAACCAAATATAGCCTGAGAACAACAAATAAACATAAATAAATAAACAAATATACCAATAAAAAAGTTCAATTTATTACTCAATATTACATATTACGTACATTGAGTAGTGTTCTAAATTAAAGACCAATTAATATTCTACGTGCTATAACGTTTCTTACGCCTTTTCCCCGATAACCAATAATTACGTATATAACAACGTGCTATTGTCAAGACTATAATTATCATGAATCAAATATTAATCACCGTCTACAATTTAAATTTGATATTAAGGGTGTTTCTTTATTTTATAATAAGTACGTTTTTAAAGACATTGAAGGCAAGCACTTTGAACTCCAGTTTCCGAGTGGTTTAAAGCTAAAAGAAATCCAATGAAAACAGATTCTTTCATAGGATGTAACATGCTCATTATTAAAAGACACAACCAATGTTTTTTTTTAATATATCCCTTTTTTCTTCGATTTTTTGTCCATCCATAGATAATATTTATGAATTGTTTTACTTAAATTTACCTAAACTGATCTAATGATGTAAAAGACGACTGCCGACGAATTCCAATGGTCATAAAAGCTTCTTGTCATTATGACAGATTCAAATTCAGAATTAAAAAAAATCATAAGATTTCGAAAAATTATTATTATCAATCAGTAACTATTAATGATTCCTAAAAATCCAAACAATGCCTACATGTCTTATACTTACTTACGTACAATGTTTCAATTCCCTAATCTGTGTACCGAATCACGGAAATCTATGCAGTATCTCGCATACAATGTTTAATTTACGTAAAACATGGTCAATATTGATTAGCGGCTAATGAAATTTGGAAGTAAAAGCTTTGTTTGTTCTCGAAATTCTGCAGGACTAATTTTCGCCCTAGACAAAGGAATAGACAAGAGATAAGAAAACGAAAATGTAAACGGTGAGACGTTAGGGTCGGCTCTTATTAGGTATATTTGACCCTTTTTATCAATTCAAGAGATCATATTCAGTTGACCAACTAATAAGTAGGTTTGTTTACAAATCGAACTGTCTGCATTTCATAGCCAACAATAAAATTTTAAATAGTGATAGTTTCTTCCAGAAACTTTTTTTTTATTGCTTAGATGGGTAGACAAGCTCACAGCTCACCTGGTGTGAAGTGGTTACTGGAGCCCATAGACATCTACAACGTAAATGCGCCACCCACCTTGAGATATAAGTTCTAAGATCTCAGTATAGTTACAACGGCTGCGGCGGCTGCTACCCTTCAAACGGAAACGCATTACTGCTTCACGGCAGAAATAGGCAGAGTGGTAGTACCTACCCGCGCGGACTCACCAGAGGTCCTACCATCAGTAATTACGCAAATTATAATTTTGCGGATTTGATTTTTATTACACGATGCTTTTCCTTCACCGTGGAAGAAAATCGTGAACATTTGTTAAGTACGTATTTCATTAGAAAAATTGGTACCTACCCGCCTACGGGATTCGAACACCGTTGCATCGCTAGATACGAATGCACCGGACGTCTGATCCTTTAGGCCACGTCGACTTCAGACTCAGAATTTATTTTTCTTCTTCTGGCCCTTAGTTCACATTGTGTGGGATCGGTGCAAAATATCCTCTTATCGTGCCAGATAAGGATTTGGCTTTTATTTTATGATCGGCCTGCCTGCCTGATGTAAAAATCTAATTTTAGGAACTAATGACAAGTTAACTCAAAATAATAGATGTAACCACGGCGTTGGCAACTTTATTTTTTAAATCTGGCATAAATACATGAATGTTCTAAAACGCTAATTCTAAATCGAATAAGTTAAAAATAAAAATTACTACTATGGTAAGCTTCAATTTTTTTTCATAAGCTGTGGCTTCATACATACTAACATACCTACATACCTTCTTAAAAAAACAAGCTCATTTTCAACGTCCTTACTCGTATATATGTCTCAAGCTCGCATCTTTTGATCTCAACACCGTAGGAAGCACAATTTCAGTAAGTGCCTCTTGAAGATATTCGTGACTTTTCCGTGAGCGGTTAACGTGTTCATACTCGGAATTCGGAATTATGATAAATAAATCTCTTTTAGTTCCATTAAAATGTACTTAAATTTAGACATTAAAGAAGCGGAAAACATCGAGACAAAACCTGAAATATCATATTAAGAAATAAACAATTTAGACTCGGTGACTCTAAGAAAACTAATTTAGAAAAAGATCACACAAGTGGAATCAAGCGATAGTTTTAAATTTAGATAAATCAGTTAATTTATTCTCTAAACAAGTACGGAGTAAGCTGTATTTCACACCAAATTAAAATATAATAATGCAAAAATGCAATATGATAATCTTCACTTCACATGCCCATACACATGCATACTCAAACAATCATACACACGTTCTTCGTAAGCTTTCATGAGCTGTTATGGTTGTTTCTGTAAATGAGAACACACCGTATCACTAAATTAAACACAACGGTTATTATTAATAAACAATTACAAATTACGGCGTCAATCACGCCCGCTACTGGAAAATCACTTAAAAGCCTAAAATGGCTAACATCGTAATATATCAATTTAATACTGCCAGTTCATTCGTTCGATCAACATGGTACGACCCTGCAGATATTTTGCGATACATTTTATTCTCTTACGATTCCTTGGTTTAGGGTGGTGGCATCATCCCCACGAAAATAAAACTAGGAATTATCCCGGCCTATACCTGTACTATTCTATTTTGACACAGCTGGTTTGGGTGGTCGGTTTTGTGGGACTAGAAACAATAGATCCTTTTGTCGGTGAGAAAGATATGGATCGATTTATGTTCAGTCTCTCGTTTGTCATTACTCACGACCTGACATTGATCAAACTTTACATATTTTATTTTCGAAATGAAGAAATTCAAGACATCGTCCGCACCATTGAAATAGATCTATATAGATATTACCAAAATGATGACAAAATTCGCGCGACGATCAGAATTTCGCGAATTTTTACTGCAGCTTTCCTTTTCTTTGGTTGGGTGACGATAGGAAACGCAAATATTTACGGTATCGTACAGGATCTTCGTTGGAAAGACATCGTAAAGAATTTAAATGAGACGACATCTAAGCCCTTAAGAACATTACCGCAACCGATTTTCATACCGTGGCCGTATCAGGAAGATAAACACTACATTCTGACATTCATTCTCGAAACAATGGGCTTGTTGTGGACTGGCCATATTGTAATGACTATAGATACTTTTATCGCGTCTGTTATTCTGCATATGAGTACTCAGTTTGCGATACTAAGAGAAGCAATCGTAACCGCTTACGATCGAACGATGATCACTCTTTCTGAAGGGGCTTTGCAAAGTGGCGTTCTTTGTGAGAACAGTAATGGAAACGAAGAAAATAACCAGATTTTTCTTGAATCATTCTATTCAAAAGAGCATATTGAATCGGTATTGGAGAGTACACTGTTAAGTTGTATTCGGCAGCACCAGCTTCTAATTGGGTGAGTCTAAAAAGTGTCTAATTATAAAAGTAAAAGGTATTTAGGCGGTCGTGACCTAAAGGATAAAACGCCTTATGCACTCGTATCTAGCGATGAAGCAATGCCAATGTTCAAATCATACAGGCAGGTACCAATTTTCGTAAGAATATAAATATAAAAAGCTTCTTCATGAAAGACGTCCACGATGAATGAATGTCATACGAGTACATATCTCTATATATAAAAATGAATTGCTGTACGTTAGTTAGTTTTTTTTTATTGCTTAGATGGTTGGACGAGCTCACAGCCCACCTGGTGTTAAGTGGTTACTGGAGCCCGTAGACATCTACGACGTAAATGCGCCACCCACCTTGAGATGTAAGTTGTAAGGTCTCAGTATAGTCTTGCTAAAACTCGAGAACGGCTGGACCGATTTGTCTAATTTTGATCTTGAATTATTTGTGGAAGTCCAGAGAAGGTTTAAAAGGTAGATAAATATGAAAATGCTCGGAATTAAATAAAAATATTTTTTTTGTTTTCCCGTTGATATGTCCCCCGTCGGACGGATTCCTTTTGTTTGTTTTAAGTTTATTTTATACAAAAGTTTGGGTCTTTTATTTATCGATTGAGACACTACGAAGTCTGCCGGGTCAGCTAGTATACATTTAGAAAGCTTCTTCACAAAAGACGTCGACGATGTATGAATGCCATCGTTTAATAAATCGAATTCGAAAAATTCGAAAATATCAAATATAATTACTCCGTACTATAATTAATTGTGCTTTGCAACTGCAATTTTTATTTAATTAATTTAATAATGTCATTTTGTTGTCCTCTTCATAACATTTTTTTTTTTAATTCATAATCTTTTTATTTTTTAATATATTTTACAATGTTATGTTTTTTTTTTTTTTTATGATTGAAAGTTTACTGGTGGCCCGAAGGCCTTTCCAGTTTCACCAGGACAGGTGGGCGAGCAAAGGCTCAGCCAAGAGGGGTGGGATTTGCTAACAACTGCCCGAGCGCCTCCGAAGGAGACCTAACAACTCAAGAGCAATTGTTTCACGAATGAATCTACTACCGGATCGGAATCGCGACCCGCNTTTGTCGGCAAATGTACCACGAACACAAAAATAACTAAAACGAAACAAATAAAAGCTTCCAGGAAAAACACTTGGTCGGCAGATGTATCACGATCACAGGCCGCGCGAACAATGGCCGGGCTAACAAAAGCCGGGCGAACAAAGACCGGGCGAACGAGTGGTCGATGAGCACGTCCGCACGTGACGGGTGCCTCTATCGGAATGGTCAATATCGACCATCCACATACCCGTTATATACATATTCACATACCATACATACCCATACACACGGCGGGAAGTCGTTGGATGCGGAAGGCGGAGGACCGCATTATGTGGAAGGCATTGGGGAAGGCCTATGTCCAGCAGTGGGCAGATAAAGGCTGATGATGATGATGATGATGACATACCCGTCTTTCAAGATTTAAATTCAACTCAAACCAATTAATCGATTTTAAATAATCATGAAACTAAGATAATTAACGTTTTAATCCTCATCTTAATATCATATAATAATCTCAAAATTACTTTAACTTGTTTGTTTGGTATATTTATCCTTTGATGTTCTAAAAGTATTCACGAACAGCGTGAAAAATAAGGTAAAACATAATCTCAGTACATTGTTCGTTTTATTCGGTCTCATGACGTTTCGTCATACATATTAAATTAAACGGGGGGAGTATTGTTCTCTTTTGTATTCAAAGTATAAGTCTACGAACAAAGGTATCTAAACGCCTAACACAACTCAAAATGCTCATGTTGTATTCAGTTCTGACGTTTTCATTTGTGTATACACAGCGAGGAAGGATGTACGGCTAAAAGTTACTGCGATGCAATACTCATACATTGACTGAAAACCAAATTACAAACACAGATATTATTCCATAATATAATCAGAATGAAGATTCAAAATGCGTTCATATGAAATTTGAAGCTTTTTGTTGATTTACTAAGTATGTACAAGAAAGCAGTGAAACTTTTTGTTAGTAAATTCTGACTTGGACTAACTAAGACTCCTGTATGACCATAAAGGACAGTGAAAATTAATTGTAGAGGCCAACTAGAACTGGGCTACGAGCCAAAATACTTTAAAAATAACTATTGTCTCACTATATTTCACTGACTGGAAAGCAAGTCATTCATAAAATACTTAAAACGTAATTAACGTACGGTAACGTATTTTAATTAACGGTATAAAGTCGAATAAAATTATTTGGTAATTAATCATTCGAATGTTGCTATGCCTCAAGTTAGAATAATATTAGTCAGTAATATAATAGGCTTTCATTTACATTTCCGGTTTCTGAAACGCATTCAAGTATTCAATCGACAGGTGTGGGAAATGATAGGAAGTATCCTGTAGCGCAAAAAATGTCAATTCACAGCCAATACGCAGGCAATAAGGGGTGGAGTTGTGTGGTTATGACAACCTGTAATATCTCAGGATTACGACTTCAATATTGTCACTCCTTTTGCCTTTTTTCCACTTAGGTCAACATAATACAAGCCGTTTCATATTCACCTTTGAATAAAAAAATCATCTATTTATAATGAAAAATGCATAAATATTCTATTCCATTCAAAATACCAATACGTGTTTAATAATTTACAATTAATTGTAAAACATAACAGGTAATACATATCTTCTCGTTTAAATAGATTTTATGAACGAATATCATCTATTTTTACTTTGAAATCATAAAATGATTGGAATGAAACAACAATTTTTATCAGCAATAGTTCATATCAAACATTAATCACATTTAACCAGCTGACATTGAACGCAATTATATTGTTGATACAACAATAATTGATTCTGAAGTACACTCATTAAAGTCAAACACTGTATATACGTACATTCAATGGGTTTATTTATTTTAGATGTGTGGAGAAATTCTCCAAAACCTATTCATACGGTTTCATGACGCAACTTTTGTCTAGTATGGCCGGCATCTGCGTGGTAATGGTTCAAGTTTCGGTAAGAAATGTGTATTAATGCTATATCACCTCGCTCCACCTAAATAATTAGAGCCTGAATTGCATTATTAAGTTTTTGTTTTTATTCTTAGAAGTTAAAATTTCATCAATTTAAATAAAACTATTTTTTTTTCTTATTGCTTAGACGGGTAGACGAGCTCACGGCTCACCTCGTGCTGAATGATTACCGGAGCCCATTGCCATCAAAAATGTAACTGCCGCCACCCACTTTGAGACATTCACGCCGAAACGTTTTACGGCGGACTTGAGCAGAGTTGTAGTACCAACCCGTGCGGACTGAGAAGACGCCCGAAAATCAGTTGTACGACTTAATCTCGCATTAATTATTTCAATTAAGCTGCCAGGTCTCAAGATCCAACTAGTTTTTTTTCTGTGTGAAATGAAACATAAAAGTCAAATAATTTAATGGAAAAATAAACGGTAATTAATACGACATTAAAATGTCGATGAATAACGCCTTTTTTCCCGAAGCACGATAAGTCTAAAGTATACGAAACGCCAGATTTAATATTATGATAATAATAATAAACGAGAGATTAAACCGTAAAAGTACTTTTAATTAAGACTACGACACGCGAAAAGTTAATTTTTCAATTTATTTTCTAGTATCAAACAAATGACGTTTAATGATTCTATTTCACAGCAAGACGCATCCAGTTTCAAATCGGTCAGGCTTGTCACATCGTTGGCTTTCTTTTTCGCTATGGTCATACAGTTGGCCATACAATGTTTCACTGGCAATGAACTAACTATACAAGTATGTTTTTTCTCTCTACACATTACATTGTCTGACTACAGCTCTTAACGTTTTATTTGCCAAGTCCACATTCATTATAGATTTTGTTCCTTTTTATCCCAACATCACCAGGTGATAAGGCTCCCGCTGAGTTGCAAGAATTGGAATGCTAATTTGATTTTTATTTGTCTCATAAAACAACCATACCTGTGGGTTGTTTGGATAGCTTATCGAGTCATACAATCCTATAACAATATTATTTATTTATAGTTAATTTTTTATTTTTTTTGTTTTTGCTGCTTTTCTAGGCAGAGGAGCATACGGTCCACCTGATGGCGAGTGGTTGCCGTCGCCCATGGACGTCAGCAATGCCAGGGGCAGAGTCAAGCCGCCGCCTACCATTATAATTTAATGAAAACACCTACCTTCTTAAAGTAGAGTACAAAAGGCCTTTCTTTCTTATTTTATAAAATCGGCCATAGCTGCGTAGCATAAGTAAATCAAGTTTTTTTTTTCTTAATCAAACACCACAATTTCCTTATTCTTTTTAAGTAAGACATAGCCATGTTTTAGGCTTTAAGTGAATTACATCATTGTATTATATTGTTTGATATATTTAATTAATTAGGGTTCTATTCATGTAGGTAACCATTTTCAGTGTGATTTATGATATTTTATCTTATGTTAGTCTGAAATGTGCAGGCTGAGAGAATTGCGGATGCAGTAATGGAAAGTAAATGGGAGAAGATGCCAGTGAGACTGCGACGCCTTCTCTTGGTGACGATGATGCGTGCCCAACGTCCTTTGCACCTTACAGCCGCTGGATTCGCCTATATCGACAACACTTGCTTTCTCTCGGTACACTATTTGTTTTACTTTTCTGTCTATTACTTTCCATATAGCATAGAACATTCTGGACGTTTTGGAGTAAGCTAGTTTTTCATTTTATTTTAACAGCTAAAACCGCCTTTTCCGTTGTTCGAGTTTCATTTTTGCTGACAGCTTGTTATTTTGATTTTATTTATAAATTCTTACATTGTAGCTGAACTTGCAATAGCTCGCCAGCATTAAACAGCAATTAAATCAATAACAGCTTTCTTGCTTAGTTTTTAATTTAAATAGTGGCGTCCGACAAACGGTCCTTTGTTTTATGTTGGCTTTGGGGGAACTATGTAAAGGCATTCGTCTAGATAGGTTTTTTTTTTTTTTTTTGTTGCTTATATGGGTGGACGAGCTCACAGCCCAACTGGTGTTAAGTGGTTACTGGAACCCATAGACATCTACAACGTAAATGCGCCACCCACCTTGAGATATAAGTTCTAAGGTCTCAAGTATAGTTACAACGACTGCCCCGCCCTTCAAACCGAAACGAATTACTGCTTCACGGCAGGAATAGGCAGGGTGGTGGTACTTACCCGCGCGGACTCACAAGAGGTCCTACCATCAGTATTATCTACCGCCAGTAGATCTGTTAGTTGCTTATATAATTAATTAGTTTAAAATGAAAATCTTATTTATGTATCAATTTAATTAAAAAAAAAATCGTTCACAGATCCTGAAAGCAGCTTATTCGTATTACGCAGTTCTTAGTCAGAAACAAGGCTGAGTAAATCAAACAACTCAATGGGCACAATTTTTTTATTGTAATGTCTTCACCAGTTTTTATTTTTCCTAAATCGCTTATCTACAATATAGAAATCTAGTCTATCACAGATAATTTGTATAGATATAATAATTTAAATAAAAAACTACGTTATTTTAGTAATACCCTTACTGACTAATATAAGTTGTATGTATTTTTTTTTCTCTGACGATCAGAGTTCTGTGATCTAACTTGATGACCTAGTTCCAAATTGTTTTTTGGCAATAACAATTTCAATGCATTTCATGTTTAAAACTATTTTCATTAGCATAATTACTCAATGTTTCCTAGAAATACTTTCTAGTACATAATATGTTGTATGTATTACTCTCAGTTCATATACATATAGCTTAAACAATAACCGTTAGATAAGATAAACAATACACAATCTCAATTGTTATTAATAAGCGTCGTTTTGTTCTGCGTTTTTTTTGTTTGTTTTAACGAATTAATATCAAAATTAATTGTATAATCGTAATCAGAGTTCTAAAAGAGGAGGTTTGGGAGTTGTCGAACGGGACCTTTCAGTTGTTTTAATGCTGAGAACGGTCATTTCTTCGCTCCTGAAAAATAAATAGAGACTATAATTACACATTCCCATTATTCTTTTACTACCGCCTAGAAAGATAAAGATATTTTAAACAATATACTAGCTACCCGTCCGCTTCGTTCGGCATTTAAAATTAACATTATTATTTCTCACCCTCACAAACATTCTCATCATTAACACCCCCGGCAACTGGTGTAGGGAGTCCAATTCTCATATAAATATTAACATATCAATTAAGTACATGTATTTTCTACATGGAGACCAAGTTTCAAGTCAATCGGATGCATGGTTCAGTAGTTATAACGAAACATCCGTAAAAACGACTGTAGATTTATATATTAGGTAATATAGAGTATAGATTACATAGCATTTTACCAAATCGTTTGTACCTTAAGTAGCTATTCTAACTGATCTCCGACCGATAGGTGAGCATAGGAACTCGACCTGAGAGAATTGCTAGCACTGACCCTAGTAAGAGCAGTGCTTTGCTGAATCTACCACCGGATCGGAATCGCGCGGAAGAAGATCAAGCAAAAAACTCAGAGGGTTACATACTAATGTACAACTATCGAACACGATTTGTTTTCTAACAGATTTGAAACAAAATACGTACGATAAATAAAATATGACAACGTTGATGATAATGAAACTAATGCAAGAAGAACACATGAAGTAACTCTAAGACCGCTAAGAAAGCGGTCCGCGGATACATTCAAAGCTTCGTCATTAATAGATAGCAAACGAAAACCGAAGTAAAACGTTTTTTTATTGCTTAGATTGGTGGACGATCTCACAGCCCACCTGGTGTCAAATGGTTACTGGAGCCCATAGACATCTACAACGTAAATGCGCGACCCACCTTGAGATATAAGTTCTAAGGTCTCAAGTATAGTTACAACAGCTGCACCGCCCTTCAAACCGAAACGCGTTACTGCTTCACGGCAGAAATAGGCAGGGCGGTGGTACCTACCCGTGCGGACTCACAAGAGGTCCTACCACCAGTAGTTTTGTGTTTTCGATACGAACCTGTCTTCGCCGGTATGCGCTGCGTTATAGAACACGTCTGGAAGTGGCGAGTCGTGTTGGCTCAGCAGTGAACTACCGGCTCTGGGCGAATGAGGCCCGTGGGTCGCGTACGGCGAAAACGGCACCGCAGCACGTAAAGCTGCTAATACTAATAGCATCCCACCTAGAAACAAATTTAAAGAAAGCTTTTAATCTCACTAAAATTATATAACAACCGTTTTACTGGTAGGTACCATCACCCTGCCTATTTCTGCCGTAAAGCAGTAATGCGTTTCGGTTTGAAGGGTGGGGCAGCCGTTGTAACTATACTGAGACCTTAGAACTCATATCTCAAGGTCGGTGGCGGCATTTACGTTTTTAGATGTCTATGGGCTCTGGTAACCACTTAACACCAGGTAGGCCGTGAGCTCGTCCACCCATCTAAGCAAAAAAATAAAAAATAAAAATAATAATAATAATAACTGCGCACGGTCATTTAGTCCCAAATAAGGTCTCCCTGTGTTAGAGTCTGACATATAAATACATATATAGACAATAAGCTCCCAAACACGGAACAAAAAAACCTATTCATGACACGAATGTTTGCGCGATGTAGGAATCGAACCCACAATCCTTGGCACAACAGTCAGGGCTGCTATCTGCTGCCGAGTCAGTCATAGCCGATTCAGACACATCTAAGTAAAGTATTAAGATAACCTTTGTTACCGAATTGACACGTAACATATTAGGCAATACGTTGTACTCATACATAGTCCTCTACGAGCTAGGTGATCTAGTCACAATGCTATTCACATTTTAAATTCCCAGAACTATCATTAGCATTGCTATGTTTTTGCACGTTATATTTTTCTCATGCTTGGAATTAATGTATATTACGTTTAATTAAAACAACATTTACTGGGTCGTCTGTGAGATTAAGAAATCTTTAAATTATTCGAAGAGTTTACTGGTGGTAGGACCTCTTGTGAGTCCGTACTGGTAGGTATCACCACCCAGCCAATTTCTGCCGTGAAGCAGTAATGCGTTTCGGCGTTGTAACTATACTGAGACCTTAAAACTCATATCTCCAGGTTGATGGCGGCATTTACATTGTAGATGTCTATGGGCTCCAACAGCCACTTAACACCAGGTGGGCTGTGAGCTCGTCCACTTAACTATACAATAAACAACAAACGCTTGATTAAACTCGAAATAATAATTAACACTCGCGGAAATCGAAGAAAAACACTGTGTAATATCTATGATAAAACAGATCGAAGGCGAAAAGTAAACTTTTTTTTGAGCCCGCACGGGTAGGCTCGTCCACACATCTAAGCAATAAAAAAAAAATAAAAAAAAAAGCAAAAAAAAATACTGACCTGCCACTGTCGACAGTAAAGTTAGATTGGCGAATAGCAGTGCTGTAGCAACGCAAGCGTAAAATGGCGCCCGTGCTCGACCGCACGACCAACGCATGAAATCCCAACACCTAAGGCCCATCGTATATTCGCCGCGTCGACACAGTAAGTCCACGAATAGAGCGGCTACCCACATCGTTTCAAGGATGAGGACGGTCGCCGCACCTACCCTGGAATACAAGGAAATAATTGACTTACCTTGTTTCATAAATAGAGCTTGGTTTCTTGAGAACAGTAATTTAAAATACAAAGAAAACGTATACATTTTTCTAGCATCGAAATAGCGACCATTTGCTAAAATTTTGTGCATTATGTCAATTGACTAACTTTACATGCGAAAAACAATGTCCTAATTATTATACACTTATGAAAACTATTTTTTTTAAACAAACTGTTATAATATATATAATATAGTATTTATATGTTGAAATATAAATGAAAACTTTTTTTTAATCTTGAACAGGCTTTTATTAGTTTAGTTTGTATTAAGTTGTAATGTTATGTTGAAAAATTTGAACGTTATTTTTGACTTCAAAGAGTCCGATTAACATAAGAATTTGAATCCGCATAAGGAACAATAACAATACTAAAAAGTTTATATCTTCACCCTAATATACCTCGACAATATCAGTAGCTTAAAAAAAGTTGTAATTAATTTTTAGCTTGGTATGATATTTCTATCAATTTTTTGTTTTTGAACTACTTAATAATATACTTAGTCTGGCCATAAATACTGTTACAATTAAAAATAAACAACATATTACATTTGAATTTGGAATCTGCCATTTTTATATGATTGCTCATTGAGTTTTATCATTTTGGCGCCAATACATTGTACAATATTTTGCGATATTAAAATGGAGTGGGGTGATAAAGAGAACCGAATCGCTGTGATTGCATTCCACAAAGTAGGTATGGAGCCAAATGCAATTTTTAAAACTCTCCATACGCTTGGTATTAGTAAAATGTTTGTGTACCGGGCTATTAATAGGTGCAATGAGACCTCCTCTGTTTGTGACAGAAAAAGATCTGGCCGTCTACGTAGTGCTCGTACGAAAAAGGTGGTCAAAGCAGTAAGGGAAATAATTCGAAGAAATCCTGTCCGAAAGCAAAAGATTTTATCTCGGGAGATGAAGATAGCACCTAGAACCATGTCGCGTATTTTAAAAGATGACTTAGGACTTGCAGCCTATAAGAGGCGTACTGGTAATTTCTTAACTGATAATTTAAAAGAGTATAGGGTGACAAAATCGAAACAACTACTGAAGCGGTACGCAAAGGGAGGTCATAAAAAAATGTTGTTTACGGATGTAAAAAAATTTACAATTGAGCAACATTTTAACAAACAACATGACTGTATTTATGCTCAAAGCTCTAAGGAAGCTTCCTAATTAGTCGACAGAGTGCAACGTGGCCACTATCCGACTTCAGTGATGGTTTGGTGGGGTATTAGCTATGAAGGAGTGACTGGGCCATACTTATGTGAAAAAGGTATCAAAACATCGGCACAAGTATATCAAGATACCATTCTTGAGAAGGTAGTGAAGCCCCTTAACAACACCATGTTCAATAATCAAGAATGGTCCTTCCAGCAAGACTCGGCGCCAGGTCATAAAGCTCGGTCTACGCAGTCTTGGTTGGAAACGAACGTTTTGGACTTCATCAGAGCTGAAGACTGGCCGTCGTCTAGTCCCGATCTTAATCCGCTGGATTATGATTTATGGTCAGTTTTAGAGAGTACGGCTTGCTCTAAACGCCATGATATTTTGGTGTCTCTAAAACAATCCGTACGATTGGCAGTGAAAAAATTTCCCATGGAAAGAGTGCGTGCTTCTATTGATAACTGGCCTCAACGTTTAAAGGACTGTATTGCAGCCAATGGAGACCACTTCGAATAACCTTTTTATACTTTAAATTGTTTTATATTTATGTATTAAACTAACACACTGTAAACGTAATAAATGTTATTTGCAATAGTTTTTTTTTTTTATTGTAACGGTATTTATGGCCAGACTAAGTATTATTAGTCAATGATATCGGTGATCTTATGCGCCATGGTATATTATTAAGTTGGCAACCAATTTATTTTAATGCCCTTAGAAATTAAAAGAAAACATAATATGCAAACAAAACTATTCAAAAATGTTTGTGTTATCGGGGCCTAAATCAAAAGGCTACGTTCTTGCATGCCGAGGTTTTATTTATTTATTAGTCTTGCTAATAAAAGATTTACACAATACAAGTGTCGTTAAAAAGACTAATGAACAGTTCTTAGCACGCGTATTCTTTATTGGATAAAATAGCGTTCATATAAATACAGCTACGCTAATATAAATTAAGAATAAAGTATCACATCAAACAAAGCATAAATACAAAAAAAGTACATATAAAAATTTAAAACCTGAACCAATTATAATTAACACAAAACCAAGGCAAGCCTCAAAAACCAAGAAAAACTTAGAAAAAGAAAAGGAACGCCTTGTAATAAATTTATCATAACAAAATTATAATAATTTAGCGGTGGTAATTAATTAGATTTAGCGGTTTTGATTTTTATTACATGAAGTTAATCCTTCATCGTTGTTCGTAACACATTATTAATGGAACGTATTTCTGTACTAGGTACGTTTTCTTCTACCCGGTATAATGGCATGGGAAAATAAGAATTTTTGTATCTAAATATAGATATTTTTTTTATAATAACATTTGATTGTTAGGAATTTCGTTTTATTACTGAAACTGATTTAATAGACAACAAGGATATTCAGATAATTTCGAATCAATGAATATTTAACGACAACTTTTAGCCATAGTACAGGTATGTACTTACAGTAAACATCTTATTGTGTATGTTGTGTTGTTATCGACAAACTAACAATAGTCTGACCTTTGGTGTATTTGCCAATTGCCTTGTATTTTCTTTAGACAAAAGTTATAGTAATTTACAGGAATTCTTAAATGTACATGCGTAGAGACCTTGGAACAACGTAGTTTCAAATTATTTATTAGCAGAAAGATGTCGTCATATAATATCATTATACGCCTAACTACTACTAGTTATCCTGAGTTATTACCAAAAATATCATCAAAATAGTGTTTCATGATTTTAGAAGCAATCGAATGAATTTGCATAAATCAATTTTCTTTATTTTTTTATCCTCTTAATTCATGGAATCTGATATACAGATAAAGAGCCTTTAATAAGCAAAAACAAAATAGCATCAACGTGCCGTGATAATAAATCATTAAGAGAATTTAATAAAAACCTTAATTAAGCAACTACGTTAATTGAAACTATTTTATTTATAGCGTTAACTTCAAGCGTTCCCGGAGTATTACAGAAGTTTGAATTCGATCTTGCATACAAATGGCTTAATAAATGAGTTTCAATATGATAATGGAACAGGCGCGGCGCCTGCGTGATCTACGAACGTAAGTCCGATATTACTTCCACATATAAGTGGAACAACATCCTGTGATAAAATGTATCTCGTTTCGTTCCAAAACAAAGAAGGCTTAAAACTGATACGATCTCATCTCGAATTATGGTATCTGAGTTTCGCTGTCCAAAAGCATCTGGAACAGTTTCAAAGGGTTTTTTTTTATTGCCCTTGTAAGCAGACGAGCATACGGCCCACCTGATGATGAGTGGTTACCGTCGCCCATGGACTTCAGAAATGCCAGGAGCAGAGCCAAGCCGCTGCCTACCGAGCAATGCCAGGGGCAGAGCCAAGCCGCTGCCTACCGTATATATAACGAGAGGTCAATTTCAATTCGATTCAAAGTTTGTTTTTCAAATTAAAGAAAATATGGGTTAGGTAAACGTGATATAACAAGTCTCATGAGTTTATAAATTTTTTTGCGAAAAACTCTACAAAAGACTTTTAGTTTTCAGCAGTGACGCGTTTATTACGCGCTGCCGTAAATGATAGTTTAATATTAAATGACGGACTTACAGCAGTGCCGGCGCAACCTCGAATTGAAGGACAAGCAGTTCAGAACCGGCTCCGCTCATCACTGAAAATAATGTAAAATTTTATAAATAGTTCAGTTTGATTCGTTAAGTCGACGAGATATTTTTTTAAATCATAATTCGTTCGATTATTTATTTTCTTATTAAATTAACCTACAGTATATTGTATATCGTCTTCTCGCATTGAAACTGTATAATTTCAAAACTTCTTAATTTTATAGGAGAGTGTTTTAAAAGTATAACATGTAATATTTTTAATATTAATCATATTTGCAATATTAATTTTTTATTTTTTACTAGTTACATTATCTGTCTTTTAAAGTAAGATAAAATTATGTATTAATTTTGTTAACAGTAATCAAAATATAGGTAAACTAAAAAAAAAAACGTAAAACTAAACTACGCTCTTTTAACATTATTTATGAGAAAAATACTGGTGATACCAAATGTTTACGCATATTAACTCAATTTCGAATATTTTTGGAAATTGTACACTTTTAATACGAAAAGGCGATATATATACAGCTTGTAATAAGTAGCGGCGTAGCCACACCACTACCATTGGTAACCACTTTCTATAAGGCGAGCCATATTCTACGTCTACTTTTGCAAGAAATGTAAACAATGATTAAAAAATCCTATGCCAATTTTACTAGAACGTAAAAAAAAAATTATGCTGCTAACCCTAAAAAATGTTACGTTCCGTTTTTTGGGGGGCGTATAATCAAACGATTTTATCTGTTTTTTGCGATGTGACGCAAAAACTCATTAAGTTATTTCGCTTCTGAATCCATAGCAGTTTAAGTGATAGTGTATCGAACTCACGTTTCTAATCAACGAATCCATACTAAAACACATTGTGCTTTCCGGGAAATTTTGTTAATTAAATGTCGATATTACTCAAAGTGACGTGCGTGTTTCAAATTTACATATAAGTGGTCGCAAAAAGTTTCGAGTGTGTGTGTTCGACCTGTTTAGAACAGTCGTACGTCGAAACATGTAGGTAAAGTAAAAATTTCGCAAACCCTTTACGGTAGGTACGTGAAAAACATGCAAATCTCAGACCGCAGTCAGGGAAAGCACGCCGGAATGTTTTTGTGGAATGTAGATTAAAAATCGACGCGACCGTATTTGCTCTCTGTGTGCGTTGGCACTGGGAATGAATATACGTCATTTCACTTTTTAATACGATTCCTATTAAACGCTAAAACTGGTAAAAATTGCAGATATAATTGAATATGCAATTGCGAAAAGGGCACATGTCGCATATTTTGTCAAATACGTTGTTTCATATACATGTAGTTTTGAGACTTACCTACACCCATTTTATAATAATTCCAGTAATTCTCAATTGCTAATTAACACTAAGATAGATCTCAAAAGTTATGTAATATTTTTAATTTTACACTGCTTTAGAAAATAATCAGTTTTTTTCATTTCCTGAACATTTTACATTTTCAGAGATGTGTCCTTTTCGAAATTGCATATTTAATTATAAAAATTCGATTTGTTAGTAAGACCACCAGAAGTACCATTTATTAGGATTGGAAATTAAACGACTCCAAGATACATAATTTTAATTTCTATATACAACATAGCTTTCGTGCGTCATTTCAATTTTATTGTTGTTTTTTGGAAGAAGCAGAGTTCTGGAATTATGAAAGATATTTAATGTAGAACAGCATAGAATTGCAAAATAATCTGAATGATTAAATTACCGTAACCAATAATTAATTTACGTTAATTAAAACAATAAGTGAACAACGTCAGAAACTTGACTGTCGCTGCCACCCTTGCGACCCTTGAGAGAAAAAGCACATTTTAGGTATTACTATAGGACCCAGAAATACATACAATAATAAATAGTTTATACAAAATTAAAACTAATCTTTCGTCACGGGCATCCCCGACCACAAAAATTGTAAGCTTTCGTAACGTCGGAAACGATATAATAACAATAAAAAACACGAGATTCAACCGTAAAAGTTGTTTTAATTAAATCTACGACCCCCGAAAACCATAGAAAATTACTTTTATATGTTTAAATGTACACATATATGAGTTAAACACTCCGACCAGTAAACACGTTTGTTACACAGACAATAACCTGATAGTGGTCGATCTTAAGACTTCAAAGACTTCAAGGGGTATAACGGCAGTATCATACTTCAAAAGAAAACGCACAACTACATGGCGGTAGAAATAGGCAGAATTTTTTTATGTACAAGTGACGGGAGATAATATGCTCTACCACCAGTTGTTACGAAAATTTGCCGTAATTTACCACTTTCATTGTATATTGCACAATGATTCCTTAACATCCCACTGACTTTCTCGCCGGATATTCTCAGTGGGTCACGTTTCCGATCCGGTGGTAGATTCTGCGAAGCACTGCTCCTGTTAGAATACCTCCGGTTTGAGCCCCGAGAGCTCACCTGCACATTATTTTTTCCTACCTAAGCTGATAGCCTTGAGAGGCTATTTCAGCGTAACCTTAACTAGTAGGTGAGCTCATGGGGCTCAAGCCGGAGTGATGCCAACAATGACCCTAGCAAGAGCAGTGCTTCGCAGAATCTACCAACGTATCGGAAACGCGATCCACTGAGAAAATCCGGCGAGAAACTCAGTGGGCTGTGTCTATGGGTTAATTCGCTCGTCGAGCCCTTCGTCGCAAGCGACATGTTCGACGAGGAAAGTAACCGGTGCTTGTGGTACCTAAAAGCCCCGTTAATGGATCGGGAGGATCCGTAATGACGTGTTTTGGGCGACGTCGACTGTTTACCATTCGGTCTACAGGATCGGGTAGTCACCTACACGCTAGGGTAACGCTAATATAGCCTCTCAAGGCTATAAGCATAGGTAGGAAAAAAATCCTTAACAGTGGACACCTGCCAGTTGCAGTGTTTCTTCGAACAATTTATACCTGCTCATGAAATTTGAATCCCCGCTATGATCGCATCGCTCAATACGAAATCACCGGGCTTCTTATAATTTAAGTGTTCATACCGTGTTCGTGGAAATTTTAGATGTTTTAATTTTTGTTTACTTTTACGATCAATTTGTTACAAAAAAGTTATAGAAGCCGGTTGATGTCTTGATCTTGAGATAAGCACCTCCTTATCATTTCATTGTTGACTAGCGGAAGACAAGAAATGATTACGGTGCGTCGTGATACATTGAAACAAATACAAGGTCATAATTAACATTATGTCAGCCATTTAAAAAAAAAAGCACGATAAAAAACTTAATGCTGTATGAAAATCTAACTCCAAATTATTATAATAATATTCATGGTATGGCGACGCTGCATTCGTTTTATATGAAATGAATTTTAATTCTAGTCTAAAATAATATACAAGAAGTGTAAAAACGAAATAAATTCAAAACTTAATTGCGTAGAAATACTAATAAAAACGGTTCCCCAAGTATAGCTTTATAAATACGTATGTACTCCTTCAATTACTGCTGTATGAGGCTTATTACATCAATCTCAATTACTCTTTCTACTATGTCGGTACGATACGTATCTATGTTGTATGATTAGGTTTTACATTACATTTCACTGATCTTATGCTAAGCGTGAATCTTCCTCCGCGACTTTGGACAGGCAAATCAGGATAGAAAGTAGTGGGAAGGTATTACTTAGATATGATAAGAAATTATGATGGCAGGTGACCTTTTAAGACGGTGTCTTAAGACCCGTATCTTCTAATTGATAGAGAAAAGGGATATGAGCATATAAGACCCACTAACCAACATTATTTGTGATACATTATATTTCAGATGTTTGGTATTAGATACCGCTGAAATATATATTAAAAATTGTTAATAAGCAGTCAACCGTGAGTGTTCATGAACACACTACACGCTTTTGATGGTTTTAGAAAAATGAAACTATCATGGTTTGATAGATTCTCTTTTTGAACTTGCAATCGATAAGAGGCATCTAGAATACCTGGCGTTTGGGAGTGCGTGTGGAACAAAACTTCGAAGGCCTATGTTAAACATTGGACCTACGTGGGCTGAGAAACAGTAGCACCGAAATAAAGTTGTTAATGACGCGATATACTCAGAACGCATTTAGGTAAGGCTAAACATAGAATTGTATGAGTTTTACGTACATATGTCCAAAATAAAACTACAATATGCGCCGGGACTGCGCTGAATCAAACACCACCGGGACTGCGCTGAATCAAACACCCTGAGACCTTAGAACTTATATCTCAAGGTGTGTGGCGCATTTGCATTGTAGATGTCTATGGGTTCCAGTAACCACTTAACACCAGGTGGGCTGTGAGCTCGTCCACACACCTAGGCAATAAAAAAAAAAAAAAAAAAACTAATTTACTTACATTTCACGATCTAATCATTGCAATCGCTAAAGATGTTAAATAAACTACGTTTTAAAACCAGTCTTTGTGCTTTCAATGCTTGAATTAAAAACCGTGAAGGATAACAATAATTATGACCTTTTTTTTTAAACAGTGACTATAGCTTAATGCGTATTTCAATAGATTAGTTAAGATTTAGTGTAAAACAATATTAATCAAGTCGTAATCATAAGTTGTTGTTGTTGTTGTCTTAGGGTAGCCGGTTGGAAAATAGGGCCCTCACAAGTTGTCTCCACTTTACCCTGTCTTGCGCTTGCTCCCTAACAGTAGTATCTATACTAATTTATACTAATATACTACAGTGGTTTTTACGAATGTTCCGTTATAACTATAGAACAATACATCCGATTGATTTGAAACTTAGTATCCATGTAGAAAATACATGTACTTAATGGATAGGCTAATATTTATATGAGTTGGACTCCCTACACCAGTTGCAGGGGCGTTAATGATGAGAATGTTTGTGGGGGTGAGAAATAATAATATTGAATTTAAATGCCCAGCGAAGCGGGCGGGTACAACTAGTATTATATATTATCAGTAGCTTAAATGATACTTCTTAAACTGAAAGAGTAGATAGTACTCACCCACTGCAGTAATAAGTCCCCATAATCTAGCAAGAGGCTGCAGAAGCTCCCAAAGTCTTAAAGCTAATGATTTATTGGGAGGTCCTGGTCCCCTTCGTGTCGGGACACGAATCGTTTTCTGAGGCTGCGGGTCAGCCTCACTGTCTGACTTCTCCAAGTCCACATTCATTATTACTGTCTCATACTAAATGTAATAATAATGATATAGTAACTAATATTTCAATTGGTAAAAATATTTTTTAAGAAACGTGCTTTGTTTACGTATGTGTTATTATTAAATTTGCAATTTTTCACGTCTTATAATTTCGTTGTTCTTATTATAGTACTATTTAAAAGAATTAGCTGAGTTATGTAGTTATCAGTCAATCATGATTTTGGGTTTTATTATAATATATGTATAGGGTATTTAAATCAATCACGTTGTCTTTTTCTGTTTACAAATAATGCTCATTGAATAATCACTTTAACAGATAATTATATTTGTTTGGCATCCTGCCCTGTTACCAAAAATATCTCACCACCTTGAATATACTACGTTCTATTTTCAAAATGTTGCACTTGTTTTCCACTGATTTTCCTCTATGGAAAACACAAACGAAATAATTTGACCAGAAAAAAATTAGGCATGATAACTTGATTTTATTGAAAAAATTGAATGTGCGTTATAGAGAACAGTTTTTCTTTCGCGGGAAAGCGTTGCGGGCGTACGGCGCGCACGTGCACCTTAGACTAAAGACTGCAGGAAACTGAGAAACAGAAACACGCTAACATCTCAACGCTGCATCTGCTAGATTCACATATTAATGCTTACCGTTGAAAACCCGGTCACGTTAATTTCTCCACTTTTAAAGACACGAATACATCGCTAAAACATACCATTTATCTACATATCTAGTTTGCAAAGAAAACCCGGAGGTCAATAAACATTTAATTTCAATTGAAAGTGAGTTTAGTTAAGCACTATCTCATATAGTTGCTCGATTCAGCTATAATATAACAGTTAGGTTTCTTTCGTGCCTATCATAAGTAACTCATAGGTACAGCAAAGTACCACTACCACCATCGTAGCCACCATTTTGATTTTTAATGATCTTGATGAGTACAAACACATTATTTACGAGCTCTGTTTTACATTCTCGTACTGTTTCAAGACCAGTCGTAGGTAAAAACAAAGTATCGTTTGCGAAGAATGTAAAAATATAATACCGTATAACGGTATATTGTGATCAGCGGTGACCATCATTTTTCAAGGCGTCTGCTACTCCGAACAAAAACACAAGACAGTAAAATTAAGCATAGCTATACTGTGCCTATACTTTTCGCTTGCAATACCGCCGCACTGTATCCATTCATATCAGAAAATTCGCAATGATTTTATAGGGGATAAATAAGTTTTAAGCATTTTTTACCCTTACATCACAAGTTACTATTTTTACCTCGATTGTTTCAAAAGATATTTTTTATATTCCCTCCCCTATGTTACTCACAATATATTTTAGCAGCTCCTCGCGTTCCCGGCGAAAAGTCCGTTTAAGATGTTTTTTAGACATTTTTTGGATTAATTTTTAAAGATTTTTACGTGGTAATCTACACAGTTGGCCACCAACACTGTAACAAATAAAATAAAACAATAATATCACATTTAAATTGGTAGTATTCAATAATATTCACTGTGTTTTAACTTTCGCGACAATCTTTATTAAATATTCTGTGATATTAAAATGGAAGAGGTGATAGATAAAACCTAATTGCTTTAATAGCATCATACAAGTACTTATAGATCCATTTTAAGTTTTGTAACTCTCTTTCGGCTTTGTTTTAATCATTTCTCCATGCCCTACTATTAGAAAGGAATTAAAAAACATTTTATATCTGTGTCAGAAAAAGATGGCCATCTACGTATCGTATTAAAAATATGATTAAAGTAGTGGAGGAAATCTAAAAAAATCGATACGAAAGCAAAATATATTGTTCAAGGAAATGAGAACGCCCAAAATCAGATCACGTAGTGTTTCATGTAATAGAATTTTTTTTTGTCTTAATGTTAAATTTCTTCTTGTTGTTTGTTTATGGAGTATCAAAGTGTTGAAAATGTACTTCTAGATATTTCCCCAAAAGCTCCACAAAAGCTTAATACGCCGGACTGACCAAATGTGCATCAGGCTACAATTAACCGTCCTTAATGCATTTCAAGCAGACGCACACGGCTATCATAATTAAAATTCACTTATAAATTGGCACACCTTTCTAGCTAGAACATTTCAATCAAGGCACCATTCATTGAAAGGTCACGGTTAGGGCTATGTCCTAAACCAACGAGGGTAACTTTTAATTTTTGTAGTTATTTGAAAGTATGCAAATTGCCTGAAAATTAATTTAAGTGAAATTTTATCTTTTAAAAATCGGTTGTACCTAGTCTTTATCTATTCCTTAGGAAAACAACAAATATTCCTTTTTTTACAAAATTTGGCTGTATGGTTAAGTTTTTGTAACATAAAGATGTAAACAAACACGAAGTCTATAGTCTATAGTTAAGTATAGTTGAAGTTTGTCTATTGGTTGTGTTTAGCGAATCTTAAACCAATAACCATAAAGTGTTGATTTTTTCGAACGCAGTGGCTATATTATTGCGGCTAAAATTCATAGAAATATGCAATCTGGAAGTGGATCTAAAAATCCTCCATGGGCTCGATCAAATGTGAATACAAACATGACGGGAATAAACCCTCAAATAATGGATCCCAACGCCATGATGACACAACAAAGCATGATGCCCTTTCAACAGACTCAAGCAATGTTTAATCCTATGCAAGCCCAAGGTGGTATGGCAATGCAAATGACAGGACAAATGCCTATGAATCAAATGGCTCAAGGTCAAATGTTTCCCGGTAATGTTGTGGCATATCCAACGCCGCGTGCATTAAACCCCGGTATCTATCAAAATGCACAAAATAACCAATCATCAACAACTGAACAACGTGTATTCACTGGCACAATAACTAAAACTCACAATGATTTCGGTTTTGTGGATCATGATGTGTTTTACCAAACCTCAGTATGTGCAAAGGGTATTATACCCAAAATTAATGACCGAGTACTCGTAGAAGCAACATTCAATCCTAACATGCCATTCAAATGGAATGCTACTCGTGTGCAGGTCCTGCCTAAAGCGGGAGCTTGTCAAAAACCTCCGCCTACCAAAAGTAACTCTTATAATGCAGTACCACCACCATCAGTCGCAAGGAAAGCGCCTCCATCAAGACGTGATGAGCGTCCCACAAGAAGAGATGACAGAGTATGTTTGCATGTCAACACTTTATAGTTGTACATTATCAAAAATAAATTTAACAACATAAAAAAAAAAACCCGATTAGAATGAAACATTTGTTCCATAGATGTGTAAACAAGCTCACGACCTACCTGGTGTTATATTTTTACTGTAGCCTGTAGATATCAACATCAATATCTTGAAATGAGATCTATTTCTCAATTGTGTAGAAAATGGCTATTCCAAATTCTTGATCAAATCAGAATGTACTGCTTCAAGGTATAAGTAGCCATTGTGGCTACTATACAACCTGTGAATGTACTATATTAAACTACCTGTAAAGGCTCATGAGACATCCTATCACCAGTGAGTAAAGATACTTCACTACCAGTAATAAACATAGAAAAGGTTAGAAATTTAGACAAATGTCACTACATTAAGGCAATGTGAAATTGAAATATATGCAAATCCTCCTCACATCGTTTCCTCGCTGCTGAGGGTCGTCACCATTATGTTTTGGCAGGATTTTATTTTTTGTTCTCTTTCTTTTAATTTACTTTCACAATCAAAATATTAATAGAGTGGTATAAATTCACATTTGTTTGAACTTTTTAGAATCAGAAATGAGTTGATCAAACTCAATAGATAGTTTATAAATAATATTTTTGTATTAGATATGTATTATATTTTGTAATTTGCTTTCAGAAAAGATCCAGAACAAGAAGCAGAACTAGGTCTAGAGATAGACGTGACAGCCGTGCTCGTAGAGATTCACCTCCTCCTAAACGATCAGTTGTAAGACAACCATCACCAATTAAGTATTCTGTGAGAGTTCCCCGCATACCATTAGATATGTAAGTATGATTTTTCTCTAACCGTTTTGTGTACAAATAAAGAAACTCTCATGGATTGATTTGGTCTACAATGTTTTATTCTTTACTCCCATCACTTAAGTAACAATACTGTGCAAGTTTACTGGGCAGTGTTGTTACTGGCATTGTGAATATCCATGATGAATGGTCACTTAACATAAAGTGAGCTGTATGCTAGTCTTGGCAATAAAAAAGTGAAATTTTCTTACTTTTTGGCAGAAGCAAAAACATAAAAGGATTTTTTATTAGATTAGAAGGTTTTTTAGATTTATTTCATTCTTCCACAAATAGATAAACATAACATTTTAGCTATTTATGTTTGTATGTTTATATTATTGTTTTACAAATGGAGTCAATTTAGCACTATATTTTTAAAAGCATCATGCTATTCTTTCATTGTTGAAATACTTTTTTGAATTTCGTAAGAAACTGTTTACTTAGCATAATTAAATAATAAATTGACATCCAACATTGGATTTGAACCCAGTACGTAAAAAAAGCGCCAGCAGCTTCTTAGAGGTTATGTGATGATGCTTGTGAAATTTCACTAACATCGGTATCATTATTAACCCTTTGCACTCGAGAGGTGACTCGCTCACAAAATAAGAGGTAACCTCTGGTGCATAGGGTTAACACTATCATGTTTGGTGCTTTTAACAATACGATATTATTATTGTTACAGACAAAAAGTTGATGTCCCTGCATTGTCTCAAAGATACACAAACTTATATATACCATCTGATTTCTTTTCTGCCTGTGTGAGGTGGGGAGAGACATTTCCTCCTTCTGCACCACTGTCTCTCAACAACTCTTGTAGCTACCATATTATGAGTAAAGAAATTGAGAATCCAAATAAAAATGACACAGTATTGGAACCTCCTGATGCAGATTATAGATTTTCAGCTAAGGTTTGTACTTTTAAAATGTATTTTTTTTTACTGTTTACAAACAATTTTAAAGGTAGGAAGCAGATTGGCTCTGTCCCTGGTATTGCTGACGTCCATGAGCGATGGTAACCACTCACCATCGGTTGGGTCGTCTGCCTACTAGAGCAATAAAAAACAAACAAAAAAAATGTCT